CCCCGGCCCAATTGGCCCGGCACACGCATGCCCGCCACGACGTTGCTAGCCCGCAGCACCTGCGGATCTCTGCTGTGAATCTAGTCGCCCCCCGCCCCATCTAGCCGCGCCCATTTGAGCGCCCAATGCCCGGCCCTGCTGCCCCTTCAGCCGGCCCGATGTGCAGAGTTGCAGCTTGACCTCTGCCCGCTGCGCCCACTTTCTTTCCGACGCACGTGGTTCATCAGCCCACGTGCGACCACCTGACGTTCCTTTGCGCTTGCCCTCCTCCCGGCGTTGCCCGCGCTGCTCCGGGCCACTCACCCAGCTCTTTGCGCAGTTGCCCTCATACGGGCCGCGCAGCTTGGCACACGGATCCGCCAGTCTCTGCTCCTCGAGCGACTCTGCGCGCTGGCGCTGCGCCTGCGCGGCCGCCTTGCCCACGGGCCCGCGCCCGTCGCTCATGTCGGTGCCCGGCGGAATGACGACGTGCCGCTGCGTCAGACAGGCGTAGTAGGCATCGCGCGCGTCCCAGCAGGCCGTGCGCGAGGAACGCGTGGGCAGCGAACCACCCTCGCCGGCGACGGGGGCGGAGGAGGAGGAGGAGGAGGGAGAGGAGGAGAAGAAGCCCATGCTGGTGCAGGCGTGGTGGTGGGAGAGAGGCCGAGGAGAGGGGCGGGGCACGGCCAGGAGCAGCATCGCTGCCTCAGCAGGCGGCGCCGCTGCTGACTCAGCATGCCGCGCGCTGCCTCCACCCGGCGCCGCCTCCTCGCTGTCCAGGCGGAAATTTGGACCTTTGCCTCACCTTCGCCCTCACCCACGTCTTCCTTTGCCGCCTCTTCGCTCCTCACGCGCCGCGCACCACCGCCGCACGCGCAGGCACACTGCGCATGCGCATGCCCCACAGCGCCGTCCGTCTGCTCTCTGCTGCTCCTCTGCGCCGTCTCGCCTGCGTGCCGCCACGCTCGTGCCGCATGGCTTCCTCGTCGTCGTCGTGCGGCGCAGCGGCGCCTGCCGCCTATCCCTCGCGCACCTTCCGCACGCGCGTCGTCTGCGCCACGTCCGCCGACGGCATCGCCCAGTGCGCCGCCGCGCTGCGCGAAGGACACGTCGTCGCCTTCCCCACAGAGACGGTGTATGGGCTGGGCGGCAGCGCGCTGAGTGCGCATGCGGCGCACAGCATCTTTGCCGCAAAGGGCCGCCCGGCGGACAATCCGCTCATCGTGCACATCGCCTCGCTCGACATGCTGGCGCCGCTGCTGCCGCCAGACTTCCGCCTCTCGCCGGCGCTGCACGCCCTCGCACAGCTCTGGCCCGCACCGCTGACGCTCCTCTTTCCCGCCGGCCCGGGCATTCCGCGCCAAGTCACCGCCGGACATCGCACCGTGGGCATCCGCATGCCCGCGCATGCCGTGGCGCGCGCCCTCATCGCCGCCGCAGGCGTGCCGCTCGCCGCTCCCTCGGCAAATGCATCCGGTCGGCCGTCGCCCACTACGGCCGCGCATGTGGCGCACGACCTGGGCGGCGAGCAAGGGCGCCTGCCCTTCATTCTCGACGGCGGCGCAGCCAGTCTCGGCGTCGAAAGCACCGTCGTCGACGCCATCTCGGTGCCGGGAGAAGTGCACGTCCTGCGCCCGGGCGCCTGTACGGTGGATGATCTGCGCACGGCCCTCGCCGCAGCGGGCGTGCAGGCCAGGCTGCGCGTCTATGGACAGGCGGATCAAGCGGCCGAGGGAGCGGTGCTGCGAGATGTGCAGATGGAGCAGAACCCCACCACGCCGGGCATGAAGTATCGCCACTACGCGCCCGATGCCAAAGTCGTGCTGCTCAAGCCGACGGCGGGCGCAGCGACGTCACTGCGCGACTTGCTCGAAAGCCTGGCGTCGCGCTCGACGGACGCGCATGTCGGCCTCATGCTTCCCTCAGACGGCGCCCTCTCTGCGTCTCTGCGCCAGCTCTGCCCACAAGACGACGCCAGCAGCAGCAGCGCAACGAGCACATTGCTTGCGCCGCCAGCGCGCCTCGAGCTGTCGGCAGCGCAACACTGCACCCTGCATCGCTTCGACCTGGGCTCCATCGCGCGGCCCGCCGAAGCAGCTGCGCGCCTCTTCGACGGCCTGAGGACGTTGGATCAGCTCGATGTGCGCGCCCCTCCTTGCTCTTCAGACGCCGAGTCATCCGCTGCCGCTGTTGCGCCTTCTGAAGGGCCGAAGCACTGCGACGTCATTCTCGTCGAGGCCGTCGAGGAGCAAGGCGTGGGCCTGGCAGTTATGAATCGCCTCAACAAGGCAGCGGGCGAGCAGGTCGAGGTGCGCACCTAGTTCGCGCGCCCCAATTGCGTCGTCCCCACGGGCCCCCACATGGCGCCTCATGTCTACACATCTGCTAGCCCTCTCGCTCGGATGCGCCGCACTCGCTCCGGCGATCGACGAATGCGACGCACCAAGCTGCGCGGCGCAGTTCAAGCAGGCGTTGCAAGGCCGCTGTGCAGCTCGCACTCCCTTCCTCGGCGCCGCAGCTCCGCCCGTCTCGCTCGACGGACCTCGTTCCACTGGCAGTGCCGTCCTGCACAGCGCGCCCCGGACCCGCATGCCTCTTCCTTCCCTTGTATACCCCACAGCAGCAAGCCTAGAGACTGCGCATCTGGCAAACCTCGTAATCAGATTGCTCTCGCCGCCTCTCTCTTCCCCCACTCAGCTTAGCTCGGCCAGCAGCATGCTGTTCAAGCTCTGCAGGATCGAGTCGCCCATGGCCTGCTCTACCGCATCCTCGAGGTGGCGCTTCGGATCTGCGCAGGCGATCGGCAGTGTCAGCACAGAGGCACAGTCGCCAATGTCGAGAAGAGCAAGCCGTGCAGCAAGCCAGCCACACGCACCTTGCTTGCCGACGTGACGCGTCTTGAGCTGCTCGGGTGTGAGCGTCGACTCCTCCTGCACGCTCTTGTTGTATGCTTCCGAGAGTGCGAGCATGCGCTGCACAAGACGTGGGCGTCAGCAAGGCGCAACTGACTGCTTCGCACGTGCTTGCTCACCTGGATGGCCTTCTCATTGCCCGCCTTGTGCTCTCCCCAGTCGCGCAGCCGCAGGCCTTCCATCCATCCGCGCTTGTGCAGGTTGCCCAGCATGCTCTGTTCCAGCTCCGTCTTGCGGTAGCCAATCGCAATGGAGTAGTAATGCCGGTTGAGGCCGTGGATGAGACTCTGGATGCTCGGCTTGTTGAGGTGCCCCACGTTCGACGTCGTCTGCCGCGGCTCCTGGCCCAGCATCACCGTCGAGGGGTTGATGAGCCGGAAGGCGTCGATGACGACCTTGCCCGGCACGGACTGGATCGGGTCCACCACGACGGCAACAGCCCGAGGGTTCAGCTGCTCGAAGGATTGCTGCGTGTTGATGTCGACCGAGGAGAGCCAGCAGCCAAAGCCCGGGTGCGAGTGATACCAGCCGACGACCATCTCGGGCCTGGTGCAGGCGCGTCAGTCTGGGTGCCCACGCGACGAGATGGCCTCGGCGGCAGGATGATCGACTGCATCTCGTGCCTGCACATGTGCTTGAGGCCCCTTCTTACGCCAGCACGCCTCATGAGGCGACTGGGCACAATCGCCTGTGCAGCTCGCTCGCCATCGCGTCTCGCCCAAGGCCGACCGGCAGCACTTGCGCATGCCGCTCGCCCAGTCCAGCTCACGAGGCTGGTCATACCAGGAGTGCAGAGCTGCCGCCGCTCGGACTGCCGCGTCTCACGCTCGCACTCTACTACCGCCGCTCGACCGCCGCGCCTACGTCCTCCCATTCGGCCAGCTCTTCTCGTCGCCGTCTGCCGCATGTCGCACTCACCGGCCAGTCTGCTTCAGCATGTCGAGCATCTTCGTCTGGAACACCGGGTCCACCGCCTCGACACTGACGCCCGTGCCGGACTGCGGCATCGCGAACACGTCGATGACTGTGACGGTGTAGTCGTCGACGAACTCGCCCAGCATCAGACCCATGACCTCCATCGGCACGCCGGCGCGACCGTGCTTGAGCATCTGAGAGGAGGACAGCGGTGAGCATTTGCCGTCTGTTGAGCGCGCGCTCGCAGCGCCACACAGCGACAGCAGCGTGGCCCCAGCTGGCCAACAGCAGCGAGAGACAAGGCAACGAGCAAGGCGAGCCCTGTTTGCCTAATCGGCACGCCTCTTGCAAGACGAACAGCCGGGCCAGCACTTCCGCTCTGCACGCCGCAATCCACCGCCACGCTCCGCCTGCCGCTCCGACGCACCTTGAGCAGCGCCAAGCTGCTGATGTAGATCTTCTCTGCATTGTCGTTCTGCGGCTGGTCGCCCTGCATGCCTGCGCCGCCCGGCCCACTAGGCCCGCCGCCCATGCCCTGCATCATCTGCCGGAGATCCATCGTGCGGTGTGTGCTCTCGTGCTGTAGGCGTGATTCGTGAGGTAGTGAGTGAGGCGAGGCTGTGAGGAGGTGCGAGGATGAAGTGGAGCTGAGGGTAGCTCTAGAGCGGCGCTTGCTTTGGGCCTGGCGCACCTCGCGCCTCGAGGTGCTGCGCTCGGCCGATCACCTGCATGCACCGTGGGAGCGGCGCTCAGGCCACGCCGCGTCGTGCGAGAAACAGGGCGCCGTGTCGAATATACTGCTTCTGCCCTGTCCCTCGCCGTCGTCGGGCGACAGAGACTCATGACTTCTTCCCCTAGTTCAAAAGATGTGCATCTCCGCAATTCTTGCTGGACGCTGAAGTCAGTGCTCGTCCACTCGCTGGCGTTTGGCGCGTGAGCTCGCAGCCGAGAGGCGCTGTCGCGTGGTGAGCTGACGCGCGCGGCACGCCCGCAGCGGCCTTCACGCAGGAGGTGAGACGCAAAGACGTGAGATTGGAGCAGCGTCGAGCAATGCCAGACGCGCAGGTTGGGTGACGTAGGGGACACAAAAAAGGGAGTGTGGAATCCGGAGAAGAGGAAGCTCAGAAGCCGGCGAAGCCGCCGCTCATGGGCACGAGCGGGAGGAACTGGCAGGCGCTGATGACGTTGCCGGCGACGGTCTGCAGCGCGTCCTGGCTCTTGAGCGTCGCCTCGGCCGTCTCGGCGTTCTTGGCGAGGAAGAGCTTGCTCGCCGAGCCGTCCTTGAAGTTGCAGAGCATCGTGAAGAAGACCTCGCCCTCCTTCCCCGACTCGCTCGCGGCCGAGACCGAGCGCGGCACGTAGATGCCCGGCGTGCCCGTCGACTCGTCGGCGTTGATGGGCACCCAGCCGAGCATGTCGGCCGTCTTGGGCACCGAAGTCGGGTCGACCATGCGCAGACGGCTGACGCCCAGCTCGGCCATCGTGGCGGGGTAGTAGATGAAGAGGTTCTCGGCGTCGTCGGTGAGCACGATGTTGTTGACGGCGGCAAAGTAGAGGCCGCCCGTCTCCGCCGTCTTCTCGACGAGCGTGAGGCTGCCGTCCTCGTTGTTGGCGAGCTTGTAGCGGTTCAGCGAGTCCTGGATCTGGATGTACTCGAAGCCGTCCTGCGAGCCGGCGTTCTCGGCGGCCGCGATGCTCTCGTCGATGTCCTCTTGCAGCTCCTTCTGGGCCTCGGGCAGCAGGTCGTCGTTGGCAAAGTCGAAGTCCGAGTCGGTGAGGTCGATCTCGCGCGCCAGCAGTGCCCGCTCGTCGCGCTTCATGACGTCGCTGGCCAGGAGCTGCACGCTGCGGCCCTGCAGCTGCTCGACCTCGTCACCGTCGGTCGGAGCGCTGCCGTCCGTGGGAGCGCTGCCATCGAACGGAGCGCTGCCGTCGGTCGGAGCGCTGCCGTCCGTGGGCGTGGTGCCGTCGGTGGGCGTGGTGCCATCGGTCGGCGTGGTGCCATCGGTCGGCGTGGTGCCATCGGTCGGCGTGGTGCCATCGGTCGGCGTGGTGCCGTCGGTCGGCGTGGTGCCGTCGGTCGGCGTGGTGCCGTCCGTCGGCGTGTCCTTGACGGGCGCGCCGGGCAGCATGAAGCAGTCGCCTGCGAGCTTGTGCTTCCACGGCTCGCCGAGCGGCTTGCGCGTGCCGAAGAGATCCATGGCGACCTCGTTGCGCAGCGAAATCTCGTAAGCAACGCCGCCGTTGCACTCCGTCTCGGCCGGAGCCTCCTTGTCGTAGAAGTACTTGGCCTCGGCGCCGATGCCGGGCTCTGTGCTGATCGCCACCTTCTTGTCGAAGTTGACCGGCTTGATCTTTACGCCGACGCCGATGGAAATGGGCAGCGACAGCAGCGCCTCGGCCTTGATCTCCGTCTTCACCTCGAATACCTTCTCGAACTTGGGCGTGAAGCCCTCGGCCGACCAGGCGCTCTCCGCGAGGAAATCAAGCCGCGCCTTGAAGGCATCCATGCCATAGGTTGCGCCAACCTTGAGGGATCCCGACGCGGCCGCCTCGAACTTGAATTGCGCGTCGAGCGACATGGACGGGCCGACGACGACGTAATCCTTGATGGCGAAGCCGCCCAGGGGCACCGTCATGATGTTCGTCTTGGCTGAAAGGGCAGACAGTCAGCGCACGTCGCTTTGCTTTAGGCATTCGAGCAACGCACAGGTCTTCTCGTACGTGCCCTCCGCCTCGAGGCCGAGCACGGCCGTTGCCTTGATGCCGCCGGCGACCTGTACGAACGCCTGCTTGATCGAGCCTCCATTCTCTGCGCGTCGGCGGTGTGAGCAGAGGCCTCTACGTCGCACCGCCCGTCGGACTCACGGATAGAGAACTGCAGCTGGCCGGTGAGCTGCGCCGAGCCCTCGATGCCGCAGCTGCGAAGAGGGAGACGGTCAGCGGATGGGCCTCAAGCACGCCTGCGAGGGAAGCTGCTGACTCTACACAGAAGAGGGCCACCTCGCCCTTGGCGCCGTTGCGGTCGAACTTCTCGTGGAAAATGCGGAACTGGTTGCCCCACGTCTTCGAAGGCTGGAGGCCCTTCGTCGGCTTGAGCGAGAGGTTGAGCGTCTTGTCGATCTTCGGCGAAGCGCTCTCCAGCGCCTTGTCGATGATCGGGCCGAGCTAAGGCAAGGATCTGTATCAGTCCCTGCGGCTGGGCGGCTGTGTCGCATCGCTACATACCGGAGTCGCGCCGATGGCGGTGACGACGCCCTGGACGAACACCCGTGCCGGAGCCGTGACGACGGTGACAATGGCAGATCCGAGCTTTCTGAAGACTATGGAGAAGCGGTGGTGAGCACCGCGAGCTGCAGCCTCGTGCCGTCGTCCACTTACCCTTGCCCATCGAGATGAAGCGCTTGTCGTACATCATGAGCTCGCCGCGCGCGGACATGAGCTGGGCACGGCGCAGCTGCTGGCGCTTGCTGTTGGTGTACGTCGTGTCGTCCTTGAAGTCGTCGTCGGCCTCGTCGTAGTCATCCGGGCTCAGCGAGCCGAGGCCCGGCGCCAGCTCCGAGGCGTACTCGGCGAAGCTGTCCTCATTGCGCAGGTTGTTGAAGCCCAGACGGCTGTCGAGCGTCTTGTCGAAGTCGGCACCGCACGCGGCGACGGGCAGGCCGCGCACGGTCGTCGAGGCGTCGACGTCCTGGCAGGTGGCCTCGCCAGGGGTCGTGGTTCCGGGCGTCGTGCCGGGCGTCGTGCCGGGCGTCGTGCCGGGCGTCGTGGTGCCAGGAGTGGTGCCAGGCGTCGTAGTACCAGGGGTCGTGCCAGGCGTCGTGGTGCCAGGGGTCGTGCCAGGCGTCGTGGTGCCAGGAGTCGTGCCAGGCGTGGTGGTGCCGGGCGTAGTACCGGGCGAGGTACCACCCGGCGAGGTGCCAGGCGTCGTGCCGCCGGGTGTGGTGCCGGGCGTAGTGCCACCAGGCGTCGTGCCCGGCGTGGTGCCGCCGTTGGCGGGAGTCGAGCCGCCGAACTTGATGTTGACCTCATTGATCACGTCCTGGTGCGCGACCTCGGTGCAGCGGACGTCGACGGTGCGAGCGACGTCGTCCCAGACGAGGCCGTTCTTCTCGACGAGCCAGAAGGTGCGCTCGTCCGCCTTGTCGGCGGCACCGCAGCCGTCGCTGTGCGTCACGATGAGGAACTTGTCAGCGAGCTTGCTCCACGAGTTCTTGGCGTACGTGTAGGCGGCGGCGTCGGAGAAGGGCACCTCGATGCCGGCGCCGCCGGTCTTGCTGACCGACGCCGCCTCGCACTTGGGCACGCCGACGCGGCTCGAGTGCGACAGCACGACAGCCGGGAAGCTGAGGTCGGCCTTGAGCGTGGCGAAGATCTGGCTGACGGACGGGTCGAGAGCGCCGGACTGGAGGTAGAAGAGCTCGAGACCGGGCGAGGCGTCGAGGTTGGAGAGGTCGCGCAGGTCGCGGTTCCACGGCAGACTCGGCTGCAGGTCGGGCTGCTCCGTCTGCGGCACGCGCGTGCAGCGAGAATTCGCGCAGAAGCCAGTACGGCAGTTCGACGACTTGTAGCAGTACTGTCCGATGCGTTTCTTCGGCGCACAGTAGGCATTCTGGCAGTTGCCCGAGCCGCACGAGGCGGACGTCGAGCAGCGCGTGCCGAGGCTGAGGTTCTGCGACGCGCAGCGGCCGGCCTGGAGGGAGGCGTGAGCATGAAGTCATCGATGCCGAGCCGCCGAGCTCACCTGGACATCGCACGAGCCGCTGAAGCAGCTCGCAAAGGCGAGGCAGCGGTCGCCGTCCCACTTCTTGCGGCGGCAGCGGCCCCACGAGCAGTAGCTGTTGCGGCCACACTTCTTCGACGACGTGCAGCGGCGGGAGCGAGCCTCGAGGAAGTTCTGGGCGTCGGCCGAGTCATCGAGGTCGCGCGGGATCAGGGCGCCGGTGGCCGAGACATCTTGGATGAGGCAGAAGAGGGCGAGCAGGGGCAGGAGGCCCAGGAGAAGAGTAGGACTGCGCATCTTGACCTGAGTGCCGGGACAGGGAAGGCGACGAGACGAGGCCAGCTTATATACGCGAGCGAGAGGATGTGCGAGCGACGCGGATCGAGTGCTACGCTCTGCGACGGCACGCTGTGCAACAAGTCTCGTTTACCCACTCGACGTCGAACGCTGCGCTCCTCGAACGCAGGCACGCCATCGAGACAGAGGCTTGCCGCTCTCATGCTCTGCGGGATGCCTGCGCAGGCCGGTCCGTTCGGGAGGCGCTCACCATGAACCCTTCTCCTGCGCACGGGTCTGCCTTGGCGGCCTCCCGTGTGGCTGCAAAGGCGTACCGAGCGGGTTGGCGTGTCCCGCGAGGCGGAGTGCGACGAGCTCGCAGGACTGTCGGAGGGGGCCTGTCTGGCGGACATGTAAGGTGTGCATGGGACGGCGTCGGCTGAGCAAGCGGCGGTCAGAGCTCACCTCGGGCATGAGCTTGTTGGGCCCGACGGGACGCCGCTCTGCCGATGAGCAGTGCGCTGGCGGGACAGGAGCATGCGTGTGCGCACCGAAGGCGTAGCAGCGTTATTCCGCTCGCTGCAGCCACGGGAGGCGGAGTCTGCCGTCGTGGCATGCTTTAGGAGCCGCGGGACGAGGTCGTTGGAGCAGGGAGCGATCGACGGGTGTCGCCCAGGTGCAGGCTTGATGCGCAAGGGTCCAGGGGGGGGGGGGGGGGCCGCACCGCGCATGTGGTGCGGAAAGCGCGGCGAGGGGGCGGCGCCGCCGCCGCCGGTGCCTATTCCCGGCCGCGCAGGGTGTATTGTAGGCAGTGAGCATGGCCAGAATATCCGAACGCAGTGTAGCATGCGAGAAGGCGTGCAGGCGAGCAGGCGCAGGGCACGAGGAGAAGGAAGCCGGCGCGAGGCGAGGTGAGGGCGAGAGCGAGCGAGGCGCCCACGCAGCCACACGTCGCATGCTCGCCGCTCCCACGCGCTCGTGCCTGCACAAGGCATCTCAGCCGCAGCGGCAGCCTGAGCGACAGGCGGAGCGATGAGAGTGCACTGCAGTGCAGCGCAGCGCAGTGCAGTGCAGCATCGCCCGCCCGGACAGGCACACTCAGCTGCCTGCGATGCTGCACCGGCGATGGAGAGGCGGAGGTGCCGCCGCAGCCACACCTCGCAGCGCAAGGCCGAGGCGGAGAGGCGCGTGCGCCCACCACGCCCACCTCACGCCGCCTTCGCGCAGCCCGCATGCCGACGACGGCGCTCGGCGTAGCGAGGCGCTGCCCGGTCATGCGCATGCGCGTGGCTGCAGCGCGAGCTTGCTTTTCCCGCTCGCTGCCGCGCTTTGCCTCCTCCCGACCTCGGGCATCTTCACCGCTCGCTTCCTCTCTTCGCTTGCTGCACGCCCCTTGCTCAGCGGACCCTCGTGCTCTTGCTGCGAATTGCCCATGGCATCGCGCATCTCGCTCGCAGCGTACAGTCTGCGCGTGCCAGTGCAGGCGGCCGTCGCAACTCGGCGCTGCCTGGCGGTCGACACCGGCGCGGGCACCTGTGCTGCGAGCGATGCAGGCGCTTCCCGTGCCGCTTGGCGCTGCGCGTGGACCCTGAGAGGTGCGTGTGCCTCGGTGCCTGGCGCTTCATGCCTCTGATCCACTGCGATGCGCTGCTTGTTCCGGTGCGGGAGCAGTCACAGCATGCTGCCTCTGAGTCGAGCGCTTGCAGAGGCAGCCGCTCAGCTGCAGAGGCACGTCTTGTCTGCTCGGCTCGGCTCCCGACGTCTTGTCCTGCGCTGCGCTGCACGACGCGACGCGACGCGGGAGGCGAGCGCCTTTCCTGCTGCGATGCTGCCTGCCGCCTGTCACTCCCGCAGCCGCGGCCTCTGCTGCTGCGACGGGGACCGACAGCTGTCTGCTGCACAGCTGCCTGCGCAAGACGATCTGCTACGATCCGCTCCGGTCCTGGCCCCTTCGTGCTGTGCTGCAGCTCAGTGCTGCTGCTGCCGGTGCCGAACGCTGAACGGCTGCCAGCGCCACACCTCCCTTCATGCTTCCTGCGAGCGGGAGCGGCGCCCGCGCGAGCGCTGCGCCGCTCAGCACCGTCCTTGCCATCAAGGCGCGGGAGCTCGGCGGCGGAGCGTCGAAGGACGGCAAGCCGACGTGCAGCATGCAGGAGCAGCGTGCCTGGCAGCGCTTGGCGTGCAGCATGGCCGCCGTCTCGGCGACGACTGCCGCGGAAGCAGCGCTCCGAGAGGGCAGGCGCAGCATCGGCACAGAAGGAGCGACGTCGAGCCTCCTGTCTGCTTCTGCGAGAGAAGCCTCTCACATCGACGGCGGCTTCAGCTTGCCCTGCGACCCTCGGCCTCGGACACTCGCCCGTCATCGGCGACGGCACTCCAACGAGCCGATGCCGGCTGCACCGTCCGCTCGCCGCACGACTCAACTGCCGCCGGAGCACGCCTTTGCGCTTGCGCTCCGTGCGTTGCGCTGTGCTGCGAGCTTGGGCCCCGAGCCGAAGGCTGGCTCGTCGCATTCCGGAGACCGACTGCGTCTGCGCTGCTGAACCCTGAGCGGCTGGCTGGCACATGCGCCGAGCTTTCAGGGTGCCGCCACACATGCACTGCGGCCCGAGCGCTGTCTTCCTCGCCTCATATTTGGCCTGCACGCCTCCCCGTGGTGGCTGCATGCTTGCAAGCCAAGGCCATCATCATGCGCAAGCGCAACCGGTTGCCTCGCTGCCACCGTCCGGCACTCCGCCTCTCGCTCATCGGTCCCACGCGGCGGACTCGACTCTACCTGACTGCTGCTGCACCACGAGGCAGCATACAAGCACGTGGGCCCGCTCCGCCCGTCAGAGCCAGCAGCGCTCCGCAAGACCACGCGAACCCCGCCGCTGGCTCACACGCACGCGAAACTCCGCGTGTGTGCTTCCTTCGCGCTCAGCATCCGGCTTGGCAAAGTCGGCATGTCGTCGGACCGCTTCCTTCGCGAACGCCACAGGGACACCCGGCGCGGGAAAATGGGCGAGAGCGAGCTTCCCGCGTCGCTGCTGCGGGACCGACGGCGCCGGCATCGGCTGCCTCGGCTGCTCTCATTTCTGACAAGTCTGCGATGGCAGCTGTGAGGGACCAAGCGAGGCCGCTCTTGCCGAGCCTAGTTCTCGCGGCTCGACCCGACTGCTGGCCTGCCGCCGATCTGCAGCAGCCGAGCATCGGAGGTGCCGTCATATAAGCCTCGAGCGTCTTCTCACCACGCCGAGCTCCCTACCCGGACGCCCAAAACAACCATGCTGCACCTCTGGCACGTCGTCTCTGCCTTTGCGCTGCTGCTGCTGCAAGCGCGCGCCCTCGAGTTCGCCTTCACCACCTTCTCGTGCAACGAGGTGCGCTTCACCTATGCGCTGGACCAGAACACGTGGGAGCGCCAGGCCAATGTGCTGCTCATCAACTACCGTGGTGAGTCGAGCAGCACCACGTGCAGGCTGTGCGAGATGGACGTTTGACGCACCGCAATGCTGACACACACGCGCCGGCCACAGACGAGACGATCGCTGCCGTCGATATCAACTCGCCGTCTGGCACGGGCTCGTTTGATCCCACAGTGATCACCGAGGCCGCGCGCTATGACTTCACCGTGGCGCTGGGCAGCGACGCATGCGATGTCTTTGCGACGGACGGCGCCTGCTTCGAGGCTGGCCGCAACCAGCTCTACGCCCTCACGATCAGCCAGCAAGCAACGTGCGACGGTGAGGGCACGGGCGACGCAGATGCCACCTCCAACCTGCCGGCCGACGGCGCGCAGAGCTCAGAGGCGGACGAGGCAGACAATCAGGCGCTCAACTCGGCTGTCGTGCCCGACGACATCGCACACACTGCCGGCGCCGTGACGGTGTCTGTCGGCTCCGCGGAGGCCAGCAGCACCGGCAGCGGCGCTCAGACGGCTACGCCTACGAGCAGCGCCGCGCCTACGACGGCCACGCTCATTCCTCTGCCGCTCAGCTCGACCGCGCCGGCTGCCAATGCCGCCTCGGCGCGCGCAGGCTGGTCCGGTGCTGCGGTACTCGCTGCTCTTGTCCTCGCTGCCGCCGTCTGAGCGGCGGGCGGCCATGTATGTCTCTCCTCTGGGTGCCCGTCGTTTCAATGTCACGCTTCTTCTCGACACGCGCGCAAGCAGCCCTGTTCGCGGCCTGGCGGGTGTGACGCTGTGACGCTGTGTCATTGAGCTGCCGCTGCACCCGGTCCGCCGTCGAGAACTCCGCATGTCGCTCGACGTTTACACGCTCACACAAGCCGCAGGAGAATGACCTTTATTTTCGCGTGACAGGCGGCGGACACACCCACAGGGCACACCGGGGACGAGAGACAGAGGGGAGGGTATGTGACAAAGGCGTCGCCGCGGCGGACAGTGGGCGTGGGCGTGGTGGTGCCTGCTGCTGCTCTGGCGAGCCTGCGCCGACTGCGCTTAGCAGAGGGCGGAGAGGACGCGCTTCCAGAGCGGGCGGGCAGCGAGCTCCTCGCGCTCGCGGTCGAGCTCCTGGCGCGACATGGGGTCGCGGCGGCCGGTGGTGAGGTCGATCTCGTCGATGCGGATGTAGCGCGTGCGCTTGACGACCTTGTAGATCAGGAAGCAGAGGATGACGACCGGGAAGGCGAGGTACGACTGGAAGAAGTCAGACACGCGCGTGCCGACGTCGCCGCTCGGGTAGCCGATGGGCCAGGCAGCCTTGATGAACTGGAAGATGAGCACAAGGATGTTGAAGCCGAAGCCGAAGTACGAGCCGGCCACGCCGACGGGCGACGTCCACGGCAGGTCCTTGGCGTCGCGGCCGCTCTTGGCCCAGGCGCGGCGGAAGCGGATCTTGGCCAGGTTGATGCTGCCCCACGAGAAGATCGAGGAGAGACCCGAAAGGGCGAGCAGCCAGTTGAAGACGGTGTTGTTGGCGTCCTCGCCCGAGTACACCAGGAAGGCGAGTGCGCCCATGATGAGCGACAGGGCGACGGCGGGCAGCGGGCGGCCCTCGCGGTCGATGTAGGCGAAGATCTTGGGCGCCTGGCCGGACTGGGCGAGACCGCAGAGCGTGCGCGAGGCGCCGAACACGGCCGAGTTGCCGACGGAGAGCACCGAGATGAGGATGACGGCGTTGAAGATCGACGGCAGCGTGCTGATGCCGGCGTTCTCAATGGCAATGACGAAGGGCGAGGCGCGCGCGTCGTACGACGAGGCACCCGACTTCAGGCGCGGCTCCGTGTAGGGCACGATGAGACCGATGAGGAAGAGCGTGACGATGTAGAAGATCAGGATGCGCCAGAAGATCTGCTTGCACGCCTTGGGCACCTCCTTGCGCGGGTTGCCCGTCTCGGCAGCGGCAAGGCCGACGAGCTCCGTGCCGGCGAAGGCGAAGGCAGCCGTCACGAAGATGGAGACGAAGCCCTGGAAGCCGTTGGCGAACGCTCCGGGGTCGTGCCACGTGCGCGCACCGAGGTACTCGCCGCCCGGCTGGCCGCCGACGTCGATGATGATGCCAAGGATGATGAAGCCGACGACGGCGATGATCTTGATCATCGAGGCCGCGCTCTCGAACTCGCCGTAGCCGCGGACGCCGAACAGGTTGATGATGATGATGGCGACCATGAAAATCAAAATGTAGCTGCGCGCGCGGAGTGAGCATGTATGCGCGTTGCGCGCCACTGGGCAGCCACTCACACGCCGATGGGCACAGACGAGTAGGTGGGGTCCCAGTACTGCAGCACGATCGAAGCGGCCACGAGCTCAAGCGGCTGAGGCAGGTGTCAGCCACTGCGGCGCCTGCGCCACACGCGCGCAACTCACAAGCACGATGAACCACTGCATCCAGTAGTTCCAGCCCATGGCGAAGCCCCAGGCGGGGTCGATGAAGCGCGTCGAGTAGGCCGAGAAGGAGCCGGAGACGGGGTACGACGTGGCCAGCTCACCGAGGTCCATGACGACGGTGAACAGCATGGCGCCGATGAGCATGAAGTCGATGAGCAGGAAACCGGGGCCACCGTTGGCGAGCGCACCGCCCGAGCCGATGAAGAGACCCGTGCCAATGCTGCCGCCGAAGGCGATCATCTGCATGTGGCGGCCAGTGAGGTTGCGCTTGAGGCCGCTCTCGTCGGACGTGAGGATGGCGCCGCCGTCGGCGGTGAGGTGCACGCCCTGCACGTTGGCGTACTCGCGGTTGCCGTAGTCGGCCGAGCCGCCGCTCTCGTGCTCGGCCTTCTCGACGACGCCGGGCGAGCCGTCCTTGGACGCGATGGCCGGCTGGCTGGGGTCGTAGCCATGGCCGGGCTCGGCGGGCCTGGGGAGAGCAGGGTGGTCAGCGGCTGTCGCACGACGCAGCCAGCGGAGCTGACACTCACTTGAAGCCGTCGACGAAGCTCTTCATGAAACCCATGCTGGGCGAAGAGGTGGGGTGTGGTGGGGTGGGTGGTAGCGGGGGCGCAGAGCGCAGCAGCGGCGGCGCGGGCCTTATGTATGCGAGCGGGTGCGGCGCAGAAGGATGGCCGCCGCCGCACCGTCGGCGGGCGAGAAGCGATGTTATCGCAGCGGCGCGCGGGCACTGGACGAGGGCCCAGGGGTGGCGCCGGCGCGGGCGAGGGTGGTGTGGCGTGCCCCACGCTCGCTGCGCGCTGCACGCGACCTAGGCACAGAGTGCATCCGGCACTGGCGCACTCTCGCGTGCCGACCTCGGCGATGCGATTGCAGCAGCAGGCAGCCGCGCAGAGGGCTCCAGACGCCGCCGCATGCCGCGCAGGACGGGGGCAACACGCAGCTCGGCGCACCACGCCAGCAGAGCACGCTTGCGGCTTGCCCCGCCGGTTGCGAAGAAGGACGCGAGAGGCGCGCGAGAGGCCGCGGAGGCGCGGCTGCGGCGCCGGCGGTGCGGCGGCGGGCGCCGTATCTTCCGCCTGCTGAAGGCAGGGCAGATGCACATGGCGGCATTACAGCAGTGCGGCCAGCGTGCAGCGCGCCGCAGGAGATTGCGCGGCGTGCAGGCACTGCGCGAGTGTACCACGACGCACCCGCGCCGCTTCTGGGCCGCCGCATGGCCGCATGCGCGCCCGCCGCTGCGCCGGCACACTGCTCCGGTGCCTGCGGCTCAACATGCCGGCGCAGCACCTGTCCTGCACCCTGCTGCCCAAGTGCAGCGGTCCGCCGCAGGCGCACGGCGGACCGGCCCACATGCTGCTCCTTCGCGCCACGAGGCGGCGCAGACGCCGAGGCCGAGCTGTCGCCGCGAGGGCCTCTCTTCTGCGGCGCGCGGCATGCGTGGACGTCGCGCGTGTCTCTTCTCGCGACGGCGAGGCGTGTGCGGCAAGAGCGCCAGCGCAGAACGAGCGGGAGGCGAATGGAGTGCGCTCTTGCCCTGCGAGGCGCATCGGCAGGCGGCGCTCGCTATCGCCGCCCATCGACGCGGAGGCGACCGCGTGCCGCTCAGGGCCAGATGGGCCCGGCCTCAAGCCACAGGCACACCGAGCAGAGACACGGCTGGCTGGCCACCGAGCCATGGCCGCGCTCGCTGCGTGCTTCCTTTTTCATATTCACGCCTCTGCCAAGGCCAGCCAGGAAGAAAGGGCCTCTCTCGCAGCTGCGGCCGCTGCTTCCGCGCTCGCCAGTGGCCTGAGGCCCCACCGCCAGGGCGCGCAGGCGAGGGGCGGCTCGCAGCACCGCCATTCGCGGGCGGCGCGCGTCGCGGAGACGGACATGGGCCGCGGCTCCCTGGTCCGGACAGCCAGAGAGACCCGAGGGCGCGGGGTGCAGCATGAAAGCACGGCTGCAGCGCGCCAGCACTGCAGCGAGGAGGGGGCAAAAATGCGTGGCACAGCCGCCAGCCGCGCGGCGCTGCTGCGGCGCCGCAGCAAAATGCAGGGATGGCCTGCCACGCGGGGCCTTGGCGCGGCGCCAGCACCGCGCAGCTGCAGAGCATGAAAGGATGTCCGGCGTGCTGCCGCCCGAGCCGCCGCCGGCGTGCGGGTGCCTCGCAGATGCTTCGCGCTTGGTGCGCAGGCGTGGTCTGGCGCCTGCGATGCTGCTGCTGCCTCGGTCTGTCTGCAGCTGAGCAGATGGCTTGAGCAGGATGCAGCCCTGCAGATGCAGACGAGTCGCCGCAGCCGTAGCCGCAGCACGCTACGACGGCCTGCACTCCCGCGGCGAGGAGCTTGCCTCGTTGCCTCTCGCCGTCGCGCCTATTCGGCTGCCAGATGCTGCGCCTCCGCGCTGCATGCTGCACACCCCCGGTGGCCCCATTGGCCCGCCCCTGCGTGGGTGTTCTACAAGGCACGCTGGCGGATGCTTGGCGCTGCAACGGACTATTTGCGGCAGGGCTCTCAGCGACCGACGTGCGCGGGAAGATGTGCGAGAGGGGAGCGTCTGAACGGCGGATGGCGGTGCGGATGCTTATGGCATGCTCCCTCGGTGAACACGGGCCGGAGGTTGAGGCTGCCGGAGCTGCGCTGCGCTGCTCTGCTGCGGAGGGAAGCTCGCAGCCAATGCTCGCTTCACGCTTCGTCAGCCCATCTCATGCTGCCGTGCAGCGCTGCAGAGTGCGGGTCCCACGCCAGACCTCGGCGACTGCAGTGCTCCATCTTGCTGTGTGCGGGCTGCGGCGGCGTCGAGGTGGATGGCTGGCCCTTCGCCCGCAGACGCGAGAGCGCAGGTCGTGTGACCCGCGTCGCCTCGCGTCGCGCGGCCGCACGCCCGCATCCCAGCCCCGATGCATGGTGGCGGACGCATCGCGCGGTCGGCGCTCGGACGCTTGCCCGCAGGCCAAGGGCGCATCAATGCCCTGCGCAGACGGGTCGGTAAGCTGCCTGGGTGGGCGGAGTGTGAGGCGCCGCACGTGACATGCGAATGGACGCCGAAGAGAGAGCGATGCCTCGCACCGCCAGCAGTTGTGCCGCGGCTGCTGCTCCCGCTGGACAACGATAAGGTCGTGCGCGAGCGGGCGCGGCTCGCAGCTTCTCGCTCTCGCACCCTGCGGGACCGTTTCGGCGCAGCCGGCGGGAACTTCGGCTTTCGCGCGGCAATCTCTGTGCAGTGAACAGCGCTGTGGCGACGCTGGACCGGAGCGTCGGTGCTGCTGCATGCCGTGCGACACCCTGCGTCGGCCGTGATGGGAGCTGTGCCCTGCATGCTGCATGCTGCGAGCGGCACACTGCGTGCTGCGATATGATCGGGCTGGCCGTGCGAGCGGTGCGATAGCAAGGCTTCGAGCGGCGCTCAGAACGCAAATTGGCTGCCGCTCAGCGGCCTTGCGGTGCACGTGCATCCAGGCGGATGCGGCAATGTCCACGGCCCTCGCACGGACGCCGCTGCCCGCGAGATGTTCTCGCGCAGGTGATGCCGGGGACGAACAGGGGCTCTGAGCACGCTTGGGCTGCTCTGCACTTGGAGCTCAAGCCTAATCCCTCGCCAAGTGGCGAAGTGCGACTCAAAGACATTGATGGCCTGCCGAGAAGCAACGACTGTGGATGAAGCGCGGGGACGCCCCCAGCGCATGTCACAACAAGACGCCTGGTGGAGTCGGCATCGCAGCGCATGCTTCTGAGCCGGCTAGCCATTCAAGGTAGTATCTCTTGTCTGCTTCAGAATATGGCCCCCAAAAAGGAACAGGTAGGTGCAACTCATGGGCCTGCGTCAACCCCGGCGAGGTGAGGCGAAGAGGCAGAACGAGGCTCGCGGGCGCTTCGCAGCGTGGGAGCGCGCGCACTGTTCCCACGTGGCCGCGTCACGCACGCCATCTGCCGCCGGCGTGGCGCGCCGCTTCTCTGGCGCGCACACCATCCTCCCTCCGCCGGCAGTTGTGCGAATGGCCGCAGGCCGCCGGCACCCCACGCCCACGGCGACAGCCGCCAGCAGCAGCATGCCACGCCTTGACGCAGGCGCTGAGAGGAAAGTGAGCTACAGCAGCAGATTGAGGCGGCAGCATGCAGCAGCAGGGCCAAGCAGTCCGCTCGCGTCCTCCCCTCAGTCGCAGATTTCCTGAGGTGCCGGCGCGCTTCACCGCCAGTCACGCAGGCGGCACGCGAGACGAGCGCAGAGACGCAAAGCGGCAGAGAGAAGCGAGAGGAGAGCCTCCGCTTCATGCCCATCGCCGATGCGAAGCGTCCTCGCCGGGCGGAAAGCAGCAGGGCACCGCCGGTGAGGAGCTGCAGCGTGGAGGACGCAAGATGCCCACGCACGTGCGCGCGCATGGTGCCGACACTGCCACTGGACAGGCTAGCGTTCGGCCTTGACGTCGCGCGTGCTCCCTCTTGCGACATCGCGCTGTGCAAGGCGTCCATGTCGGCGCGCTACCGCGAGAGGACGATGCACCTGCTGGGATAGCCGAGCGACGTGCAGGCGCCACACGCAGACCGTGGCCCCCCTTCGGCAGGTGGAGCGTCGCATGAGACGTTTGCGAGTCTTCGCCAGGGGCACAGTGCCGGCGGCAGTGCATCTCGGAGCGGGCATACCGCTGCTCCGGGCTGATGATCTCTATCACGCAAGGAGCAGAGCTCGTCTGGCTCTGCGAGGGGCACTGTCGAGCTCAGTACTTAAGGAGCAGTCCCATGGACGACTCGCACGCTCTGTCCGACTCACCCCCTCATCTCTCCTCCCTCTCGCCTCGACACGATGGATCCAAGCCGCGGCATTCCGCCGCCTCTGAGGTGCGTCGGCACTGCATCACGCCCTGCCTTTCCTGGCTGACCGTCTCGCAGCCAAGGATGGGGCTACGGCGTGGTGCTGGGCGTCGGCTTCGCCTTTGCTGTCGTTATGCTGGGCATTACGTACCTGCTCAAGCGCTATCAGGGCGAGGACAACTCGCGCTTCGAGACGTACGCCGTCGCCGGACGGCAGGTCGGCACCGGCCTCACGGCGGCGGCTGTGATCAGCTCCTGGGCCTGGTCGACGGCGCTGCTCTCCTCTAGCGTCGTGACGTACAACTACGGCATCGCTGGCGCATACTGGTGAGCAGCGCTCGAGTGCATCCGGTGGTTCCGAGCTGACGCAGGAGTTCTGCCACAGGTTCGCGGCAGGCTGCACTTGCCAGGTGCGCAGTCAGAGCTACGAGACGGCAGGTGCAGGAGCTGACCTCTGCGCAGATCGCCGGCTTCAGCGTGCTCGCCATCAGCGCCAAGCGGCGCTCGCCGCACGCGCACACGCTGCTCGAGATCGTCCGCGCGCGCTACGGCACCATTGCGCACCTGGTCTACATGGTCCTCTGCCTTCTGACCAACCTGATCGCCACTATCAACATGTCGCTCGGCTCTGCTGCCACGATTTCGGCGCTGACGGGCATGCCCACGGAGGCCTCCGTCTTCCTGCTGCCCGTCGGCGTGTGCGCGTACACCATCAGCGGCGGCCTGCGCGCGAGTGAGTTGTCCAAGGCAAGCGCTGACCGCGAAGGCTGCTGACCTCTCCGGCAGCATTCATTACCGACTACCTTCACACGGTAGTCGTCCTTCTTCTGTCCATTTTCCTAAGCCTCAAGGCTATCAACGCGCCCGCCACTGGCGGGCTCGACACGGTCTGGCGCAACGTCACGGCGCTGGCTCAAACGGCACCGATTGCGGGCAACCTCGAGGGCTCGTACCTCACGATGAACTCGCTCAGCGCGCTGGCATTCGGCACTCTGCACACTGTGAGCAGCGAGAAGACACTGCGATGGCTGCGCATGGGCTAATGCAGTATGCGCAGCTTGGCAACCTGGGCCTCGTCATCCAGGACAGCTCGTACTGGCAAAAGGCCTTCTCGGCCAACCCCGCCGCTGCAGTTGATGGCTACACCATCGGCGGCCTGCTGTACTTTGCCATTCCTTGGGCGCTCGGTACGATCGCAGGCCTGGTCGGCCTGAGCCTGACGAACAACCCGGCCTGGCCCGCCTTTGGGCGCGCGCTTACGGCTGACGAGACGAACAACGGCCTCGTGCTGGCCTACACTGCGCTTGCTACGGCTGGCAAGGGCGGTGCCGTCGCTGTGCTCTTCGTCATCTTCATGGCCGTAAGTCGCAGCTCTTTCCACTCTGCTTTGCAAGACTGACGCGCCGGCCGGACAGTGCACCTCGACGATCTCGGCGCAGCTCGTCGGCGTCTCGTCGATTGTCTCGAGTGACATCTTCCATCAGTACCTGCACCCGCGCGCGACGGAGCGCCAGATCATCAATGTCAGCCGCGGCGCCTGCGTCGGCTTTGCACTCATCACTTCGGCGATCAGCGTCGTCTTCTTCCACATCGGCCTCAGCCTGACCTGGACTCTATACTTCCTTGGGTGAGTGTGAAGAGCCGTGAGGCAGTCGCGCGGCACTGGCTGACGCGGCTTTCCAGCGTCGTCGTCTGCCCTGGTGTTGTGCCGACGGCGCTCACGCTCCTGTGGCGCAAGCAGAGCCGCGTGGCGGCCATTGCTGCACCGATCATCGGCCTCGCCGCCGGCCTGGCGACGTGGATATCTACGGCGTGGCACTACGGCGGCGGCGTCATCAATGTCACGACGACGGGCGCGCTCATTCCGTGCATGTGGGGCAACATCGTCAGCTTCTTCGTGCCGCTGGTGCTTGCGCCGCTCCTCAGCTTCGTCTTTCCCGACCAGTCGGCGTTTGAGTGGGACCGCTTCAACGACATCAAGCTCATCCGCGACGACGCCTCGATTGGCGCGTCGGAGAAAGAGGCCGAGGGCGCCTTCACCGAGGAGCAGCTCGCATTCATGTCGCGCAAGAGCAAGCAGGCGGCCTACACAAGCGTCGTCATCTTCCTCGCGACGTGGATCCTGTGGCCGTTTGGCATGTGGGCCGGACACTACACCTTCTCGCTGCCCTTCTTCCGCGGCTGGGTCATCGTCTCGCTCATCTGGCTCTTCCTGGCGCTCATCTACGTCACCTTTGCGCCGCCGCTCGAGGGCGCCTCGGTCGTCAAGCGCATCGCGCTCGGCGTGGTGGGCCGCGGCAAGCTCGTTAAGGCGCCCGAGAGCGGTGCTGGCCGCGCCGAGTCTGTTGCGGAGAAGCGCTCGCCTGCCACACCCGACTCGCCGTCGACGCCGACCAACGAGTTCGCCGAGGGCCCGCTCAAGCAGGCGCCCTGATGCCCCTCCAAAATGATTCCCTCTGTCTTGCTCTACCTTAGTGTAATACATTGCTTCGCTGTTGCGGAGAGAGGTGACCGGTGCCGAACAACGGCGCAGCGCAGCCCGCGAGCGATCGCAGAATGGCGCTTGCAAGCTTCGGCTTGACGCGCCTGGCAATCTGGTGCAGGGGCAGCTGCGGCGAAGCGGCGAATCGCCGCAAGCCTGAAGCGTAGCTGGTAGTCGCTGACGCAGCAGGTGACCGGACTGGATGCCGTCTGGACGGCCGAGCTTGAGCGAGCGTGGCAGATGTGCGGCCGCATCAGAGCGGGCGTCGAGCGTCGTCGACGCACACCAGCACAGCCTACTCGCGACGTATCCGGCCCGTGTACGTATCGGCGCCGGCCGGCAAGCCAATGTCCTTGACGCCACGGCTCTCAAACACATCCTCCATCATGCGAGTGCCGCGACGCATGAGGTAGTCGATGGCCGAGAAGTCGCGCGCTCGCACGCCGCCGCCCATGGATGGATGCCGGAAGGCGTGGCGCAGATAGGCGTGGAAGTTGGGGCGCGTTGCCTGGCATAGCAGCGGTCAGCACTGATAATATAGCACATGCTAGCAAGACTTTCAAGCCCGGAGCAGCCCTCGGAGAGCGGGCTTCTTCAGGCGGTCCGACCATGACGACTGCCGGTGCTGGCCCGTCGCAGGTCCACGCCGGCCCAGATCCACCCTGCCCATGTCCGACACCCGCTGCTGCATGCTCACCTCTGGTTTGCTCCGGATAGCACGCAGGCCGCGGCGGTAGAGGGCCATGACGTCCTTCTGCGACTGCGTGTAGCGCTTGAAGAGCACGAGGCTGGGCCGCATGCTGGCGGCACGCGCGCGCGGGTGCGCGAGCGGAGATGCGACGGCTTGCACGAGCGAGGCCGCTGCAGACGCAGCTGGCGATTGGAGAGCGCGCGAAGGTGACGCTGATGCAGTGGTTGAGGAAACGGCGGTGGTGTGGTTGGGGAGAAGGAAGCAGCAGCGCCCCGCAGCGTGTGGAGGCGGAGCCGCGCCGAGCGAGGCCTGCTTACCTCATGCGCAGCCCAGCTGTGCCTCCTGCGCCTCTCACACACACGGCACACACAGCACGCAGACAAGCAGCAAATGCATGCATGGCATTGGCAGAGAGGAGACACGCAGTACGTGCCTGAGCAGATGTGAGACGGGCCGGTAGGCTGTGCCGGGACGGGCGTGCGGCGCACAGAGGCGAGGCACGGACGCCCCGGCAGCCGTCGGCAGCAGCGCCCCGCAGGCGTAGCCTGCAGATGCGCCGCCGCTCGCTCTTGCGTAGCGGATAGAGGAACCAGGCCTGTGGGTGGGCAGGCAGGGCCTACAATAAGCCCGCGTGATGAGTACGGGAAGCAAGGCGGACGCGCTCGCCAGCGCTGCCTTGGCCTCGCGCGCGGCGCCGCGGCCTGCAGAAGCGAGGCGACTCGGGCGGGTGCGGCACGTGCCGGCGAGCACGAGCTTGGCCAGCTGGCCGAGGCGCGACCGAGCATGACCTCGCTGTGACTCCGCACCTCCGCTCCCCACCTCCGCCACACTCCCCCACCATGTCGACGCCCGGCCCCATCAAGGGCTCCATCCCTGCGCCGCGCCCCGCCAATGTCGTCTCGCCGCCCGCCGCGCCCGCCGCGGCGTCGCTGCGCTTCCGCGGCGCCGTCGTCGAGGACCTGCAGCTGCCGCCGGCCGTGTGCGTGAGCACGAGCACGAGCGTCGCCGCCGCGCTGCGCATCGCCCACGACCACGACTACTCGCAGCTGCCCGTCATGGCCGGGCGCGCGCCGCGCGGCTACCTCGACGTGCGCGCCGTGCAGCAGGCCGTGGCGCAGGGCAGCGTGCAGGATGCGGCGCCCGTCGAGCGCGCCATGACGCGCTTCGGCGGCGGCGCGCAAGGCGCCGGCTTCGTCGTCATCACGCCCGAGACGGGCCTCGCCGAGCTGGAGGGTGAGTCTGCTGTGAAGCGGTGCCCGCTTGAGGCGATGCGCCGGGAGATCGGCCGCTGTGACGCGACGAAGCGATCATTCGCGCGCAGGCGTGTGGGTTTCAGAAGGCAGAGAGAGAGAGAGCTCGACAGGGGGCGGAGGATAGGAGGTCAAGCGCATGCCGTGAACCCTTCTCGCTCCATAGTGCTCCTCAGATGCGTTCTTCTAACGCTCGCCGTGCAGCCTTCCTGGCTGAGCAGCCGTTCGCCTTCGTGACGGACGCCTCGCGCTCCTTCGTCATGTGTGTCGCGACCTCGGAGGATCTCTCGCGCTACATTTCGCGGCGCGGTCTCGGTCCGGCCGCCGCGGCACCGATGGACGTCGATGGCAACACGACGCCGACACATGCGGGCGCCTCGGGCTCGGCTGCCGACGCTGCCGAGCAGCGGCAACCGCTGAGCCGGAGGGAGGAGGAGGAGAAGCGCAAGGACCGCACCCTTGGCGAATTCCTGGGCATGCTGGATGGCTACGACCCGCTGGTGAGTGATGAGCCGATGCTCAAGAGCTACAGTCGTGCTCACGTTGGCTGCGCCAGATCCCGGACGAGGTGACGGAGTACTACCTGGCCAAGGTCGGCTTCGAGTGCGATGACCAGCGCGTGTGAGCAGCCGCGATACAGCCTGCTGCTCTGCACACAAGCTTATCCTCTGCACCTACAGCAAGCGACTGCTCTCGCTTGCAGCCGAGAAGTTCGTCTCCGACATCGCCACGGACGCCTTCCAGTACGCGCGCATCCGCACCAACGCCGGCCCAGGGCGACAGCGTGCCGGCGCGGCGGGCGCAAAGGAGCGGGCGCGCACCGTACTCACCATGGACGACCTCTCGGCGGCGCTGGGCGAGTACGGCATCAACGCCAAGCGCGCCGAGTTCTACCGCTAGAGCTGCTGCTAGACGAGCGAAGGGCGAGAGACGGAGAGACGTACACGCGACAGACCAATGACATACCACACGACACACGCACGAGAAGGCTGAGAGAGCTCACATTGAACCTGAGTGGACGAGACGCGGGTAGCTGAAGGAGCGCAGAGTGTGGGATAGAGAGGCGCGGCGAGAGCGAGTGTGTATGTGGTGTGCAGAGGCATGCTGAGTGGGTGATCGAGATGTGCGAGTCGAGGCAGCGATATGTACAGGAGGCAGAGAGAAGGTGGACGCGGCGCAGGATCAGTGCAGACCGACGCCGCGCAGGTTGGCGATGAGGCGCCGCTCCTCGGGGCTTGCGTGGCCGAGGCCAGCAGTGGGCTCCTCTGAGTCCTCGCGTGCGCCGCGATGGCCCGCAGCGAGCGAGCCAGGGAAGATGAGCCAGTCCTCGCCCGTGCCAGTGGCGCGACCGCCATCTCTGCCCGTGGCGGCGCCGCCGCGCTGGTTGCTCATGGCGGCGCGCAGCGTGTGAATGAAGCCGACAGGCGTCTGTGCCGGCGTCTCATCGGTGGTCGGTGCGGCACTGGCCGGGGCGCTCTCGGTGTCGGCGTTGTCGCGGCGGTGCGCGGCGACGAGCTGGTAGCCCCAGCGGTGCACGCGCCAGTAGGAGAGCAGCGAGGAGAGCAGCATGAACCAGCCGAGCACCATGAGGATGTAGGCAAGCCACTCCGCACCCGTCTCGACGGGGAAGAGGCCGTCGTCGTGCTGCGCCTCGTGGCCGGGCGCCTCGGCGCCAGCAGCCAGCGCATCAGCTGTACCGTTGGCGATCTGCCGGCCGATCATCGACAGGCCGCGCGCCACGACGCTGCGCGCCGCAGAGGAGACGTCGCCGTGCTGCAGCTCCCACCACTGATGGCCGAGAGCAGAGGTGTCGCCGGTTGGCGTGGCGCTGGGCGCATCCTCGACGGGCTTGCCGACGTCGAGCGTCGAGCGAGTGCGCAGGAAGAAGCCGTACTGAATGAGTGTGATGCCGAGGCCGGCCTGCGAGCCGCAGCGCGCAGCGTGTGTGGTGTGCAGGAGGTAGGTGAGGAGGAAGCCTGCGAAAAGAGTCAGCGTAGCGCTTTGTCGAGCGGCAAGGCTTCGACTCACCGACGAACTGGAAGCTCATCGACACGAGCAAGTTCCACGCAAAGCCAAAGAAGTTGCCGACGGGCAGGCCATCGATGATAAGGTCCTCGATGGCGCCGACGTGTGCGCCGCCCGGCGTCCAACCCATGCCGCCGGGTGCGAGAGGATGCAGGCCGCCGCCGATGATGGTCGTCTCCCAGTAAGCAGGAGCCGCGTCGGCGGCCGCGACGTCGTATGTTGGTGGCAGCACCTCGTCGACCTGCGCACAGACTGTCAGCCCACAACTCGCTATGTACGAGTCAGGAAGCACACACCAAGTCATCGTCATCGCCGCGATCTTCGCCATCGCCGGTACGCCGTCGTCGCTCAGGCTTGGCGCTGAGATTGGCAAACACGCCGTCGCCGCTGCCGCCGCCCATAACACGGCGACGTGCCGGCTGGCCATCGTCCTGGCTCAGGCTGGCATACGTGGCGCCAGGCACACGCATGCCGACGAAGCGGCCAAAGCGGCCGAGTGCTAGGCGAGTGCGCGCCAGAGCACCGCTGGGCTGCGGCGCGGCGGAGAAGGAGGCGCTCGGGCCTGCGATAGAGGCGGACGAGTAGCCTGTTGGGCCGACGCCGCTGCTGCCCGACGCGCTGCCCGATGCGCCGGCACTGCGCGAGGGCCCAGAGGCAGACGAGCCGGCAGCGGAAAAGTAGGTCGGCGCCTCGAAGTCGTATGCGCCTGGCTGCAGGTCTGGGCTGGGCGTCTGCACGCCGAGAGCATGCGGCGTGGGCGCGGGCCGCGAGGAGGGTGGCGGTGCGGCGCTGTGCTGCATGCGGCTGGCGCCCAGCGGGTCGTCGCTGGAGGCGTCCTCGGCCGGCAGCGCATCGCCGGCGTCGAAGAAGACGTGGCTGTCGTCCTCGTCGGTGGCGGAGCGTGTGCGGCGGGAGGAGGCAGCGGCACGCGGCTCGTCGTCGCCGTCCGAGTCGCCGTCCGAGTCGAAGGCGGCCGCGAGCTCGGCCTGGCGCGAGCGCGGCGGGTGTGCCACGTCGGTGCCGGCGCCGCGCGCATGCCCGAGCAGAGAGCGCGCCGAGGGATCGTGCGACATGTGACGGGAGGGAGGAGGTGATGGTGGTGGAGAGATAGGTGCGGCAGTGCGGAGCGGTGCTCGGTCTCCACGCTGCGCGGCTGCTCGCGCCCGCCAAGGCACGGCGGCGGTAGATGATGCGCGGTGCGGCCGCATGCCGCCGCCGTGCCGCGTGGCGGCTGCTGCTGCGCCTCCCGCTCGAGCCGGCGCCCTGCACCCGCGCGGCATGGCGCGCCGTGGCGTGCAGCGGGACCACATCGGGCCCCATCTCGCAGCTGCAGCTGTACCACAGGCTGTTCACATCCCCCAAGTAGCCTTCACAATCCCGACAGCACCGCTGTGCACGCCTCTAGACACTCGACAGCGACTGGCTCAAATGCGCTGCTCCTGCCGCCTGGCCAGCTGCAGGACATTGGAGCGGCTGACTATCGCGCCGCGCGCGCTGCGAGAGCTCAATCTGAATTCTGTTGCGCGTAGCTGACAGGTGCCTGCAGTCTCGATGCCCGAGCGCTTGCTGCTGCTGCTCACGAGTCGAGTGACGGCATCTTGGACATGCTGGAGTGACGCTCCAGCGCCTCAGAGGTCGAGAGCTCTGGCGGCTGGCGCATATGAGGACCCGCCGCTGCTCCAGGCGAGGGCTCGCGTGGGAACGGCAGATCACTCGAGGTCGCCAGCAAGGGTGCGGCGAAGCTCCTCTTTCACTCCTCTCAAGGCACGGGAGTGCCTTCTTCCCAAGGTGCAGCTCGCCCTTGGTGCTTCCAGCTTCATCTATCTAGCACTCAAAGTTGGCCGCCTTACGTTCTGTGCCTGTTGCCTAGAAGGTGAAGGCAGCATATAGCGCTTGAGCTGCCAGAGCGTCCGAGATCTGATTAGCAGGCGGCCAAGTCGGGCGCAGGGGCTCGTCCGAATCTTTCGAGGTCCCTGCTCTTGCGTGGGAACGTCCGAGCTGCCCAGATATGGGGTGCAGTGCAGCATTCAGCGGATCATCAGCGCGAGACGGCAGCGTTGCGAGGCATGGGAGCATGCTGTCAGGCCCAGCAGACGCCGCGCTGCGGAGGCCAAGCGCGCTCCGACCTCCGCGCAAGCGAGCCGAGCAAGCGGGTCTCAGCGCGGCCTGATGCTGCCGCGCGAGCACCGCATCGCACCGCCTCAGCCGCTGCAGCTGCGGTCCCTTCCTTGCCCATGTCAGGTCGCACGAGCCCTTTCAGAGCGTCTCTGACTGGCTCCTGGGGTCTCGTGCCATGCGCCAGCCGGCCCTGCAGCGTGTCAAGCCCTCCGACGCGGGGAAACGGCCCCAGACGTGCTTGAAAAGCGCATCTCAGACGGCTGCAGCGTCCTTCCCCGCAATCCGAAGGTCGAGCTCAGCAGCAAGTGCGTCGAGAGGCACCTCTGCGCCCGTCTGCCGCACTGCCCCTGCTCGGGACACAAGCAGAGAAGAAGCGTCGCATGAAAGGCCAAGCAAGCAGCTGCAGAACAGCCGGCGCCGATGGGGCCCCTGCGATGTTCCTGAGCGTCTCCTTCCCGCGCCGTGCCGCTGCTCGAGCTCGTTCAGCGCATGCATGAGGGGTGCAGAGACGCCCCAGGGCCTGCACCTGACAACATGTCGAGCAGCTGCCAGTTCGACGGCGAGCAGCGAGAGGGGCAGCGAGGAGAGAGGCCTTGAGTTCGCGGCGCGCAGAGAGGCCGTCGCTCTCGCCGAGCGCCGCGGCACGGGAGCGCAGCTGCTGTGCTGCCAGGCTGCCTTCGCGCCTCGCTGTCTCGCCACCTACGCTAGGCTCCACGCTTCCTTCTCCGCACCCCGCAGCTGCCCTTTCACGTCGTCCCCGCGGCGATACTCGCGCCGCGCCCGTCCCTCACACTTCGTGCGCATCATCTGTCCTGCCGTGCCGTCACCAAGCCGCGCTCCGCAGACCGTGTCTGGCCCCGCGCCGCGCTGACGCTGACTTTTGCCTCGCAGCGAGTGGAGCAGCACCGCACGACACAGCAGCGCCTGCCCCGCCTCGACTGCCGCCGTGCCCGCTGCCAGCGATGGGCCAGCACTACCTCTTCCTCGACCCGTCGTCGGCTGAGCGGCCGGCCTCGGTGCGGGCGCCGCGCCGTCGAGGTGAGTCGCACAGCGAGGGCGAAAAGGCGCAGAGCCGGCACCGCAACGGCGGGCGTGGGGCGCGGGGTGCGCCAGAGATTCGGGCCTGCAGAGGCAAGGCGCGGCAGCGGCATGGGCGGACAGCGGAGCGGCCTTTCTCCAGGCACGGGCGCCGCCGCGCTGATGCCGCTCCGGCGTGGATGCTGCGCTGCTGCTGCTGCACGTCTGGGCCCGCTTTGCATCCTGCCGGCGTCTGCTCGCCGCCTGGCATCCACCTCTTGTCCCAGCTGACGCTCTCTGCTCCTCTCCTCTCACCACCACCCCTCCGCTACTGCCCACCATGGCCGCCGTAGCGAACCCCGCCGACACGCTGGGCCCGCGCGTCTCCACCTCGCGCCGCTCCATCCTCGCCAGCATGGCCGCCGAGCCGGCAGAGGCCTCGCCCGAGCCTGCCAGCCCCGTGTCCAACACGGACGCACTGCTGCGCTCGCGCCGGCCCTCGAGCGCCAACGAGCAGCAGAGTGCGCCCAACGGCGACATGGCGCGCTCCCAGTCGCGCAGCTCGCGCCGCAAGAGCTTCAGCAACAAGGGCCGCGCCGCCGACTCGCCCTCGCCCAACCCGGACGTCAACGGCAGCCAGGCGCTCCGGTGAGTAGAGTGATGTGCGCGCTGGCAGAGGCACGGAGAGCGGCACTTGCGCAGAGAGCTGCCAGCTCTTGTGAGCTGGGTGTGCGATCTTTGTCGCGCTCTCGTGCTACTTGCGCGATGCGCTCGGCGCTTTGCACTCGCAGAGGACCCAGCTGACCCCTCTGCAGCCACCAGCCGTCGAACCTCTCGTCGCGCGAGCGCTCAAACAGCGCGCAGCCCGCGAAGCCCGAGATCGACGAGGACCGCCGCAGCATCTCGTCGCGGCGCAGCTCGCGCGCCATCATCTCGAGCATCATGCGCCGCGGCTCGCGCCAGGGCTCGGATGACGAGGGCGGCAAGGAGGCGCGCTCGCGCTCCGGCAGCACCACGAGCAACCGCCGCAGCATGAGCCAGCGCATGTCGAGCTTCAGCAAGAAGAGCGGCGCCAGCGCAGCCGCGGCCACCAACGGCGCCAATGGCCGCGCCGAGCCGGCCGAGGAGCGCGAGACACCGCCGCCGGTCCCTGCGCTGCCGGCCAGCTCGGATGTGCCCGAGCACCCGCTGCGCTCTGCCGGCTCGAGCCCCACGGTCGACGCCGCACCCGCGCGCATGGCGTCTGTGCCGGCCTCGCCTGCTCACAGCACCTCCTCGGGCCTCTCGGGCGCGCGCTCCGGCCGCCGCACGACGTTCAACAAGAAGGCTGCCGATGGAAGCGTCAAGCCCGTGCGCACTGTGCAGACGGTGGCGCCGCCGCTGCACGTCTCGACGAGCGAAGATCTCGACGCCAGAGAAATCGAGCAGCGGATCCAGCCGCAGCGGCAGAAGAGCAGCGAGACCAACGGCGCTCAGGAGAACACGCAGCAGCAGGGATACCTTGGAGCCGCAGTGGGTGTCGCTGTGGGCGCGGGCGCAGCTGTCGCGGGCGGTGCCGCAGCGCTAGCCGGCAAGGTGCTCGGCGGCTCGGGCGAGCAGGCCAACGGCAAGCCCGAGCGCGACGCGGACTACTCTTCCGAGGACGAGGAGTTCCACGACGCCGAGCTGGCCGACATCGCCGAGCACGACGAGGACGACGGCCCTGCGCATCGCTCGAACCGCGGCCGCGCCAGCAACCACAGCCAGAGCCGCTCGCGCGGACTCAGCGAGTCCACTGCCACGACGCTGGCCGGCGACAGCGAGAGCACGCGCGGCGCGCCCGCGGCTCTGCGCGGCACGGCCGGCGCCAAGCGGCGCAGCGGCTCCGAGCCGGTCGGCGGCGACGAGACGAGCACGCCCGCAGACGCCAAGGCCAAGAAGGAGACGCCCACGCACGTGCGCGAGAAGGCCGCGCGCGTCGCCAAGCTCACGTTTGACGACGTGAAGATGGACGCCGATGAGATGGAGCGCGACATCAAGGAAGCGCGCCGCGCCCTGAACCTGTTCCTGAACTCGCGCATGCTCGAGGCCGAGGAGATCATGAAGAAGTACAGCGACCGCAAGCTGTACTACGCGCTCGGCGACGCGCTCATTGCGGTGATCAAGGGCTTCATGGTGTGTATGCGCGCGCGCACTGCGCCAGACCGCAGCTGACCACTGCCGTCACGCAGACGTTCGAGCCGGAGGACCTGGCCAAGGCCATCTCCTACTGCAAGGATGCGCTGACGATCGCAAACCTGCTGCGCAAGCCCGCCGGCACCGTGGCCAGCTTTGGCCGCTTTGTGCGCGGCTCTGGCGCCAGCACCGGCACGATGGCGTCGATGACCAAGGTGCAGCGCCATGCTGAGCTGGTCTACGCCGAGAGCCTGCTGCTCAAGGCAATCATGGGCAGTGAGTGGACACAGCGCTCTGCCGTTCTCCTTGTGTGCTGACGTCTGTGCGCGGCGCAGTCCTCTACTCGGGCGACTTCTTCGCCTTCGTGTCCGAGGCGCTCAACCTGCGCAACTCGTACGGCATCTACCGCTCGATGTCGAAGTACGTCGAGTGGGCCGACGAGCAGGCGCAGAAGAAGGGCGGCGCCAAGCGCGACGAGGCCGTCGACGAGGACTTCCGCTCGGGCGTGTACCTCGGCAACGGCCTGATCAGCATGATCCTCGGCCTGCTGCCCGGCAAGGTGCTCAAGATCATGGAGGTGAGCGGCGCGTGCGCGTGTCCGCACACCACTGCGCGCTGACAGCGCTCTCGCAGGTCTTCGGCTACACTGGCGACTGCGAGTGGGGCCTCATGACGCTCGCGCGCGCTGGCGAGTGGAGCGACGACAAGAAGGAGCTGCAGCCCGCGATGGACCAGGCCAAGGAGGGTCTGCGCCGCCAGATTGTGAGTTGCACGGAGCTGCCGGCGTGTCGCGCGCGGCTGACATTACTGCGCGCGCAGTGCGACATGGGCATCCTGCTCTACCACCTCGTCATCTCCACGTTCATCCCCGTGTCCGGCACGGACATCGACTTTGCCGACAAGGTGCTGCACTACAACCTGGAGCGCTACCCTCAGGGTGAGTCTTGCGCAGCCTCGCATCGTGTACATCAGGCTGAAGCGTCCTTCGCAGGTGTCTTCTTCCTCTACTTCTCTGGCCGCCTCTATTCCACCGAAGCGCTGGCCGAGAAGGCGATCACGCAGTACCGGGCTGCGCGCGACGTGCAGCGCGAGTACGTGCAGCTCCAGCACATGTGAGTCAGAGGCGCGTGACGAGGGGCGGCACTTCAGGCGCTGACCGACCCTCTGCAGCTGCTACTGGGACATGAGCCTGTGCCACATGAGTCTGGCGCAGTGGAAGGAGGCCTACGACTGCTTCACGATCCTGCTCAAGGAGTCGAACTGGTCGAAGGCCGTGTACACGTACGGCCGCGCCGTGAACCTGGCGCAGACGGGGCAGGACGACCGCGAGGCGGCGGCGCTGTTCCGCAAGGTGCCCGAGGCGATGCAGCGCATTGCCGGCAAGTCGATTCCCATGGAGGTGAGTGGCGCGCAAAGACGCTGCAGCGGGACCTGCCCTGACACTGCTGCGCCAGAAATACTGCGCCCGCAAGGCCAAGAAGTTCATCAGCCAGAAGCGTCTGCTGCTGCCGGCCATCGAGTTCTCCTACATCTACCACTGCCTCACCAACGCGCCGCGCTACGCGCTCGCCGACGAGCAGCTCGTCGAGATCTCGGACGCGCTGGCCGACCTGCGCGCCGTCGAGGACCCGAGCTCGTACCACTCGGGCGCCGACGAGTACTGGGACGACTACTGCCTGGCGCACTTCCTGCGCGGCGTCACGCTGCGCTACATTGCCTACCCCGAGAAGCACGCGCGCGTCGACCCCAAGGAGAGCCCGATTCCGGTCGAGGAGGCGGCCAAGCAGTGCCAGATCAGCCTGCAGAACGTGATCGACGAGGGCGACAAGATCTCGCTGGACCGTGAGTTGTGACTGACGGTCGGCACTGGCGGTCACCCTGCTGATCCCTGCTGCACGCAGACTACCTCGTCTACTTTGCGCACTACGAGCTCGGCCGTCTGTACGCCTGCCAGGGCAAGATCGACCAGGCGCGCACCGAGTTCAACATCATCATGTCGAGCAAGCACCTCGTCGCGCACAAGGGCAAATACTCGATGCAGAACATGTGCATCCTGCGCTCCAGTGAGTGGCGCATGGAGCCCTGGTCTTACACCCTGCTGACCGCTCCCTGCGCAGACGGTGCCCTCGAGACCCTCAAGTAGACGTGTCGATACCTTGGCAGCTCCGTACTGCCTGCCCGCCTGCCTCGCCGCCTCTCTCTCTCCCACATTCGCTCTCTATACGTCTCGTGATGCGCTTCCCCTTCGCTGCTGCGCCCATGTGCGCTGCTTCTATTCATCCTGCTCTCTACGCACGAACCATATCTTACACCGGACGCAGGGAGCGACCCGCACGTCGCGCGCGCCCGTGCGTTTGCCCGCTGCGTATCTTGATCTGCGCGACGCCGTCGGCCAAGCGCATCGCGCCGGACATCTGCGGAATCGCAGCGATTGCCGTGCCGCAGCACGTTGCGCATGGCAGATGGCGGTGCCGGCATACCGGATCGCGGCATCGGCAGCATGTGCATGTGCATCGTCATGTGCCTGTGCCTCGGCGCGGCAGGCACAGAGCTGTCAGAGGGCGCGGCGGCGCGGCATCGGGTGTGCCGAGCCGGCGGCAGCGTCAGCAGATCTGCGCACCGTAGGACGCCGACGCCGCGCCGATGCGCCGTCCGCTGGCCGGATGCGCCGGCAGCCGGCCTGCTGGTTCTGCCGCGGCCGGCGCCGGCAGAAGCTCGGTGCTCCGCCGCAGCGCACGCTGGCCGCCTGCCTGCGCGTTCCCCGCACGCGCGCGTGCCGAGCGGAGCTTGCGCGGCGACCCTGACATCCGCCGTGCGGCGTCACAACGGGCAGCGCACGATGCTCTCCTCTCCTGCCGCCGGCGGCGCCCCGCGCGCCGCCCTCCCCGCACGTTGCCGCGGGGAACAGCTAGGCCGAGAAGATTGCCGAGCAGCGCAGCGAGCGGCGCCCCATATAGAGGGCACCTGGTCGCGCCCCAGCTCGACCGTCCCACAATCCTCTCTCAAGCATGCGTCTCACTGAGGGCGTCTGGTGTGAGTTGCTGCGCCGGGCTGCCGCTGTTCGTCGAGCTGACGCCGCTGCACAGCCGGCCGCGAGGGCGTGCACGTCCACTCGGCCGCCGAGGTCGCACGCGTCACGGAGCTGCCGCAGGGCGGGCTGCGTGCGCTCTGCACGACTCGCCATGTGCGCCATCGCGGCGACACACTCAACAAGCCCACCATCACCGTCGAGCTCACCTCGCCCGCCGCCGGCATCATCGGCGTCTCGGCGCGCCACTTTGCAGGCAAGCCGGCGCTCAGGGAGCCCCGTGCGGTGCTCTTCCCCGACGGCGGCCCGCCCGAGGGCTCGCAGGCCAGCTCGCACATCGACGCCGACTTTGCTCGCCTGACGACGGCCGGAGACGTCGCCAGTGCCACGCTGGCGCGCGCGGCCGACGGCTTTCGCATCGAGTTCAAGGACCGCAGTGGGCGCAGGCTCACTGAGCTGGGCCAGGAGTCGCTGCAGTGGGCGCTGCTCACCAACGCCTCGCCGGCGCTGGCCGAGCGCGAGAATGCGACGACGACGATTGCCGACCCGTACTACCGCGCACCGCAGAGCCAGCGCCGCGGCTACATGGTCGCAAGCCCGACCCTGGCCGTGGGCGAGAAAGTTTACGGCCTGGGCGAGCGCTTCGGGCCGTTTGTCAAGAACGGCCAGACCGTGGAGCTCTCACAGGAGGACGGCGGCACCAGCAGCTCCGTCGGTGAGTCGCAGCGTCACCATGCGCTCAGGCCTGGCTGACATGGCCGCAGCGTACAAGAACATCCCGTTCTACCTCACGAACAAGGGCTACGGCGTGTACATCGACCACGTGCGTCGCTCCCTTTCACGCAGCTCTCACCGTGACTCACACGCCCGCTCAGCTCGACCACGTCTCGATGGAGGTGCAGTCCGACAAGATGACGCGCGTGCAGGCTGCCGTGCCCGGCGAGACGATCCGGCTGTACATCATTGCTGGCGCGACGCCCAAGGAGATCCTGGCGCGCTACACGCTGCTCACCGGCCGGGCGCCGCCGGTGCCCGACTGGTCCTGGGGCCTGTGGCTCTCGACCTCCTTCCTCACGTCGTACGACGAGAAGACGGTGCAGTCGTTCCTCGACGGCATGCGGGAGCGCGACTGCCCCGTCTCGGTGCTGCACTTTGACTGCTTCTGGCAGCGAGCGCACTGCTGGTGCGACTTTCAGTTCGACCCCGACTTCTTTCCGGACCCGCAGGGCTTCCTGGCGCGCATCCACGAGCAGGGCATCAAGGTGTGCGTCTGGATCAATCCGTACATTGCGCAGGAGTCGCGCCTCTTCGAGGAGGGCGATGAGAAGGGCTACTTCATCAAGCGGCGCGACGGCTCGACGTTCCAGAGCAACGACTGGCAGGCGGGCATCGCCACTGTTGACTTCACAAACCCAGAGGCGAGAAAGTGGTACCAGAGCTACCTCGAAGCGCTGATGGACCTCGGCGTCGACTCGTTCAAGACGGACTTCGGCGAGCGCATCGTGTGCGAGGACGTGGTGTTCCATGACGGCTCAAATCCGCGGACGATGCACAATGCCTAGTGGGTCATGCGTGACGGCAGCAACCCAGACGCTGACCGCTGCTCCTTCCAGCACGGGTCTGTACAATGAGGCAGTGTACGACGTTATCGTCCGCAAGCGCGGTGTGGCCGAGGCTTGTCTCTTCGCACGATCAGCCACCGTCGGCGGACAGCGGTTACCAGGTGAGGCCTCGTGCTTGTCTCTCGGAGCGATCTGTTGCTGACAGCTGTGCAGTCCATTGGGGAGGCGACGTCGACACGGAGTGGACTGGCCTCGCAGAGACGCTGCGCGGTGGGCTATCGCTCGGCCTGAGCGGCTTTGCGTACTTCAGCCACGACATTGGCGGCTTCAAGGCCGAGGGTAAGGCGGGCGGCGACCTGGCCAAGACGCCGGCTGCCGCGATCTAGTGAGTGCCTCGAAAGAGCATCTGCCTGCCACTGCTTACGCTGTGGCCTGCTTGCAGCAAGCGCTGGGTGCAATTCGGCCTGCTCTCGTCCCATTCGCGGCTGCACGGCTCTGCGTCGTACCGCGTGCCGTGGCTGATCGACGACGAGGCGTCCCTGGTGGTCTCCAAGTTCACACACCTCAAGCACCGCCTGGTGCCGTACCTGATGGACTCGATGTTCACCGAGATTCCGGAGGGCACGCCGCTGATGCGGCCGCTGTTCCTCGAGTATCCCGAGGACTGGTGCTCGTGGAACGTCGACACGCAGTACTTCCTCGGGCGCGACCTGCTCGTGTGCCCCGTGTTCGACGAGACGCACGTCTCCTACTACCTGCCCGAGGGCAAGTGGACGAACATCCTCGACGGCTCGACGCGCACGGGCCCCAAGTACGTGCGCGACGAGGCACACTCGATGCTCTCGCTGCCGCTGCTGCTGCGGCCCGGCAGCGCGCTGCTCATGGGCCGCAAGGGGCACGCGCTCGACGACGACGTGCGCACGCGCGGCTTCGTCCTCGTCGTCGCAAAGACGACGCTGGCCGACGCAGCCCAGCCCGTGCGGAGCGAGATGCACTTCCGTGATGGCTCGCGCCTGCTGGTCGAGGTGGACGGGCAGGGCCAGGTGCAGGTGCTGGAGCCGAAGGGCTTCAGTGCGCCCGTCGAGGTTGTGCTGCTCGAGGAGGGCCGAGGCCTGGACACTGCGCCATGATGCGGCCAGACGGGCGTGCAATCATAGCACTGCAGCCCATGTTGGCGTGACGCCGCTGAGAGTGTGTTACGGCTGGTGTTGCCTGGTGTGGTACAAAGGGAGGATGCGCCGCTGCGGCGCCCGATGCAGATGTGACAGAGTGATGCTCGCGGTTCGAGGCACGGCGGCACGGCACGACGTCCGTTCGTTCCGCTGCGCGGCGCACGAGCACTTTAGCCGCGCGGCGCTGCGGCCAAAGAACACTTCGCACGGCGCCAGCTGCTGCTCGAGGCTTGCCTCTGCTCCTCTCGCTCCCCTCGACATCGTCCTATTCTCTATTACCCAGCACCAGCCTGCACTGGCCCACACTCAAGCACGCACCTCCTGACACACCTATACCTCGTGGCCCGCGCACCCCTGCGCCCGGCGAGCTGCACCGCCTCACGCACGCGACACTCTTCTGACTTCTGAGACCGCTGCGCTTCCAGCGGTCAGTCGCGCACCATGGCCGAGTGAGTAGGCGCGATGTTCAGGGCTCTGTGAAGATCCGTCGGTAGCCCGGCCGGTCGCCTGGCGAGTCGTGCGTCTGCTGACCCTGCGCCCTGCAGCGGCGAGGACCCGTGGGCCGACCACATTCGCGTCTCGACGCCGCCGCCTCTGCTGCCCGCCGATAAGCCTGTGCTGCCTCTTGAAGGCAGTACAGCTGGCGCAGCAAGCGATGCCGCATCTGTCGCCGCGCCAGATCTGCCGCCAGCATCTTCGTTGCCCGAACGGCCGCTCGACGACAGCGCCGACGCCAGCACGCCCACGGCTTTGACCTTCAGTGCCGGCGACACCGCACTCCCGGCTCCGGAGACCGACGCGCAAGCGTCTGCCACCCACGCAGAGGCTCAAGGAGATGTGCTCGATCCCAGCCCGGTGGCGGAAGAGACAGCAGGCGAGCGGCCAGACGATGAGTACAACGCGGAGGAGGACGATGATGACGAGGAGGCCTTCGTCTATCCTGGAGCTGCCGAGGCCGAGGAGAGCGAGGAGCCTGTCCCTGCTGTCGCAGCGCCCGTCGCAGAAGACGCCGAGACGAGCCGCGGTGCAGACACTGCCCCACTCGAGCCAGCCGCCCCTGCACAGCCAGAGGTGCCGCTGGACCACGCTACGCTCGCATCGCTCTCGACGACTGGGCCGCTCTCGGCGCTTGAGGCGTTCTTCGCCCAGGCCTCTGCCGATGGGCACTCCAGCTTCGTGCTCGCGAATGAGCCAGGGCCCAACTCCGGCCTTGTTCCGCTACATTACGCCGCGCGAGAGGGCAAGGCAGACATCGTCAGGTGGCTGATTGAGGAGGCTGGTGCTTTGGTGGAGCTCGAGGACAAAGAGGGCGAGGTGAGTCGCAGCTGAGTGTCCGTTTGCTGCGTGCCAGCATTGCTCACACGCGTGCACAGACTGCGCTGCACAAAGCGGCTCTCGCCGGCCGCCTGCCTGCTCTCACCTTCCTCCTGTCGCGCGGAGCATCGGCGAACGCCGTCGACTTCGATGGCTGGACGCCGCTGCACAATGCCTGTGCGCGTGGCTACCTCGACATCGTGCGCGTGCTGTGCGAGAACGCCGAAGCGATTGTTGATGCCAAGGGAGGGCGCGGCGAGTGGACGCCGCTTATGAACGCAGCTGCCGGCGGCCACGTCACCGTCGTGCGCTATCTCTGCACCAAGTCGCAGGCCGATCCCTTTGCACGCAACACTGCCGGCGAGACTGCGTACGACATTGCCGCTGCGACGTTCGAGACGTACGTCTGCGAGGTGCTCGAGAAGTACGAGGCCGAACGCTGGGCCGCGCTGCGCCTCTCGCACGCCACCGGCTCCGGCGACGCCCGGCAGACTCGCGCAAGCGCCATCCAGCAGGCGTACAACCCGCTGCGGCTGCACTCGACAGTGCCCGTCATTCTGCACGAGAACCAGCGTCTCGACATGCGACTTTCTACGCTCGCCGTGCACGGCGGCAAGCCGCGCTGGAGCGGCACAAGCGCCGGACGGCCGCACAAGCCAGACAGACGGGCTCCCGGCACGATGCCGCCTGGCCCGCTGTCGACCAGCCGCACGCGCAATGCGCCCATGCGCCGCGAAGACGTCGGCCTGCCGCTTCGCGAGAACCCGTACAAGCTCGTGCTTCCGACTCGGGCCGCCCAGATCGCGGCCGCGAACGCCCGCAGGCATGCCGCGCAAGGTCTCGGCGAGAGCGAGCTCGGCAGCACCCCTACGCCTCAGAGCGTGCTCGACCGGCGCGCCTCGGGATCCTCCTCGCTGGAGCGCGAGATGCCGAACGGAGAGCGATGCCACTTCTGGCTGTCAGACTGGCAGCCGGACCTGACGCACCCGCTCGTCGACGCCCACGACGGCTGGCAATACGCCCAGTCCTTCGACGCGCCCGACGAGCGCTGGAGCGCTGCAGTGCCGCCGCCGCTCGCCCGTCTCCTGGAAGGCCGCGGGCTAGGCTCGAGTGTCACGCGTGCCATCACTGGCGGAGCGCTGCCTGGTCCCGGCCAGACGTCGGTCAACGGCGTTGGCGGCGAGCAAGAGGCTGTGCCTACCGGCTGGGTGCGGCGGCGCCGCTGGGTCCGTGTGATCCGGCGGCGCCTCGACATCGACTTTGGCGACGAGCTCGAGGCTGCCGAGATTGCACAGTACTCTAGTGCGGCCTACGCTGAACCCGGCGCAAGCCTCAAGCCTTCGAGCGTTGTCGCTGCCGAACAAGAGGCCCGAGAAGCAGCCGCCTCTCTCGGCCCGTCCGCCGACTACGTCGCTCGCGCTCGCGCGTTAGCTGGCCTCGGCGCTGCCTCTGGCTCGACGCCCGCAGACGCCATGGGCGAAGGAGCAGACGAGCTGCGGCGCCGCATAGCGCGCCTTGATCTGGCGATCAGCGAGCTGCGTGGCTCTGCATTCAGCGATGCTGATTCGGATCGGCAAAGCCGCGCCGAGGACATGCTGAAAGAGTACACGCTGCAGCTCGGCCAGCTGCGCCAGGCCATCGGCATCGAGGAGGAGGGCAGCGAGGACGAGGACAGCGACGCAGAGGAGTTCATCTACCCCAACTCCTACAAGGATGACGGCCAGTCGGTCATCACGCGCATCGGGCTCAACCAGACCTCGAGCGCTGCTGTGCGTCCCGGCCCGCCCGTCCGCGTCGGCAGCAGCGCGTCTGCCTTTGGCGCGGCAGCCCCTTCAGAGGCCGGCGTCAGCTTTGCAGCCATGCGCAGCGCGGATCTGGCAGCCGCGAGCGAGTTCCGTGTGCCGACGCATGAGGTGCCGAACCGCTTCTCGCAGCCCGTCGGCGCCGCGACGCTGCGCGAGCAGAACCTCGTGCCGACATGGCAGAGCGACGACACTGCGTCGGAGTGCCCAGACTGCCAGCGGCGCTTCACCTTCTTCGTGCGCAAGCACCACTGCCGCCGCTGCGGCCAGATCCGATGCGATCGGTGCTCGTCGCATCGCGTGCACCTCTCCGCTGCGGAGCTCGTCATCGACCCGGCCATGCCAGAAATGCTCATCACAGAGAGCAGTGGCCCGACACGCATCTGCAACGCCTGCAATGCGGACCGGCAGCTGCCGCCCGGCACCGCCGTGCGCTCGTTGCTGTCGCAGCTGCCGAGCAGCCACACCGAGAGCGACTTGCCGTCGTCGATGAGCGACGTCAGCTCCCGCGCCAGCGAGCTCAATGAGTGCCCAGTCTGCAGCACCACTCTGGCCACGCTTGGCGACTCGATCACACAGGAGGAGCATGTCAGGGTGAGTTCGCTTTCGCCCGAGCGCTGCGAAGCTGCATGCTCACAGCCGCTCTTTGCAGGCGTGTCTCGAGACGGGCGGCGGAGGATCGCTGCAGGGCGGACGCTACCTGGTCTACAAGCTGCCGGATACGGGACCCATCGTCGGCAAGGAGTGCGTAATCTGCCTCGAGGACCTGCTGCCCGGCATGATCATCGCCCGTCTGGTACGTCGCACCTCTGCGCCCACCTTCGCTCTGCTGCCGCTTACACGCTGCGCCCTCAGCCCTGCCTCTGCTACTTCCACCGCGCGTGCATCGACTCGTGGTTCAGCCGCGGCAAGGCCTGCCCGACGCACGCTCGCACGTGGTGACCGGCGCCGCAATGCACACGTCGCTCCTCTGATCAATCTGTCTGCATTATGTCGCGTCGAAGTTAGCGGGTAGCAGTGAGAAGGGTCTACAGCGATGGCTTGAGCGTTCGTGAGGAGATGCATGCGCGCAGGCGTTGCGCGGAGAGTCGTTAGATAGGGAAGGGAAAGGAGAGGAGCAGGCGCAGGCTTCAGTCTCTGCTGCCGCGCCGCGAAGAGTCACCGACGGGCGCCGAGGCTGGCTCCGTGCCGGCTGCGGTGTCGCTGCTCGGCGCCGCCTCGTCGGACCGCGGGCCGTCCTGGCCGCTCGAGGGGCCCGACAGGCTGCCGGCCGAGCGGCGCGGCGGCGCCTGCGAGATGAAGCCGAGGCGCGGCAGGATGGCGCAGACGTCTGAGCGCTCGAGCGGCTTGGCGAGCACGGCATCAAAGATACTCCGCGAGGCGTCGAGGCCCGAGTCGCGGTCGAACGATGCCAGCGCGACGATGGGCGTGAGGGAGTTGACGTTGCGCGTCGACTTGACCATGCGCGCGACGTCCTGGCCGTTGACTGAGCGAGCGTCAAGTCAGCTTGCTGCCGCTTTCAGAAGCACGAGAGACACTAACCAATGGGAAGGGACACGTCGACGAACAGCACGGCGTACTTGGTGTCGCCCATGGCCAGGCGCACGGCCTCTGCGCCGTTGCGCACCGAGGTGCACTGGCAGCCGAGCTTAGCGAGGATCGTCTCGAGCATGCGCATGGAGATCGGGTTGTCCTCGGCGATGAGGCAGTGCACTTGCTCCGGCACGGCAGACGTCGACGTGGACGGCGGCTGATGCGGCAGGGTGTCGACGCTGCTACCGAGGCCTGACGGCTCGACGGCGAGCTCGGCCTGGCGGCGCGCCTCTCTCCAGTTGCTCGGCAGCCCAGGACGATCCGGACTGCTCAGCGATGTGGTCCGCAGACGCACCGGCATGGAGCTACGCCGCATTACCCCTGCATCGCTGCTCTCCGCCAGGTGCGAGCGGCGGCGCTCCATGCTTGCGGCGCTGGCAGCCGACGGCGCGACGGGAGGGGTTGACGGCGCCACAGTGCCCGGCAGTTCCGAAGGCATGCGCTTGTGGTGCGCTCTGCTGCTGCTGCCCACGCCTCCCACTCCGGACGGCGACGTTGGTGCCGTCGACCGAGAGGGCACGGAGCTCTGCGAGGAGACCGATGTCGAGGGCGACGGCGGTCCGCCAGGAACTCCGGAGAGACGCCCGCTGCTACCGCCGCCACGCCCGCCGGCCTTGCCTGAGAGGCTACGATGGCGCGCATGAATTAGCGGCTGCTCGAGCGTGTGCGCGAGCGGCGGCATCTGGTCGTTGCGCATCTTGCGGATGACCTCGTCGTTGGCCTGCTTGAGCACCGGCAGGTTCTTGTAGCTGAACGAGCCAAACTCGTCGGTCGCCTGCTGCTCGTGCTTGATGCGCTCGGCGAGGCGGTTGCGCAGCCGCGATGCAGGACGGCTCATATCGATGCGGTGGCGCTTGGAGCCCTCGATGGCCTTGGCGAACTCGCTGCGCGACGAGACCTGCGAGTCGTTGGCGAACTCCTGGTGCACGGCGCCGCGCAGGTCGAAGTAGTCGGTCGACTCGGGGTCGGTAACCTGCGGAACGAACGGACCCTCGCCGTCGGCCACGTTGTTCCAGTCGATGCCCTCGAAGAAGGGATGCTGCTTGATCTCGTCGGCGCCTTGCGTGCCGAGGCGCGTCTTTGGGTCGGTGCACATGAGGCACTCCATGAGGTCGCGCGCCTCGGGCGAGATGTCCATCGCGCCCTCCTCCCAGTCGATGTTGCGCGAGAGGATGTTGTCAAAGACCTTCTCGGGCGCGTCGGCGTGGAACGGCGGATAGCCGTAGAGGAACTCGTACAGGATCACGCCGAGGGCCCACCAGTCGACGGCCATGTCGTCCATGCCAATGCCGAGGATGCTCTCCGGCGCCAGATAGTCGGGCGTGCCCACGAACTTCTTGAGCTGGGCGCCCGAGTTCGAGGGCGCATGCGGCGCAGCGGCGGCGTCGGCAAGGACGCTCGAGCCGAACAGCTGGCCGGGGCTGTCGAGCAACGCAGTCGCAGGCACAGGCACGAGCTTCTGCTTGCCGCCGCCTGGCGCCGACGTCGAGGCGGAGACCGACAGGGCGTGCTCGGAGCTGCTTGACTCGCTGGCGTCTGTCGAGGAGCTTACGAGGCGGCCGCGCTGTGGGCCAGTGTAGAACGTCTGCGCCTGCATCACGCCGGCGAGGCCTGGTGTCACGGGCACGCCGACGGCGGACGAGTCGCGCCACGTCGAGGAAGCGTTGCCCTGCGAGCCAGCGCGACTCATGGGCGTTCCCAGTGAGCCGGCAGAGCTGGGCGCGGGCGAGCCAGCGGTTGAGCCTGTGGGACCAGCCTCGGACTTGTTCTCGCCCTGCACGCTCTGTCGCTGGCCGGATGCGCCGGCGTGCTGGCGCGTCTGGCGCCCGAGCAGTCCGTACTTCGACAGACCGAAGTCCGTGAGCTTGATGTGGCCCTTCTGGTCGATGAGCAGGTTGTCAGGCTTCATGTCGCGATGCACGACGCCCTTCTCGTGAAGCTGCTCGAGGCCAACGACGACCTCGGCGACGAACTGCCGCGCCCAGTCCTCGGGCAGGCCGCCGAGCGCCTTGCAGAGCGAGGCACAGTCGCCGCCGGGCAGGTACTCCATGACGAGGTAGAGGTACTCGGCGCTCTGGAAGGTGAAGAAGAGCTTGACGACGAAGGGCGACTGCGTCTGCGTCATGAGGATCATGCGTTCGGCCTTGACGTTGGTGATCTGGTTCTTCGCGATCATGTCCGACTTCTTGAGCACCTTGATGGCGTAGTAGTCGCCCGTCGTGCGCTTCTTGGCGAGGAACACGGAGCCGAAGGCACCCTTGCTGATCGGCTTGATGATGTCAAAGTCCTTGATCGACGAGGCCGTCGGCCGCGACGAGGGCGCCATGGGCGGCAGGCGCGGCGAGAGCGTCAGGGAGCCGCTGAGGTGAGGGCTGTGGCGGTGCGAGACGGACACGCGGCGGCTCTTGAGGGCGCTCGTGCTCAGCTCCGGTGGCTGGCGCGGCGAGAGCGGCGGAGTGGACAGGAGCGAGCGGTCGGTAGACGCCGCCAGCAGGGATGCGCGGCGCGCCTGGATGGACGAGACGGGAGCCGCGGCCGAGAGGCTGCTGGCCGGCGGCACCGCTTCCTTGCTCCCCGAGCCGGCGCGGCGCATCTCCTTGCTGCTCGCAGCGTCGGGTGCGCCCACAGGCCGGGGCGCCGGCGCGCGCGGGATCGGGATGGGCGACAGATCGGCGGCAGCGGAGCCGCCCATGTGGCTCTCGACGCCGGGAATGTCGTCCTCGTCCTCGACACCATCGCCCCGCCCAGTCGCCGATGGCGCGACTGAGGGAGGGAGAGGCTCGCGCTCGTCGGGCTCCAGAAGAATGCCGGACGTGTCGCCCTCCTCTGGCTCAGACAGCTCCATGGCGGTGGACAGATCGCCGCGCTCCTCCATCTCGCCGGCGTCGTCATCGGCAAGCTCCTCTAGCTCCTCGACGTCCTCCTCGGGCGAGCCAGTCGAGCCACCAGAGGAGCTGGCGGCGGCAAGGGCGGCCTCGACGCGCGCCTCCCACTCTTGGCGCACCGTCTCGACGTAGATGATGGTGTTGAGCATGCGGTTCACCGCGCTGAGCTTGCTGCGCGTCGCCGACTCGATGTCGCCCGCCAGCATCTCGAGTGCAGCGTCTTCGATGACGGGACGCTTCCACGCGCGCACCTGGACAACCTTGCCTTCCGAGTCGGGGGACAAGAGACGCTGGCGCTCGATGGGCTGCTCCGCTGTGTCCTCCTTGACAGCCGGCGTCGAGATGGAGATTGCCACCTTGAGCACCTCGGCGAAGGCCTCGAGGGCGCGGAGATGCTGCTTGCGCACGTTCGCGGCGTGCGGGTGGCGGGGCGAGATGGAGCGGTTGACGGCCTCGAGAGCGGACGGCGGCTCAGAAGAGGGCGGCGGCGTGGTCAGCGCGACGCCTCTGTACTCGGGTGCGTCTGTGTCGGCCGCCTCGTCCAGTCCTTCGACGCTGCGATCGAGACCCTTGACCACGCGGCGCAGCTCGGCCAGCGTCTCGTTGCACTCGCCAATCTCCATCTCGAGGCGGTGCACTTCGTTGCAGATCTCTGAGTGCTTCTCGAAGAACCAGGCCGGCACGTCGCGCTCGCAGATGCGGCAGAGCAGAGCTTCGGTGGAGATTGCGGCGACAGGGCCTGCCACGACTGGCGGCTCGCCGGCATCGGCTGCGACGCGCTGCTGTCCCGGCAGCAGCTCCGCCTCGGGCTCGGGCGTGCTCGTGGGCTTGAAGACCCACATGACGTGCGACGCAGCGCCAGACTGGCGGTCGCGCATGAGCATGCCCTTGCCCTCCATCTCTTGGAAGTAGAGCACTGCGTCGCCGGCCTCGTCCTGCTCTTCAGACTCGACATCGGCGTCGGCGACGACGGAGCGGTCGACCTGCAGGCGGAAGGCCACCTCGACGGTGTGCGCATCGTTCGCCTGCAGCTGCTCCATCGCTTCTGCGAAGGTGGATGCGTCGCCCGGCGCGAGGAAGTCGGCAATGGGCCGGTCGAAGAGCTCGTTCGGATCCGTGCTGCAAGGCATGAGAGTGTGAGTCCAGCTGTGGGAGGAAGAAAGCGGTCCTGCTTGACTCACCCCACGACCGTGCGCCAAGCCGGACTGAGGTACAGCAAGCGCTCGCCGTCGAGGCTCAGCTCCATGAGCACGTTGATGCCCTCCTGTGTCGACTTGCTGGGCTGTGCTTGTGACTCCTCGACTGGCGCGAGCTTGGACCCTGCTGCATCCGCCTCCGCAGCCTCTGCAGCCTGCACCGCGACGAGGCGAGAGCGGTCACCCTCCGAGACCACGCGCCTGCTGCCTTGCGGCTCCAGAGCAGGCGAGCTGGTGCCACTGCTGAGCGCCGACGGCGGCAGCGGCAAGCCGCGTGCGCGCACCGGACTCGGCATGCCCGTCGAGGCCGCCAGGCTGCCCGAGCCGGGCTGGGCAACGTGCTGCTCGTGGTCGCCCATGATGAAGCGGATCGCCTCGCCGCCCTGCAGCTCATCCTCGTCCTCGAAATTCCAGAAGCCCTTCTCGGCCTCCCACCACTCCACGACTCTGCTGAGGCCGGCGACCGCCAGCAGGAGGCGCACGTACCACCCGCGTCCAGGCCACTCGGGCTGCTCGTCCCAGGCGCGGCCGATGGTCTGCACGTGGCTGATCACCTCTGAGCACGCGCCCGAGCGGGCAGCGAGCGCGGAGATGGAGGTGTCGATGACGTCCATCGCCACGCAGACGATGTCCTGCAGCGCTGGAATCCACGGTTCGAACGGCGCGTCCTCGGTGGGCAGCGGTCGCGTGCGTCTGGCGGGCGAGAACTGCGGCGAGTCCGTCATGCCGGTGCCGCCGGGCATGGGCGAGTGCGAGCGCGACGTCGAGCGGGAGCCCGAGACGGAGCGCATCATCTCGCGTGAGCGCGCCCGCGAGATGGCACGGTACGGCAGCACGCGCGGAGGCGCCGACGGAGTGCCGGCGAGCAGCTCGCCGCAAGACGGCGACGGGCCGCCGCTCACAGGACCAGCGGCCGCACGAGCTGGTGGAGGCGACAGCTTATACTCGCCGAGCGTCGAAGTGGTGTCAGCCAGGGCTGATGGGCGGCGCGGTGTAGGTGCCTCCAGCGGCTCGAGCGCAGCTGGTCAAGAGATTGCGGTCAGTTGAGGAGACTCGCGATGCTCAGAGCGCAACGACTCACCCTGCGGCGTCTGATCAGGATCAAAGCTGTCAGACTGCTCGCTCTGCAGCGCAGACGAGGCCGAGCTGCCGAGCATGGAGTGCACGCTGCTGTCGCGCGAGATCTGGGCGAGCTGTGGCCCGCGGCTGTTCGGCTCCGTCGTCATGCTGGCGCTCAGGCCCAGTGCGAGGCTGTCTGCGTTGACGCCGAAGAGCGCGCTGTCCTCCGGCTCCGTGTCCGTGCCGCTCTCGAGCTGCTGCTGCTCCTGGCGGGCTTGCATCGCCTCCTCCACGAAGGAGTTGACCGCCTGCACGATGCGTCGCAGCTCCTTGTCGCAGCTCTCCTTCGACGCTGCCAGACGATGCCGGATGTGCTGCCGGATGGAGTTGATGGTGGTCTCCTTGCTCGAGGCCTGCATGCCGGAATGGCCGGGCCCTTTGCCAGAATCGGACCGCTCGGATTGGCTGCCGTGTGTGCGCTGCTGCACCGTGCCGTCGACAGCGCGTCTGGCGGCCCCGTCGCTTGCAGCGGCCGTGTCCGAGCCTCGCCGCTGCTCCCATGCGTCGGACAGGCGACGCGTGTCTTTCGGCGAGGTGGGCACGTCACTACTGAATGAGCGATCCGATGGACGCCGGCTGTCGACTTGCTGGCCCGACGCAGGCCCAGACGAGCTCGCCGAGGGCCCGCTGTCACGAGCGCTGCTGCCAGCGAGACCCTCAAACGCACCAGCGTCGAACGAGCTGAGGCCCTTGTCGATGTTGAGCGAGAGCTTTGGGCCCTTCCGCTTGCTGCCAAGCTCTGCGCTGTCGTCTGCATGGCCAGAGACCGAAGACGACCGGCTTGCGGCGCGACTCGTGTTGCCAGACACACGCTTGCCGGGCAGAGGCGCCTGCTTGAGGTTCTGCGCCGACGAGGTGGCTCGAAGGGTGTGAATTGAGTTCGACGAGGGCGCCACCGACTGGTGGTTGTTAGTCTGACTGCGGACGTGCGAATTGAAGCCGGCGGCCGTGCCGGCTGCGAAGCCAGCGGCGACTGACGCACTGGGCCGCCGGAGCGAGCCGCTGCGCTGGCCCTCAAAGCCCGCGCTGGATCGCGGCGACGACATCGAGGCTGGTGATCCACCAAAGCCAGACTTGACGGCGCCCCACCAGGCCTCGATCTTGCCGCCCAAATTCTTCCGCCGGCGGCCAGAGGCGCTCGCCTGCGACTGCTGCGAGCCGGTGCTCGTGATGCGAGACGTGATGGGCGAGAGCGAGAGATTGCGCGGCTTGTCAGGGAACAGGCTCGTGCGCCGGATGGGCGGCGCGTAGCTGCTGCTGGCAAAGGGCGCATACTCGTCGAGCCCTTGGCCGAGCTGCGACGACGAGGAGCTCCGCGCGACCTCGTAGCGCTGTCGCTGGTAGCGCGGCGCTTCTGATGGCCGGCGCGGCCGCTCATATTGGCGCAGGTCGGTGCCGAGCGAGGTAGAGAGGCCAGGAGAGCGAGCCTCAGTGATGCCCAGCGCAGCGGACAGGCCGCTGCGAGCGGAGCGATTGAGGATGTCCTCCGAGCGGCGCTGCGGCGCATCGAGCTCGTCGATGTCGCTTGACGCCGTCGCGGACTCAATCGGCTCGACGCTCCGGAGCTTCGGCGAGTCAGCTGCCTCCTCCTGCTCCGAGCGAAGCTTGGCCTCCTTCATCCGGCGGTACTCGTCCAGCCAGTCGACCCACTCGATCTCGCGCGATCCTTCGCCCGCGACAGCGCTGTCGTCGGGCAGATCGTCGCTGTCGGGCACTGGCGAGCTGAGAGGCGATGGAGCAGGAGATGTGCCTCGGCTGCCGGACGCATGCCGAGCTCTCATGAAGCCTTGCGGGCCCAGGAGTCCGAGTGTGGTCTCGCGGCGGAGCAGGCGCATGGGCGGGCTGCTCGAGCCGGCAATGCCGAGCCCTGCCTGCGCGTCGGCAAGGGTCAGGCCCGCAGTGTCCGTCTGCGCGCGCTGTAGCGGCGTGCGCGCGCCGGCACTTGAAGGCGGAGGCGAGAGCGGGTTGCGCGAGGGGGCGCGCCACTTCTGCATCTTCGCATTGCGCGACTGCACGATGATCCGAGCGTACTCGTCGATGCCAGTCGTCGGCTGTCCGCGAGTCGGCATCATTCGGCCGTCGCCAGAGGGCAGCGCGAACGATGCCCGGCCGCGAACGGCCATCGTCTGGCTGCTGCTGGTCGCGCCATCGGCGCCTTGCGAAGAGCCAGGCCGTCTAGGAATGACAGGCGACAGGCTCTTCGGAGGCCGCTGGCGCACTTCTTGCGAACTCGAGATCCACGGCGCAGGGTGTGCAGTGGGATCTGCGTGCGAAGAAGGCATCAGTAGCTGCTGGTTATCTGCCGAGCGCGTGTACGCACCGAATGGTCGTCCAAGGTCTGGCACATCGTACAGGTCCCGCGCCTTGCCTCGATCTGTGCGCGCGAGAGGCTTGCGGCTGACTTGAGGACTGGGCGGCATCGCAAGAAGCGGCGCGAACGCAGAGCCAGTCGCGGCTGAGCGGGGCTCGAGGGCCGAGGAGGTCGTGGCAGGCGATGCGTTTGGCGCGGCAGGCGAGGCTGGCCGACCGGGCCGCGAGCCTGAGATCGGCGAGGTAGGGCTGGTGTTTGACGTGCCCGAGATCGAGACGAGCGTGTGCGAGCGACGGCTGGCCACCGGAGAGTTTCGGCCGGACGTAGCCGTCGAGAGCGGCAACGCAATGTTCGCAGCCGGAATCGGGCTGTTGCTGCGCGTCGCACTGGGCGTGTGCGGCGCGTGGAGGCGCGTGTCACCGCCCGTCGCCGCGCTGCTCATGCCGATGCCCAATCCATGTCGGCCAGCCTCGCCGCTCGTCGAAGGCGTCGTGGCCGAAGACGGCAGAGACGCCAAGGACATGGACATGCGGTTCGAGTCAGCCCGCGTCGAAGACGGCGAGTGCGGCGGCACGTAGAAGTCGGTCGCCAGGCGCACGGATGTCGGCATGCGCTGGAGCCGGATCGCCTCGCCGAGCGGCAGACCGAGGTTGCTGCCACCGCCAGCGCCGATGGAGGAGCTGAAGGACGACGCCGAGCCAGGCACGGGCGAGGTCGCGGCAGCAAGTGTTTGGCTGCGGACACGCGATCGCACATAGCCGTCGGGCGCGCCGAGAGGAGCGTGCGTGGGCGTCACCAGCTGAGCTGCGCCAGGCGCGCTGCCTGGCGTTGCCGCTGAAGTCGCTGGCGAGGCGCGCGCAGACTCTTCTGAGCCAGGTGAGGCCTCGGTGCCGCTGCCGTGTGAGGCAGCGCTGCGCAGAGAGCTGCCCGGTATTTGCATCGAGGGATAGCTGTTCGCCAGAGCACGCGTGTCTGGCATCACGTTGAGCATGTCTGGCCGCCGACCGGGCTGCCGCAAGGACCCAATGGGTGTCGATGGCAGCGAGGCGATGCGCGGCGATGTCGGTCCGCCTGACTGCACCTGTGGCGGTGCGAGTGTCGAGCTGTGCAGCGTCGGCGACGAGGTGATGGCTGCTGCCTGCATGGCGGCAACGAGATCTTGCTGCGTCGACATGGGCGTGCCTGGGATGCTCGAGTCGCCCGCACGGATGGCAGCTACGAGATTCGGATCAACACCATCAGGCCCACCCACTGCTGCGGCCGCGTCGCCCAGAAGCGCACCACCGAGCGACCGCGCACGACGATGCGCGCGGCTGGCCGACGATCCGGCGGCCGAGGACCGCCGTCGCTTGGCAAGGCTGCCGCTCGCGCTCACCGGCGGGCGGCTGCCTTCGCCAGTCTGCAGATGCGGCCGACCTTCCCAGGCGACGGGCGGCGAGAACGCAGACGAGCCAGGAGCTCCGCTCGATGTGGTGGAGACAGAGCCGGACGGAGACGGCAGACCCAGGCCGAGCAGGTTGTCATCGCTGCCGTCGCGCGCAATACGGGCCGACATCGTTCCTCGCTCGCGTGGCAGCGACGAGGAAGCAGAAAGCTCGGCTTCCGTCGGGATGCGCAGCGGCGTGCTGACCTTCCGCGGGATGATCAAAGGCGGGCCCATGACCGAGCCGGGCGGAAGCGCGCTCTTCCGCCGCGCCGCCTTGGAGACGGAGCTCGGCGCAGACGACGTTGTGCTCTCGGGCGAAGTGCCGGCGTCGCCCGAGACCGAGTCAAAGCCAGGCACAGCTGCTCTTGACGGCCCGCCTACCGACCGAGGCAGCGACTGCGGCGTGTGGCCCTCGCCCCACGCCATGAGCTTGGCGCGCGCCGAGCTGGAACGCTCGCGACGCGGCGCACTCGGCGACGTCGAGCGGACACTGCTGCCGCTGCCCTGGAAACGCTCGCTGTGTGCACGAGCACTGTCGAAGCTCTCTGGCGGCGAGACAGGCGGGTCGAGCTCGAGATCGTCGGCCTGCTCCTGCGGCAGCGTCGACGCATACGCCAGAGGGCTGGAGAAGGACGGCGCATTGTCGAATGGCGCTCTGCCCGGCTTGCCGCCGACGGGACTGATGGCGCCCGACGCGGATGGGATCGGGACGCTAAGCGCGCCGCCGGACGACGTGGACATCGCAGCAGGCCCGAGGCTCAGCCGCGCAGCTCGCCGCACCGCCTCGGGCGAGCTGGACGGCACAGGCGTCGGCGAGACAGGCCCCTGCGCATGGCTGAAGCCCGAGCGCGTGCTGCGCGGGGAGAGCAGCGGCTCGTCGGCACGCGAGGTGAACGGGTCGCTGAAGGATGACTGCTGGCGGATCCGAGGCACTGTCATGGGCTGAGGCGGCCCTTGCGGCACTGGCGGATCGTCGAGATCGAAGATGCCGGCAGTGGAGGAGCTGCGTTGCAGCCGCCGGTTGATCGTCAAAGGAGGCCCTGCGGAAATGAACCAGCTGTCAGCAGCGGGCTGGGATGGCGCAGTCAGCCAGATATGACACGCACCGTCTGCCTCTGAGAGGGCCGAGTCTTCGCGCGGCATCTTTGATAGATACGAGTCGGACGAGATGGACGGCTGGCCCGCCGCAGCGACGCCAAGGCCGTGCGGCTGCAGGTTGCCGAAGCTGCCCGCGCCCAGCGACGAGCTGTGCAGCGAGTCTGGCGAGACGGGGTCGGAGGAGCGTGGCCGGCTCAAATGCATGCCAGCCATGTCGACCTCGAGCGCGCGCGTTGTGACGGGCGACGGCGAGCGCAGTGCGTGACGCTGTGCAGCCGACGGCGTAGCATGTGCGACGCGGGCCGGCGAAGCGCTGTGCCGCAGCGTGCCGCGCCGAGGCTCCTCGCTCAGCTCGTCGGCGCTCCAGGGCGTGGCATGCGAGAAGGGCGAGAGCGGCGGCGGCTCGCGGCGCGGACGCAGCGCCGCCGACGCCTCGACCTCGCGCTCGTCCTCGGCGTCGCTGAGACTTCCGCCGTGCGCGCCCGCCGCAGCGCTCTCTAGCGATACAGCCGACGGCGAGTGCCGCAGCGGCGACGAGCGCGCCGGGATGGCGTAGGCTCGCAGCGGCGTGTTTCCTCCGCCGCTGCCGCCGCTGCTGCCGCTGCCTTCGGACACATGCTGCGGCGAGCGGCGCTCACCGGAGGTGGGGTGCTGGCGCAATGGCGCTGCGCCAGGTGCGGAGCCGGACGGCGGCTGGCCCGAGGCCATGGCAGGCCCGCAGCCGCGCGCTGGCGACGGGGCGCGCTCGGGCGACACAAGCGAGGGCGAGAGGCAGGTGCGTGACTTGCGGGTGGCGCGGGTACGGCACAGACGCGCGGCTGAACGGTGCTAGAGCATGCACAGAGGAGCGCGAGCGCGGAGAGGGACGCTGCTGCTGCTGCGGACGCTGGCGCGTGCGACAGCGATGGCTGGGCGTGCGCGAGTGCGGGGTGGACGTGAGAGGTGGTCGAGAGCCAGGATCCGCCAAGAAGAGAGGGACGGCGCCGAGCCTGCGCGCTCGCTGCTGCGGCCTAGGATGCGTGCGGGCAGCGACACCGCACGGAGCGGGATGGAGGTGGACGAGCAGCAGGAGGCTGAAGGCAGCGCTGCGAAGGAGGTGCGGCCGGGGCGAGCGAGGTGCGCGGCGGAGCTGGCTTTGGAGCGGGCCACGCTCGTCGCTGTGTGCGTGCGCGGGCGCGCCTCGGAGCAGCGCACGCACGCTGCGGGCGCACCGCACCCCGACGGTGCTCGCGTCCCGCCTGCGCCTCTTGCTGCAGCCACGCGCAGCGCCGGCCGCAGCCTTTGGCGCCGCAGGAGAAGCCCACGTCCACTTTAGGGCGCATCTCGCATGCCCCTGCGGCTGCCGCGAGAGTGCAGCCCGAGCGCCGCGACCCGCGGCAAGCTCACGCCGCTCGAGAGAGAGAGAGGTCGGCTGTCAGCCACGCTGTGCTGTGCTGTTCGCGGTCCCGCCGCGATGGCCGCCCTGCCGGTCGCACAGCTTTTGGTGCGCTGTGCGGCTGCGGCGGTGTGGGCCGGCAGCACGTCCATTCGGGTGCCGAGAGATGCGCAGAAGCGGCACGGCGTGCAGCGGCAGCGAGCCGTGCGGCGGCGGCGCACCGCACGCACGCCGGCCCGGTGCCGGCACCCGCGGCTAGCGCACCCCGCTTTGCGAGCCCTTGCCTTGGCGTCGCGCTGTGCTGCCCGCTCTCCTTCTGCGAGATGCGCCGCGTGCGCGACGTGGCCGAGGCAGGGAGGTGCGCCGCTTTTGGCCGCGGGGCGACGTGATGTCAACGAGGTGGCCCAGGTCGTCTGACCCCGACAGCTCGTTACCGCAGCACTGCACAGGCACATGGTGAGGCACAGAGAGGCAGGGGCGACAATCGGACCGCAGAGCGGGGGCAAGCCTCGAGGGCGTCGAGTGGGCGGTGCAGCGGCACTCGCAACCTTAATTTCTGGCCTTCCAGGGGCGAGGCCGGGCTGATGGCGCGCCCTGTTTGACGTCGAGGTCGGTGCCGCAGCAGGGCGCGCGGACGGGTCCAGCGCCTCCGCATCGCCCGCGTCGAAGGTGCCATCCCGATGCTGCACCCGATGCCCTCTGAGCACAGCTGGTCTCGTCGTCGTTGGCAGGTCTCGAGCGACAGAGTCATCGCTTTGGCGCGGAAGCAGCTGCACGCTCGAATGCGGAAGCTCGGCAGCTGAGAGAGTCGAGAGTGCACTCGCGGCACCTCCGAGAAGCGGGACTGACACCAAGTGGCGTCTGCACCTCGCCCCTCGGAGCGCACATCCGCCACGCAGCTACTGAGCGAGAAAGCGGAACCGAGCGTGTGCGACATTCCCGGCTCTGCCGTTAGCAACCTTGACGCCATATGGTGACGTGCAGATGCCCAGCACGGCGTCTACCTTTGTGGACCACGACGGCTCCGTGCGCAAGCGCAACGGCTGTCCCGAGGTGCGCCTGCGTCGTGGAGCCGGGGCAGCTGCGAGCGCCCGCAAGCCCCAGCACGTCTCAGACGCAGCGACACACAGCAGGCAGATGGGTGATGAGGGTACACACACGGGCCAGCGTGGCGGAGGTCCATGCGGCCTGCGTCGCAAATCACATTACAGCGTAAAGTCGGGACGAGAGAGTTAGGGTGAAGGGGCCGGAGGGAACGCAGGGCGAGGCGAGGGCTGGCGAAGAGACAGCCATGCGGCGGGCGTGACTTGCGCCGCTTGCCGACGACATGACAGAACAGCGCCGGACTCAGTGGCACGCGGAGGTGGGAGAGACGCGCGAGGAGGCACGGAGGGGTGGTGGACATCGTGACGGACGTAAATCGGCGGTCGGGTCGAGTCGAGTTGCCATTCTAGCAGCAGGCCGAAGAGAGCAGAGAGCATCGCGCGGTCCAGCCGGGGGTGTAACTGGCAAACGCAGAGCGAGGTCGCGAGGTAGGGCACGCGCACAGAAGGAAGGATGCGCGAGGTAGAGCAGACCCGAGAGGCCGAAAATTAAGATACGAAGCTTGAGCGCGGGATGCGCGCCGGAGTGAAAGAGTTGTGTAGGTGAGAGTAGGTCGGATACGCGCAGAAGAAGTCGAGATCGGGCTACTTGGCGATCGGACCGCCCGACGAGCTGGCCACGCGGAGCGGCGCTGCGCTCGTGGCGGCCGAGGCGCGCATCTCGCCCAGCTCCATGGCGTCGACGACGGCCTTGCCAATGGCCGGGCCGCTCGAGTCGTTGGGGTCCAGGCGGCCGCTCTCGAGCGCCTCGGTGTACTCCTCGACGCTGCGCACGAGGCTGAGGAAGCGTGCATCCTTGATGAAGCGCGGCACCGAGTCGGTGGCCATGAGGCGGAAGATGTGGTCCTGGATGCGCTCGTACAGGCGCACCATCGTCTGCAGCTGGCTGGCGTGCAGCGGCGCCTTGGGCATCGACGCGTGCACCGCCGCGCGCCGCTCCTCCAGGCCGCCGACGCCGCCGCTGCCGTGGCCCTGGCTGCTGCCCGGCGCAGACGCGTTGAAGCCCTGCGTCTGGCCGCGCACCTCCTGCGCCGAGACGCTCTCGACGCCCTCGCCGCCCGGGCCCTTGGCGTCGCTGATGACCTTGTTCATGTAGGCGACGAGGTCGGCGCGCAGGTTGTGCTCGATGTTCAGCTCGCACGGCGAGGCGGGCGCCAGGTAGGTGTTGTAGATGACGAAGGCCATCGCGATCAGGTCCTGCTGATGCCGCTCCATCGCCGTGAAGCCGTACTGGTTCGTACTGGAGCTCTGGCCGCCGCGGCCCAATCGCCGCCCGACGGCGCTGGCCATGCCGCCGCCTGCGCTCGAGCCCTTGGCATCGGCACCTGGCGCGCCTGGCCGCACGGCCACGGCGCTGCTCGTCGTGTGGAAGCGCCGCTTGAAGTCCTGCACGTCGAGCCAGAAGCTCAGGTTCTCCTCGCAGAAGTTCTGCTTGAGGAACTCGCGGAAGAGGCTGCGCAGCGCCGGCTCCTCGAGGATCTGCTTCAGGCGGTTCGTGTTGCTGTCGCGCGAGTTGTACGTCGACGAGCCGCCGGGGCCGCCCGTCGTGATGCTGTCGCCCAGGTGCAAGCTGGGCTGGCTCGACGACGCGCCGTTGCCGCCGTGCGCGACGAACTCACTGCGTAGCCGCTCGCTGGCCGACGGCCGCCGCGCAAGGCCGCCGTTCGAGCCAGAGTTCTCCGTGCCCGCCGAGCCGTTCTTGCTGCCGTCTGGCTTGCCCGAGGCCGTGCTGCCGCCGTCTGCGCCGCTGTTGGCGCCGCTGATGTTGAGCGCGTGCTGCATGTCCTCCTCGAGGCCCGCGCCCGAGTGGAAGCTCTGCGTCTGCTGCATCTCGGCGAGGTGCGCATAGCCGGGCCAGCGCGCCACGCCGCGCCCGCGGTCCGTGCAGCCGTACATGGCCTTGTAGTGGCAGCGGAACTCGCCCTCGGTGATGCGCCCGCTGCCGTCGTCGCCGCGCACGGCAATGTTGGCGTGCTCGTCCGAGTCCTTGCGGCTGCGGTCCATGACGAGCTCGATGAGCCCGAGCCGCACAAAGTGTGCTGCAACCTCGGCCGCCTCGTCGCGCCCGCAGATGGTGGTGAAGTCGCAGAGCCAGTCGAGTGCGGCAATGGCTGAGAAGCAGTGCTTCATGACGCGCGTCGCCGAGCCGCCCTTGGCCGGCTTGATCTTGTCGATGATGTCCTGCATCTCGATGCCCATCGTGCGGTCAAAGTCGCCCTCGGACGGCGCCGCGCCGTCGGAGGAGGCGCCGGCGGCGGTGGGCGGGTAGTTGGGCTGCCGCCCGACGAAGCGGCGGAAGATGACCTCGATGACGGGCCGGTTGATTAGCAGCTCGTCGTCGTGCGAGCGGCGCTCGAGGTGCAGCAGCTTCATGCAGATGGGCTGCGAGCTGAACACCTTGAGCAGGTGCTCGCCGTTGATGCCGTTCTTGGTGATGAAGCGCTCGAGGATGTGCAGGCCCTTGGGCGTGATGAGGTACACACCCTTGTCCTTGAAGATGCTGCTGCCCTGGTCCGCCGCATTCTCGATGAGGCGCGCGTCCATGAAGTGCTGGCAGATGCCCTTGGCCATGTCGCGGTTCATGCTGAACGTCGTCGTGGTCGTCGTCGTGACGACGCGACTTGGCTCCTTCGGATCTGGCGCGCGGTTGCTCTGCGAGAACTTCAGCGCGGCGAGGTTCTCGGCAGCCTCATCGGTGGTGAAGGAGTTGTGGTACGTCTTGAAGTACTGGCGGTGCGTCTGCAGCTGCAGCGAGACGATGAGCGTGGCGAAGAGGTCGTGCGTGTCCTGGTCGAAGGGTAGCGTAAGTCGTGCGGGCCAGCGGGTGCTGCAGAGTACATGTAAAGACAGGAGAACGGAGCTGGCAACGTGCCAGGCGCGCGCATAGAGCGCCCGTCGAGCAGCGCTCAGATGCCATCGCCCGAAGCAGCAAGAGTGTGACGACAGGCTCGCTCGCGCTGCCTGCCATACTCCAGAGCAGATGCAGCTCAAGACTCCTTTGGCGCCGCAAGGTCTCACACTGCTGCACATGACATGCGAGCGGCGACAGCTAACTCTTGCCGAGCGCCGCCTCGCGCTTCGCAAGTGCAGCCGCGCATACATGCTCCCTCGCCATCCACTCCTCTGATGCGCGCCCGGCTCGCGCCTGTCTACATGTTTCCCGTCCAGCACACCACACTCACCTTGGCGAACGGCCGTCCCCTGCGCGTCGTCTTCATCATGCGGCTGCTGGTGCGCTGGCGCGTGCGCTGCTGCGCCTGCGCCTCAGCCGACTGCGAGTCGAGCGACGTGCTCGAGCTCGCCATCGCTCAGACGAGAGGGGCACGACGTGCCGCGTGTGTGGCGCAGAGAAAGTCGCTGTGGTGTGGTAGCGCAGAGCTGCGCAGAGAGAGAGGACGCAAGGCCGCGCGTGCGCGGATGGCACGGCACCGGCGAGCGCCGAGGAAGAAGGACGCGCGGAGAAGAGGGCGGCGCGGCGCTAGAGGCTCGGGCGAGCGCTGGAGAGGTGCAGAGCAGGGCTGCGCAGTGGCCGTGTGCTTCGCAGCCGGCGGATGTACGCAGCAGAGGTGCTGTGCTCGTGTGCGCCGTTATCGGCGGGGTGCGTCAGGGGCGCTTTGGACGCGCGGTGGTGTGGGGTTCTGCGAGCGAGCAGGGCGAGTTCTGCTCGGGCAGAGAAGGCGGCGCGAGCGCGAGGGTGAGAGAGGGAGGGAGAATTAGCGGAGCAGCGGGCGATGTAGAGAGGAGCGAAGGCAGCGAGGGCACGGGCGGGAAGGTGGGAGAGAGAAGGAGGGCGACGGCGAGCAGTGCCGGACAGAGGCGAGGCAGCTTGGAGGCGCACGGCGGCGGCGAGGAGCTGAGCAGCACAAAGCAAGGCACGCCGCCTGCAGGCGCGGCGCGTCGCCTCTCTGCTGCGGGCGGGCGCAGCGCTGCAGCGCGGCCAGCCAGAGACAGCTCGGCGCCCGCCCTCGCGCCACAAGCAAGCAGCGCAGAGCGAGCGCCCTTGCAGCGCGCCGCCGCCATCCCGATGGATGGACGGACCCACCGCGGCCAACTCCAGCGCTGCCGCAGCCGCAGCGAGCACCTCACCCAGCATAGCATTTGCGTCTGCCAGATGCAGGACACAAAGAAGGCGCAAGGGCGCCCAGAGTTCGAGCAAGCTGCAGCAGAGGCAGCCATCGTCGCAGCTCTCCCTTCGAGGGCAGGCCCTCGCGTGCTCGCTGCCTCGTGCCGCCTCGGCCGTGCCGCAGCAGTCCCGGACACAGCGAGTTTGCCGAGCGTCGTCGACTGCGGCTGCCGGGAGCCGAGCCGGTCAGCCGTCTCATGGGCTGGTCGCACGCGCAGACGCCGGCTCCTTTGCCCGACGTCCTCGGCGACGGTGCAAGGAGCGGCCGCGGGAGAAGCGCCGCTGCGTTGTTTGTTGCGCCGCGTCGACGCCGAGCTCTCGCCCGAGGGTGCCGGTCGGAGCACCCAGGCATGAATAGAAGGCCACGAGCACGGCCTTCTATGTGCTGCGATGGCCCATTCACGCCGCCGAAGCAAGCTTTCGCCGACACACAACGCTTGGCAGGCAGCATCAGCGAGCCGGCCTCTCGGAGTGCGCCACAAATAGAAAGCGGAGCAAGGCACCGCCAGCCGACGGCGGGGATGGCGCGCGCGGCTCGGATGTGACGGATGTCGCGCGGTACGTGCGAGAGACGGGCGCCGCTGTTCGCACGGCAACGAGCTGCACATCCTCCGAGACACCACGGAGTGCGCGCCGCTGCAGCGATGCTCTGGCAGGCGCAGCTCGTGCAGCGCAGCAAGGACCTTGCCACGCTGCTCCGAACGTACCAGGCCCCGAGCTCGCCATCGAGAGGGCGCAGACAACGACTGCCTCGTCTGCGGCGGCAGCGGCAGGTCGCGCTCCGGGCGAGACTCACCAGCAGACGGGCAGGATGTGCGGCACAAGCGCTGTGCGGATGGGTCTGTACGCCCTGTCGGGCTTGCGTGCGTGGCGCTTGACGACGAGAGGCAGCCGAGCAGGCGCACAGCACAGCAAGGACGCGAGCCGAGAGGTAGCCGAATGGGACAGGGGTTGGGGGCTGTGAAGAGGCGAAGAGAGGGGCGCAGAGGTGGATGTGGAAGAGAGGCAAACATACTGGGCCACATAGCAGCACGGCAGAGACAAAGGCGGCCTGTGCCGTGCTGCATCTCGCTCGCTCAGGCTCAGGGTGCAGCGCGCGCAGGGGCGTGGGGCAGCAGCAGAGGCGGCCTGAGCGGCGGGGGCCCGGCGCTCGGACGCGAGGGCGACCGCCGCACTGCTGATGCCGAGCTCTCAGGAGCGAGACAGGCTCTGCGCTAATTCGCCAGGCACCGAGCGCATGGCAGCGAGGAACGGTGCAGCGGCGTGGCGGCGTACCTCTGCGCAGCCGCCAGCCGCCAGGGCCATCCGCTTGCGCGCGCTGCGCATCGCCCTCCTCCATCGCGACCGCGGCTCGGGGGCCCCTCGGCCATGCGCAGCGTCCGCTGTGCCTAGACCGCCTCGCTAGCGCACGCTTAATGCTCCGAGCCGGTGCGGGAGTGCGGCGCCGCACCCGCATTGGCCGCCGGCAGTGTGGCAGCTCAGCTCCGCGGAACGGTAGGCACGCTAGCGACCCAGGACAAGGGAATGCGCGCACAAGGAGCCGCAGCATGTCGCGCGCGAACAAGAGCCTCACGGCCCTCTGCTGCCCAATCGGGCCGAAGCATGAAACCAAGATGCATTTCCCGCCGCGGCCAGTGCGGACAAGGAGCAGTGCTCACTTTGCCTCGCGCACAAAGAGACAGAGCCACAGCAGACTCGCAGCCCAGAGGCCGCCGGTGATGATGGCCAGCGACGCCACGTCGGGGAACCAGAAGGCCTGCGAGTCGAAGCCAAACACCGTCAGGATCGTGGCCGCCGGCACTTCGATGGAGAGGCCGTAGCGCTGGATGGCGGTAGATGTCAGCAGGGCTCCGCAGCGCCGCAGCACCGCAGCGCATACTAACGACCTCAGTGAGACTCAGCGTCTTGAGCTCGTTGATGAGCAGCGCCTCAAAGGCGGCGTGCATGAAGCTGCCGTGCAGCGCCCAGCGCAGATACACGGGGATGCGGTCGCGGTTGATGAGCAGGCCGGCAAAGAGCAGGTTGAAGAGCATCGTGAGCGTGCCCACGAGGTTCGCCACGCCCGTGTCCTTGATGGCGATGCTGATGAAGAGCACCGCGGCGCTCGCAGCGAGCGAAAAGAGCACGAGGACGCTGCGTTGCATGGGTCAGCTGAGGTCTCGTGGCGCAGTGTCGGGAGCAACGCACAGGAGGAACTTCCAGAAGATGTCGACCTTCGGCACAAGGCCCACCGCAAAGTACCTGTGCCCAGCGCGTCAGCAGAGCGGCAGGAGGCGCACTGGTGCGACGTACACGATGGAGCCAAAGATGAACGGCGGAATGACACGCAGCGGCAGCACGTCGAAGATTAGCTGCGCAGCAACAGAGTTTCGTCAGCGATGGCCACTTGCGTTGCACTTGGGCACGACGCACCTTGGAGAAGAAGTACGTGACGGGCGAGTAGTAGCCATTGGCGCGCTCGCGCACGAACAGGGCCCGCTCGTTGGCAAAGACGCCGAGCGACGTGAGCGTGGAGAAGGCAAAGAGTGAGAGCAGGAAGAAGAAGAGGCCCAGCCGGTTCTGGAAGCCCGCAATGTCGTTGGTGATGCCCGAGTAGAGGACGCCGCAGAAGACTGGGCGCAGAAGTGTCAGCAGAAGGAAGCAGAGGCAGAGGGCCGGGCCAACGCACGAGCAAGCACGACGCTCATCGCATAGTGCGCCGCCATGAGCTGCGGGTTGCGGTAGAGGTTCTTGAATGCGCGGCCGGAGAGAATGACGAGCTGCGTGAAGAGACTGGCCTTGTCGTAGCCGCGCAGCGTGCGGTCCGCGTCGCTGACGTCTGGCAGTTCGTTGCCGTCCGCATCGCGCGGCGCAGCCTCGAATGCCACGATCTCATCGTGCGTCTGTCGGGCAATGTCGCTGGCGGCAAACGCATCGACCAGCGCCGCCAGCTGCGGCGCTATCTTCGTCGGGCCGTGCGGCCGCGCGCCAAAGGCATTGCGCACGCCCGTCGCCAGTCGGCTCGTCTTCTGCCGCAGCGACGAGGGCGTGCTCGGCGTGCCGGCCGCGGCGGTCGAGTTGGAGCGCGTGCGCAGCTCCGTGTCCGTCGCGGCACTGTGCGGGCCCGCCTCTTCGTCGCGGTAGCCTGAGCCGACCGCAGGCGCCGCGACGCTGGAGCCGTTGGCGGAGCCAGACGGCGTCGAGTTCGTGGCCGACGCAGTGAGATCGACGAGGTGGTCGCCTAGGTTGAAGCCCGCGGGGCAGCCGTGCTCGATCGACTCGAAGTATGGCCCGCACTTCTCCAGCGGTCCCGAGTACACGGCCTTGCCGGCAGCGAGCAGGACGAGGTGGTCGAAGAGCGCGACGATGTTCGAGCGCGGCTGGTGGATCGAGAAGACGACGGTGCGGTTGTAGTTGCGCGCCAGCGTGACGAGGCTCTCGACGACGTTGTGTGCGTTGTACGCATCGAGGCCACTGGTGGGCTCGTCGCAGAAGAGGATGCTCGGGCTCGTGACGAGCTCGCAGGCAATCGAGACGCGCCGCTTCTCGCCGCCGCTGATGCTGCGGTGGCCGGCGTCGCCGACGCGCGAGTCCTTGACGCCCAGCAGGCCCAGCTCGGCAATCGTCTCGAGGGTGCGGAAGCGCTTGGCGGCGATGGACATCTCACGCGGCAGGCGCAGCAGGGCAGAGTAGAGCACCGTCTCGTACACAGTCAGCGTGGACATGAGGCAGTCTGCACGGCATTGTCAGCCCAAGGAGACCCGGGATGGGCAATGCTGAGGCGCACCCTCTTGGTCGACAAAGCCGACGACGCGCTTGTAGTCGGCGTTGCTGATGCTGCGGCCGTTGACGAGCACGCGGCCGGAGCTGGAGCCGCGCTTGTTGCGGCCAGCCAGCAGGTCCAGGACTGTGTCGCACCATCAGCATGAGGTCACGCGCGAGCAGCAGCAGACGCCCAGCTACGCACAGGTCGACTTGCCCGCGCCACTTGCGCCCACGATAGCCATGACCTGGCCGGGCTTGACAGTGCCGGAGATGCCGTCGAGCACGAGCTTCTCGCCGACGCGGTACGAGAGGCCGTCGAAATGCAGCGTGGCGGGCACATGGTCTGCCATGAGGCGTGCCGCCTCATCCTCCGGCAGACGCACGCTGCCGAGCTCCTCGTGCTTGTAGTGGCGCCCCAGGAACCACAGCGCCGCGCTCACCGCCAGCACGACGAGGAATGCCGCCGCCGCCGAGAAGATGACCCAGAAGAGCCGCGGCGGCGGCGGAGGTGCCGGCTGCGCGTAGCCCGGCACCTGCGAGTAGTGCACGCACTCGCCCGACTGGCACGAGAGGAAGATGGCCTCGTCGCCGAAGACGTCGCCGATGAGTCTGGCATGTGTCAGCAAGGATGCGGCGAGCAAAGCAGTCCATCTCGCAGCTCACTGTGACATGCCCGGCTCGTCAAAGCGGCATTGCCGCTTGCCATCCTTGCCCGTCTTGCACGTCATGCTTCCGGGGCCCTTGATCTCTTCCGTGAGGAAGTCGCCAATGTCGACGCTGCCGCTCTCGCCGCAGAGCATGCGCCCCGGAATGCACTCGCACTTGACCTTGGCACACGTGTGCTTCGTGCTGTTGCTGCCGCTGCTGCGCTCCAGCGTCTCGACGCACTCGTCGAGGCCGCAGTAGAAGGACTCTTGCTGCCCGATCCAGAACTGTGGCGGAGAGTGTCAGCGCGCCAGCTGCAAGAAGTGGAGCCGTCGCTCCTCGTGCAGAAGCAAGACACTCCTTGGCGCCTCGCACCACCTCACGCGGCCTTCAACGCTCGCCTCACACTCACCTGGAAGTTGCAAGTCGCGTCCTCCCTCTCGCAGCTAAACGTGACACGCGGCGGGCGGCCGGGGAGCATCTCGGTGATCTTCTTGTTCGTCACGTCGCACTCCTGGAAGCTCTGGCGCACCGTCGCGCCGCCCGTGTAGCACGTGCCGTTCTCGCCGAGGCGCTCGCCGTGCAGGCGCACCTCGGCGCACGGGTTCACGCCGCCGCCGTCGTCGTGCCCCAGCGTGGTGTTGGACGGCGGCACGCACACGTTGCAGTTCAGCCCGCTCCAGCCGGGCGCACACTCGCATGTGTCGCCCGTGCGCGGATAGCGCTTGCTGCCCTCGGCTGGCGAGCCGCAGAGCGGCGTCAGCTGTTGGGTGAGAGCGGTGAGATGGGCAAATGGAGGACGTGCGCAGCAGAGAAACGGGCGAGGAGCGGGGGGCGGTGGCAGACACGGCGATCAGCACAGCACTGACTCGCACTCTTCTCCTTTCCACTCACGCAGTCCTGCCCGCCAAAGCCCACGGGACAGGCGCAGAGGCCGTCGTACTCGCTGCACGTGCCGTACTGCGCACAGGTGAACGCGGGCAGCTGGCAGTTGAAGCATGCGGGGCACTCGGGGCAGTCGGCGGGCCGCTTCGGCGGGTCAAAGGCGAGCGCTGACAGTGAAGATGAGCCGGGTGGGTAGAAGGCGAACTCGAGCCCGCTGGCGGCGGCGCTGGAGCAGAGCAGTGCGCCCAGCGCCACGAGGAGCGCGGCGAGGAGCGAGAGGCGCGGCATGATGCGGAGGAGGCGCACGCGCGGGACGGGCCGCGGCGGGCGCAGCGGCGGCGGAGGTGAGCGCTGCGGGAGCGGCGAGGGTGAGACGTGCGAGGCGGAGGTGGTGGTGAGAGGCAGGCTCGGCGGGTGCCAGAGGCGCAGTCGCTGACACGACGCTCGCGGTCGCTGTGTTGCGAGAGAGAGGCGCGCACGTCAGGGTGCAGCGCACGGGCGCAGCCGGCGGGCCAGCCACACGCCGCGCCGCCGCCGGCCCGCGGGCGCGCCTTGCAACGTCGCATCTGGCGCGCACAGCAGGGAGCAGCACCGTCGGTGCTCAGCCTCGGCGTCAGGCTGGATTGTGGGCCACACTCCATGCGCAGACGGCGCCGCCAAGAGTCAGCATCTGGCCTGCAGCGGCGCAGCTGGCGGGCCCGAGGTGCGGGCGCGCGCAGGGAGCGTGGGAACGCCGCATGCGATTCAGCCGCGCCCTCGGGAGGCGGGCGAGCCGGCGCCGGCGCGGGGCAGCGAGGTGAGAGAGGAGGCCGACAGCGACGGGCTACGCTCCTGCCTCTCCACACCACAAGCCATGTCCGCCGACGCCCCCAGCGGCAGCCGCAGCGCCGCCGCGCTCGAGCCCGCGTGGCAGTCCGCCAGCGCATCCGCCGCGCCCCGGCTGGCGGCGCTGCAGCGCGCGCTCCCGGCGCTGCCGTCCCCGGCGCTGCGCATCCAGCGCGTGGCCCAGCTCGACGCCGAGCTGCTCGACGCTGAGCTGCTCTCGCTGCTGCTCTCGCCGCTCAGCAGTGCTCTGGCGCTCCTCTCGCCGGCGCGCAGCTATGCGCCCGAGCTGCGCCTGCTGCTCGAGGGCACGCTGGCGTACTTCAGCCTCTCGCCGCTGTCGCGCGCCGCCTCGTACGGCGCCTCGCTGCAGAACCTGCGCTGGCGCAACGAGTGGGCCCACGCGCGCCGCGGCCTGCAGAGCACGGCGCGCGATGCGCCCCTGGCAACGTGGCAGCGCGTGGCGCACCCGGCCCTCACCGTGCTCGTGCCGTATGCGCTGGCGTGCGCCGAGCGCAGGCGGCTCGGCGGCGCGCGCTCGGGGCGCACGGAGCGCGCCATCGAGTACGCGCAGAAGGTGTACGCGGCCGCCAGCCTGGCCAGCTTCGTCGCGTTCCTCGCAGACGGCAAGTGAGTGTGGTGTGGAGCGAGCGCGGGAGAGAAGGGAGGGGCAGGAGGGCTGGCGGTAGCAAGGCCAGACGCAGGACAGGCCATCGCAGGCGAGCGGCCACGCGCAGAGTGTCGTCAAGCATGCGCAGTCCGCGAACACCTCGCGCCTGGCCCTGCTGGTAGCGTGCTGCCTCGCGATGCCTCCCCTTTGCTGACCTCCGCTACGCAGGTACCGCACGCTGACGGACCGGCTGCTCGGCATGCGTCTCGTCTATGCGCAGCGCGACGCCTCGCGCGCCATCTCCTTCGAGTTTCTCAACCGGCAACTGGTGTGGCACGCTTTTACCGACTTTCTCCTCTTCCTGCTGCCGCTCTTGCGACCACGGCGGCTGCTGCGCAAGCTGCTGCGCCTGCCCACGCATCCGCTGCTGCTCGGCACGCTGCTGCATCTGCTGCCCTCGCGCGTTGCCTCTGCCGCCGGCCTCTCGCGCTCGCCCAGCGGCGCGCCGCAGTTCAAGGCGCCCGCCTTCCTGCGCCGCTCGACGGGCAACGACGCACCGAGTGCGCCGTGCGCCGATCTACCAGAGGGCGTCTGCGCCATCTGCTTCACTCGTCTGCTCTCCGCCTCCTCCTCCAGCGCACTGAGCGGCATGCGCGCCGGCATTCCTTCTTCCGACCCGCTCGATCCCTCAGCACATACGCTGGCGCCGAGCCGCGTCGACCCTTCCTCCTCGCTGCCCACGCCGGCGCCGCCACGGCGCGGCGACGACGCGGCGCGGCGCGAGTGGGGCACGGGCGCACAGGGCATCAAGTATGCCGATGCGCTTGTGCACACGCCGTACGCGCCCGACTGCTGCGGCGCCGCGTACTGCTACGTCTGTCTGGCGGGACGCCTGCTGGATGAGTCTGCGCGGGAAGAGCTGGAAGAGGACAAGGCGCCGTGGACGTGCCTGCGCTGCGGAGAAGGCGTCAGGAGCGCACAACGCGTCAGCGACGTGCTGCTGCTGGAGGAGGATGAGGAGAAGCGCTTGGCGCAGAAGACGGCGCCAGAAGAGGAAGACGAGGAAGAGCTGGATCTGCTTGGGGAATGAACACGCATCTTCGCCCATCTGCCCCCTCTTCCGCATGCCTCGTCTCCTGTGCTGGACAAGCCGGAAGACGTGGTACGAGCCGGCACATGTGGAGTGTCTCACGCTGGTAACGCCGTACACTGTAACGCTCACGCCTACCAAGCTTCTGCACATGCTTCGAGCAGCAGGCTCATTCTCGAACCTGACAATACGCATCTGTGCTCGAGCGTGTGCGCAGATGTGCCCCTTGCGCGCGGCACGCTGCCCTCAGGCTCGTGGTGCAGCCAAGTGGCAGGGACCGCATAGCCGGGGGGAACCAAGATAGCCTGCTCACGTTCGCCAAAGCAGCAAGACGAAGGCAGGCAAGTGCGGACGGCACGGCGTCTGACACATGGAGGGCGACGCAGCGCCTCACCGCCAACGTGCCCATTGTGCACCTTGCCCTTCTCGACACCCTGCCCCGGATCCGCATCGCCTTCCCGTCTCCAGCGTCCACGCGCAGCACTTGGCTCCCTTGGTGTCGCTCCTCGTTCTACGCCGGCTGAACATGTGAGCCCTCCTGCTTTTCTCACCGCTCTGCGGCACCTTTCCCCTTCCCTCTCCTCTCCTCTTCCTCCGCACTCGTTTCCAGCACATGGTCAACGCGAGAATTGCATGATGATACAGCGGCCCGACGTCCTCGCGCCTTTTATGCGGCGACAGCCTCGCGCTTGGCGGCGCGCGCCTCGCGCACAGCCTTCTCGGTGCCGTGCTTGGCGTAGCGCTGGTTGCGCAGGAACTTCGGGTCGACCTGCGGGTGGGAGCAGCGTTCAGCACGGGTGGCTGGAGATGCTGGACGTTCTGCCTTGCTGATGAGAGGGCAGGGCAGCGTGTCGACGCCCTTGCCGGCGCCGCCAGAGCACCCGCAGCCCTCAATTGCAGGTGCGCGAGCCTGGCAGGACCGCCTCGTGCATGGCCCGCATGCTGTCCGCCTGCTGTCGCTCGCCTCGCCCTGCTTTGGCATGCCGCACGCGCCGCCATTGGGCGCTGCGACGGCGTCCGCCTCGCGCATACTGCATGCCTGGCGCAGCAGCGAGAGCATCGGGCTCGGCCTGCGCTCCAGCCTGCGCTGACTGCGGCGCGTGCGCGGTGGGGGCATAGCGATGGCCGGCCTTGCTGCCAGCCGCATTGCTCCTCCGTCCCGGGCGCGCACGCCGCTGCTGTCTGGCCGCCGTGTCCCTTCAACCTCTCACCCTGCCCCCTTCGCTTCTCCTGCCCCTCGCTGCCCATCCCTCTCCTCCTGTGACTGATGTGGCCGTCTGTGCGCATGTTCTGCATACTCACACCGCGCAGCGACGGGTACTTGTTCGTCTTGGGCTTCTTGATGCCGTTGCGGTGGGCCTTGGCCGACTGCAAGGGGCGCAAGAGCACTGCATCAGCACCTGCCGCCTCGCGCACGCCCGGCATGGCGCCGACAGAGGCAGCATGCCGGCAGGGAGTGGCGACGCACCTGGTTGTGCTGCGAGCTGTTCTTCGACTTGGCCATCTTGGAGGAGCACGGGGGGGATGGATGGTGGGGAGACGCCGGCGGCGGCAGCGGGCGGCGGCGTAGCAGCCAAACGGCGGCGCGGCGCGGCCATCTGCGCCGAAAGGAGTCGCACGCGCGGCTGCCTGCTGCGCCGGCCTTCTTGCTCCGCCAGCGCTGCAGCCGCCGCGTCACTCGACTTCGCCGCAGCAGCGCTCTCGCACGAGACATGTGTCGTTCCCACGCCGCCCGCCCGCTGCTCCCACGCACGCCCCCACCATCACAGCACCTCATGAGAGCAGCCAGGCCCGCTGAGCATGACAGATGCCGACTGGCTCAGCTTGAGGTGACAGCAGAGGCTTCAGTCTCGGACGCTTGTGCTGCTGAGAAGCGCTCGCCGCAAGCTGCCGGCGACGAATACGCCCGGCGGGGCAGCTTCGACAGCGGCACGCCTCGCTGGCCGCTTCGCACCTCGGCCATGCGCGCACGCTCACGCTCACGTCCGCAAGCCGCAAGCACTACTGTCCCGTCTCCCTGCTCGAGGGCACGGCGAGCATCTAGTGACACAATTCATTCACTCTAGCCGTCGCTATGGGAAGCGCACCGCTGCGGCCCGCTCGACGCCTGAATGAAAGGGGGGCGAGTCAGCAAAGGAGGGCAGAGACAGCGTTCAGCAGCCAGCACGCACCGTCGATGTCCACCTTGTGCCCGACGAGCTCGCGGATGTTGTTGATGCCGTAGCGGATCATCGTGGGCCGCTCCAGACTCAGGCCTGCAGACAAAGTGTCAGTGCACACGTCCAGCTCGCATGCTCGCTTACGAACGCACCCCAGCCAAGCACGTTGACGCCGTCGGGCAGGCCCATGGGCCGCAGCATCTCGGGGCGGAACATGCCCGAGTTGCCAATCTCGACCCACTTGCCGAGGCCCTTGTGGTAGCTGAAGATCTCCAGGCTCGGCTCCGTGTACGGGTTGAACGCCGGCTTGAAGCGCAGGTCGGTGACGCCCATCTTGGCAAAGAAGATCTGCATGAAGCCAATGAGGTCGCCGAGCGTGATGTTGTAGTCGGCCACGACGCCCTCGACCTGGTGGAACTCGGCGAGATGCGTGGCGTCAACGGCCTCGTTGCGGAACACGCGGTCGATGGAGAACATCTTGGCCGGCTGGAAGCCGCCGGGCGCGTTGGCGAGCTTGTAGAGCATCGCCGCCGACACGGCCGTCGTGTGCGTGCGCAGCACCAGCTTCTCCGTCACGCTGCGCGAGAAGGGGTAGCGGTAGCCCGTCGAGCCAAAGCCGCCCTCCTCGTGCACCTGCGTCACGCGCGCCAGGTAGTCCTCGGGAATGTGCTTGGCCGCCGGCGGGTCCTTGACGAAGAACGTGTCCTGCACGTCGCGCGCCGCGTGCTGCTGCGGCACAAAGAGCGAGTCGAAGCACCAGAAGCTCGACTCGACGAAGCGGTTCGTTGGCATCTCTGTGAAGCTGCGCACGGGCTGTCAGAGGTGAAGCAGCGTGGACGCTGCAGCAGGGCACACGCACCCCATCTCGAAGAAGATGTTGCGGAACTCCTCGCGCACCTTGAGCAGCGGGTGCAGCGCGCCGGCCGCCGGCGCCGCGCCCTCGGCGTTGAAGTTGTACTTCTTGAACGGCTTCTCGCGCCATGCGCCGCTCTGCAGCATCTCAAACGTCAGGTCCGTCTCGAGCTTCTCGACCTTGAGCGCGAACTGCGGGCCCTTGGTCACGGAGAAGTAGACGAGCTTCCTGTGCTCCGGCCGAAGCGTGAGCATCCTCCGCGCAGCAGGCGTCTCGCTGCGGGCAGAGCTTACCGTGGTGCGACCAGCTTGCGCTTCTTGTACTCGGCCGCCTCCTTCTCCGACGTCTCGCCGGCATCGCGCACGCGCTGCAGCGCCAGCGCCGTGTCGTCCTCGATGGCATCGACGCCCGGCACGCGCGCCAGCTCGCCGGCGGCCGTGGGGTGCTTGCGCACCCAGCGCTTGGCAAAGGCCTTGCCCTGGGCGATCTTGAGCACGGCGGGCGTGAGGAGCTCCTGCAGCGGCACACGTTGAGCTCACACGCCTGGCACGCCGAAGCGGATGACTCACGCCCAGCTTGGCCATGCTGGCGCCCTGCTCGGCGTCGGCAGGCAGCGCGCGCCACAGCCGCGCCTCGTGGCTGCCGTCGCGCGCAATCGAGTAGCCCTCGGGCGTGAGGACGAGCGTCGTCTGCTCGTGCACGCTGTAGGCCACCATCTCGCGGCTGGCGAGCGAGCTGAGCGTCGCCTGCAGGCCGAGCTGCCAGTCGGCGCGGGCCCGCAGCTCGGCCTCGACGCGGGCGCCGGCGTCGTCGGCGCTACTGCTGCTGCTCGCGGCGGCGTGTGCGGTTTCGGCGGCGGGGTAGAGGGCGCGCGTGTCGGGCAGGCCGGCGCTGCCGGCGCGGTCGAGGAGCAGCAGCAGCTCCTCGGCGCTCAGTGCGGCCGGCACGCCCGCCGCTGCTGGCGCGGGCGCAGCAGGCATGGCGGCAGGAGGAGAGGAGTGCGGGCAGGTGCTGCGAAGTGTGTGCTGCGGACGAGCGAGAGGCAGCAGAGACGGCGCAGGCGGGCGGCGGTGGAGGGAGCGGGGAGGCGAGAAGCAGCGGCCGGCGGAGACTTGGAGCGGCGCTTCAGCCAGGCCGCGCCCAAGCCAAGCGCGCTGCACGTGACGCGGACGCGGCGCTGCTTCCCTGAGCAGCGCTCCCGCCGCCGCGCCATCTTTCTCCTCTCCACACGCTCCCGACACCATGGCGTCCGCCTCCTCCTCGTCGCTCCTGCGCTGCGTGCGCCAGATGCACACCAGCGCCGCCGCGCGCATCGCGCCACAGAAGCTCGCCGCCGGCGCCGTACGCGCGGGCAAGGCGCGCTTCCTCGCCGACGCCATCGACTCCGGCGCCGACAGCAGCGTCGGCACGGTGCGCGCCGCCGGCGGCCTGACGGGACAGCGCACGCCCGCAGGCATGGGACCCTTCCGCATGGGCCAGGTGCGTGCTTGCCGCTGCGTGCGCATGCGGACGTCACTGACCGCGGCGCGCACAGTACTACGCCCCGCCCACGCTCAACGCCGCCGCGTACGGCGAGGAGGCGCGGCCACGCCCCGCCTTGCCGCTGCTCGGGCCCGGCGCCCGCGAGGCGCGCGCCGCCGACCAGCTGCACCGCCTGCGCCTGCGTCCCGGGCATCCGTCGCTGCACGACGACAGCTACAAGAACCCGCCGCTGCTCAGTGCCTACGTCAGCGAGATGGGCAAGATCAAGCCGCGCAACGCCACGGGCCTCACTCGCCGCAGCCAGCGCGAGGTCGGCAAGGCCGTGCGCCGCGCCCGCGCCATGGGCCTCATGCCCGTCATGAGCAACCAAGCCTCGCGCCTCACATGGTGGTCGCCGCCGTCGAGGCGCGGCATGTGAGCGCCTGCAGGGGCGGGCAGGTGTGTGGTCAATGACGATGATGTGACGCAAGACAGGCGGGGTGACGCAGAGGAGACACAGCGGGCCACAGACGCGCAGCGGCGACGCCTGCACTAGACGGTGAGGTAGCGGCGGTAGAGGGCTCGGGCGAGGCGCGCATTGCCGGCGAGCACGTAGATGTTGGCGAGGTTGTACGCCGCCTCGCGGAAGGCGTCGAAGCCGCGCTCCAGCGGCGCAGCGCCCTCGTCGACGGGCGGAGGCGGCGGCGCCGTGCCGGCGACGGCCTCGTCGTGGAAGCGCAGTGCGCACTCGTAGTGCTGCACGGCCAGCGCGTTGAGGCCGAGCTGGTGCAGCAGGCGCCCGTAGTTGTACTCGACCTCCACCGAGTGCGGCGCACGCAGCTGGCGGTACAGCGCCAGCATCGCCATGGCCTGCAGATGGGCGCTTCGTTAGCGATCGGCCGCAGCAGCGGCGTGGTCGACACGCACCTGGATGACAAAGTGGTGGCGATTGTCGGCCTGGCGCTGCATGGCGCGCTGCACCGAGGCCGTGGCGGCGCCGAGATACACGAGCGGGTCCTTGCTCTGGTGCGCAGCGACACGGTACCAGTAGCCTGAAGGCGAGCGTCAGAGGCGGCGCACTGCGACGCGCGGCACGACTCACCCATGGCCGACTGAAAGCTGCCCGTGGCGAGCAGCATGGAGCCGTACTGCATCTCGTGCGCCGGATTGTACTCGGTCGGACGGCTGTAGCGTACGCGGTCCTGCTCGTCCATGGCCGCAAAGGCGCGCTCAGTCTCCGCCAGCGCAGCCGCGTTGCGGGCTGCCGTCTCCGCATCCGCAGCCTCCGCCTCGGCATCGAGCTGATCGGCGTCGCTCGCCTCCTCGTCGGACGCGTCGTCATCGTCGGCATCGTCGCCGCGTGCACCGGACATTTGCGCCAAGGGCGCCGCCTCGCTGAGCTTCTCGTTGGATGTCCAGCGCTTGTTGCTCGTGAAGCGGTGCGGCCGGCGCGCCACGACGACCTCAGTGAAGCGCAGGCGGTTCAGCGCGCGCTTCAGCAGGCTCGGCGCCGCAAAGGCCGTCAGCGAGTAGAAGCCGCCGGCGTTGGCGAGTGTGTTGGCGAGGCGCAGCGGCTCCGTGTAGAACTGGAACTTGACGATGAGCTTGTTCACGGCCTCGAACACGGGAGCAAAGTCGCGGGCGTACAGCGCACAGGCTGCGGGACAGGCACCGTCAGCCCGACACGCCGACATCCCTGCACAGGCCGCTTACACAGATGGCACAGGCTGAGGGCCACCTCGCGGTCGTCGTGCGACCACACGACGTTCGAGCCGCCGAGCCGCTTGCAGACTTCGTAGGCCGCTTTGTGATCGCCGAGCTTGGTCAGCACGATGCAGTACTAGGCGGCAGCGGTGAGCCTGTGCCGCACGGGTGGTCGCGTGCAACACACCTTCATCATCAGCTCCATCCAATCGTCGAACGAGATGCCGCGGAACTCCTCCAGCTCCACGTTCGAGCTGCCCTCGTCCACTGGACATGAATGCTGTCAGCGCGCGAGATGGCACGAAGCCCGCGGCATCAGCCACCCACCGATGGCATCGCGCATGCGGCTCAGCATCGCGTTGGCCTGCCGGTCAAGGTCCGACTTGGCGCTCTGCCGCACGCGCCGGATCAAGCCCTTGAACTTTGTTTGCTGCGGATGGAGAGCATCAGTGCCAGCCGGACGTCGGCATCGCAAGTCATGCACGCACGCGATCTTTCGGAAAGAGCTGCGTCGTGCGGAAGAAGCCCTGCTCGATGAGGCCGGTGGCCACCTCCACCCAGTCCTGCGTAGCCTTCCAGCGCTCCCGCTTCTGCGCCTCGTCAGCCTTGCTTCCCTGCACCGGCAGCTTGGCGTCCATCTCCTTGCTGAACGAGACGTCGTGGCGCCACCACTCGTGCGTGAACATCTTGGGCTCGAGCTGTGCGAGGCGATTGCGCACGACACGGTACTCGGCGGTACGCGCCTGCTCGAGCTGCATGCGCTCCTGCCGGCTCACGGCGGCGCCTCGGCGCGCCGAGGAGCCGCTCTGCGCCGCCGTGTCGCGCTGCAGGCCCCAGCGCTCGTCGAAGAAGGAGGATAGCTGCGTCTGCGACTGCTGCAGCTCTGCCTCGTGCTCGCCCAGCGGCGCGCGGTGTTGGCGCTCCTTCTCCATATGTAGCGCCTGGCGGGCACGCACGACTGGAAGACGGCTTTAGCGGTGCCTTCTTCTAGCTCGGCCTCCTCGCAGCCGACGCACCGCTGGTCACCAGCTCGATGGCAGTGTCGCTCTGTCCCATCTCCTCGCACACCTCGGCATACGCGAGCTTGAGCTCGAGATTGTCCGGCTCGTACTCGGTGACTACCGGCCGTCGTCAGCGTCACGCCACAGTGGGAAAGGCGGAACAACTCACGCTCGCTGTACAGGTCGAGCGCCTCCTTCTGGCGACCTTGGATGTGCTGGTAGCAGCGCGCCCTCAGCTTGGCGATCGGGACGAGTTGCAGCTGGCGATCCGTGCACGAGGTGTTAGTGCCTGTTGAGCTCGACCTGCGAATTTCACTCACGTCAGGCTCTTTCCATGCGCGATCGAGCAGCTCGGCCGCATCGGTCCAGTGGCCGTTCTGCATGTACGCTTCGGCCACGGCCGAGATGTGCCCTTCCAGGTTCGCATCGTCCCAGGACAGCTGCTGCAGCCAGATCGCAACATGGTGCTGCACGGATCGCTGTCTCAGTATGATGCGGAAGCGGCCACATGCGGCCAACACTCACCTTGCCCTCAAGCAGATCGTCCATCGTCAGCCGGGCAAGGCCGAGACGAAGACGCATCTCGGGATCCAGATAATGCACGCCAGCCAGCTGCACGCGGCGTCCGTACTCTCCCTCGCGCGGCTCGCCGTTGGGCCCGCCAGCCTCGCGGTCCAAGTCATACTCGCGGTCGTCTTCTTGCAGCTCGTCCCAGAAGTCCTCGTCCAGGCGCCCTTGCAGCCAGCGCGCGCCCTGGCGGATGACACGCAGCGCCAGTGCGGCGTCGCCCACTTGCAGATGCAGGTCAGCGAGTGTGACGATCTCGCTGCTGCCGTACGTGCTCGTGTGCACCTCGCCGGCGTTGAGCCCACTCTCGAGCGCAGGGTCGATGCGCGGATCGACAAAGGCCTGCATGTTGTACTCGCCCGACGCCTGCAGCAGCTCGATGGCGCGCTGGGGGCGCTGCAGGCCAATGAGCAGCGGAATGAGCGCCGCCATGACGTCCTGGTTGTGCGGGCGGAGCTCGAGGACCGACTCAAAGGCAGCGGCGGCTTTGCGCTTGAGGTCCACGCGTCCATCATCACCCTCGGCCAGGTCGCGCAGCAGCACGGCGCGGGACCACATCAGGTCCAGCACGTCGGAGCGGTCCTTCTCGCGCGACGACTTGATGCCCTGGGCCAAGCAGTACTCGGCCTGCAGATAGTGGCCCAGCTCGCGCGACTGGTCCGCCAGCTCGAGCCACAGACTCGTCGCGTGGCGCGACAGGCTGGCCTCGATGATGCGGCACTGGATGGCCTTCTCGTCGCGGCCCTTCTCCTGCAGACACATCGAGAGCGTCGACCACGCCGACTTGATCGCCGGCTCGATGCGGATGATCTTCTCGAGCAGCGCAATCGCCTCGTCCAGGTTTGAGTTGCTCTCGTCGGCGAGCATGTAGAGCATGTTGACATCGACGAGCATCTGGCGCACCTCCTCCGACATGTGCTGATCCTGGAGCGCGCGCCTCTTGCGGCCGCCATTGCGCACGCGCGCCTGGCGGAAGCCTCCTGCCGCACGCATATCCTGGTGGAAGGCAAAGTCGTCGAGCTCTTCGCCATCCACCACATCGATCGGGGCCATCGCTCCCTCGCCGTCCGCGTCGAAGTTGCCCAGCGTGTCCTGCCACGCAGCCGCCTGTCCCGGCGCATCACCATCCTCGGTGATGACGTTCACGAGGCGACTGAACACTGACGTCAGCTGAGCCCTATTCCACTGATCTGCTGCGCTGCTCACCCAAGCGCCTCTTCGTCCATCTCGCCCTCCTCGTAGTTGGCGCCGTAGCGCTGGCGGCGCGCGCCTGCGCTCGTCTTCCAGTCCTGTGGATGCTGCACGCCGTGCGGCAGACGGTAGCCCGCCTGTCTCTGCCGTCTGGGCCGGCGCTGGCTCTGGCTCTGCGACTGACTGCCGCTCGGACCGGCCATGTTGAGCCGCGCAAAGGCATCGGGCTGCAGCCCGGCGATATCGCCGTGCACGTTGAACGCGTCGCCGCCGAACGCCATCTCCTCGTCAATAGACGGGCCGCGCTGCTGGCGCGCTCCTGGCTCGGGCGACTCGCGGTAGTCGTCTGCAGAGTCGGACTCCTCGCTGCGGCCGTGCATGGACTGGCCGCTGCGGAGCATGTAAGCACGGCTCCTGTCGGCGCCGCAGCGCAGCACTCACTCGTCGCTGAGGAAGCCGGCCTCGTCCCCACTGACGCCGGCACTGAGCGGCGTCGGCGGGCGCATGGGCATCGCTGCATCTTCGCCCACGTCCATTGCCGCCGAGTCCGACGCATGCGCCGCGGCGCTGCCCGACGCGGCATCGCTGCCATCGTCGCCCGGCGCCGACTGCGAGGCGCGGCCACGCACATGCGCCGCCGCCTCGTTCCAGTCGAGCGCGCCCTCGGGGCGCGGCGGCGGGCGGCGCGCGCGCGCTGGGCGCGAGGACATGCTGTGTGGCCACCGGGAGCGGTGGATGGAGATTGAGGTGGTGGAGCAGAGCGAAGCTGCGTGCGGCAGAGCAGAGCCTCATCATGTCGAGGTCAGGGTGCACGGGCGCGCGCACTCCCGAGTCCCGCGACGCGGGGCAAGCCCGCCCAGCCAGCCCCGCTCCATCCGCCTCGCTGTCAGCCAGCGCGCTATCGCGGGCCCTGGCGCCTCCACGCAGCGCTGCGCAGCACGACCACCCGCATCCGCCTCGCATCTCCACCCGCTCGCCGGCGCAGCATGTCCGCCGTGCTCGAGCCGCCGCCGCCGCGCCCGCCGGGCCGCTGCAGCATGCGTGGCGCGTGCGGCAAGCTGTCCTTCTTCGGCGCCGAGCTGCCGTGTCCCGTCGACGTGCCGGCCGAGCAGGTGCGTTGCGGGCGAGGCGGCCGAGAGCGGCTATAGCTATGCGCTGTGTGGCCTGCTCGCCGGCCTGAAGTCAGGCTGGTATCACCGCTGACATCCCATGCCTGCGCAGCCTGACGCCAAGACGCGCGACCTGCTCGTCTCCGTCTGCGGCGCCGACTTTGCCGAGGGTCCCGTGTGCTGCACGGGCGCCCAGGTCGAGAGTCTCAAGGCCAATCTGGACCAGGCAGAGGCGCTGATCTCGTCGTGCCCGGCGTGCCGCAACAACTTCCGTGCGCTCTTCTGCTCTTTCACCTGCTCGGGCGACCAGGCGCAGTTTCTCGACGTCTCGGCCACGCAGAAGACGCTCGGCGGCGAGGACGGCAAAGTCGCCGTCAAGAGCGTCGAGTACTACGTCGCCGACGACTTCCGCACCGCCTTCTACGACAGCTGCAAGGATGTCAAGTTCGGCGCCAGCAACGGCTTTGCCATGGACCTCATCGGCGGCGGCGCCAAGGAGCCGGATGCCTTTCTCAAGTTCCTCGGCGACGAGAAGCCGCTCGTGGGCAGCCCGTTCCAGATCAACTTCCCGCACGCACCTGCGGCGCCGAGCAGCAGCAGTGCAGGTGACGGCGGCGCAGCGCGGCAGATGATGTGGCAGTCTGCGGATGCGCTGCTGAAGGGCAACACCACCAAAGGGCCGCCGCTGCCGCCGGTCACGCCCCCTCGCGCGTGCTACGACGACTCGCTGTTGTCGCGCTGCGCCTGCACCGACTGTCCGCAGGTATGTGCCGTGCTGCCGCCGCTTGCAGCGCCCGTTCACGGCGACACGTGTCGCATCGGGCGTCTGTCGTGCTTCAGCTTCGTGGCCATGCTGCTCTACATGCTTGCCGTGCTCGGCCTGCTGGTCGGCTACAGCGCGACGCGTGGCGTGCGTGCACGGCGGCAGAAGCGCCTCGGTATTCGGCATCGGCACAGCGGCATCAGCGTGGCGAGCGAGAGCAGCGGCTTCGAGCGCGTGCGTCTCGACTCCGACGAGATTGACAGCGCGCCTGGCCGCCGCACGACCAGCGACTCCAGCGCGCCGTCTAGCCTGAGTGCGGGCAGCGGGCATCGCGGGCTCGTCGGTGCTACTGGGCTGGGCCACGGCGACGCGGAGGATGAGAGCAGCTCCTCCTTGGGCGCACGGGCGCCGCGCTCTGCCGGTCTTGGTCTCGGCGGGCTCGGCGCTTTCGATGCGCTCGGCACGACGCAGCCGCGGTCGTACGCGCTCAACGTCGCCCTCACGCGCGCGTTCTACAAGATCGGTCTCGTGTGCGCGCGCTCTCCGTTCCTGACCTTCGCCGCCGCTGCCGTCTTCGTGGGCCTGTCAAACATCGGCTGGCGGCACTTCGAGGTCGAGACGGACCCTGTGCGCCTGTGGGTGGCGCCTGCGTCTGCCAGCCGCGCGCGCAAGGAGTACTTCGACGAGCACTTCGGGCCCTTCTACCGCACGCAGCAGATCTTCATGATGGATGCTAGCGGCGCCGAACGAGCGAACCTGCACCACCACGACGAGAAGTCGCTCGAGGCCGCCAACGCCGCGCTCAACTGGGACCGCCTGCAGTGGTGGGCTGATGTGGAGGCGGCCGTGCGCGAAGTCCGCAGCGAGTCGGGCCTCTCTCTGCAGGACGTGTGTTTCTCGCCGAGCGGGCCGGGCGGGCCCTGCGTCACGCAGAGCATCCTCGGCTACTTCCAGGATGATCTCGAGGGCTCCGGGGTGACCGCCGACAACTGGCGGAAGCGCCTCGACGGCTGCGCGTCCTCGCCTGCGGAGTGCCTGCCGACGTTCCAGCAGCCGTTGAAGTCCAACATCATCCTCGGCGGCATTCCAAACGTCGTGCGTGAGCCGGTGCCCGGCGGAGACCGCATTCGCGAGCGCAAGGGACGCGCGAGCGATGCGCGTGCAGTCGTGACGACGTTCGTCGTGAACAACTCGCTGGACGCCGCAGAGCGCGAGCGCGCAATGGAGTGGGAGCGCGCGCTCGAAGAGTTGCTCTTCTCCGTCGCAGGCGTCAACGACGCCCCGGCGCACCCGCTCGGCGAGCGTCGCAAGGAGCTCGGCATCGAGCTGGCACTGAGCACCGAGAGCAGCCTGCAGCAGGAGCTCGGCAGCTCGAGCAACACCGACATCGGCGTCGTCATTGCCTCGTACCTGCTCATGTTCCTCTACGCCGCGCTGACCCTGGGCGGCAGCCCCTCGGGTGGTGTCGCGCGCGGCATCGGCCGGGACGCACGGGCGGCACGCGCACGCTCGGCAGCAGCAGCGCCTGATGGCGCCTCGCACCGCACGGGCCTGGCTGGCCGCGTGCTGTCGTTCCTGCCCTCTCGAAGCGGAGCCGCGAGCGGGCTGCGCGGTCTCAATCTCGGCGGCCGCGTGGCGCGTCGCGTTTTCGTCGAGAGCAAGTTCACGCTGGGCCTCTTTGGCATCCTCGTCGTGCTGGCCTCGGTCTCGTCGGCTGTCGGACTGTTCAGCGCCGCCGGCGTCAAGGTCACGCTGATCATCGGCGAGGTGCTGCCGTTCCTGCTGCTGGCCGTCGGCGTCGACAACATCTTCATCCTCTCCAACGAGATGGACCGGCAGAACGCTCTGGCCAGCACGCTCAACCCGTACGCGAATGCAAGCATCGGCCGCGGCAGTGCCGACGCGGTTGCAGCAGCTGCTCGCGGGCCGGGTATTGCCTGGGACGATGCAGCGTCTGACGACAGCGACGCCGACATCTACGGCGGGCATGCGGGCCCGATGAACGGCGGCACGCCGCCTGCCGCGTACCACACCTCATCGGCAGAGCGAGCTGCTCGCGCCCTGTCGCGCATGGGTCCGTCGATCCTGCTCAGCGCCACGACGCAGGTGACGGCCTTCCTGCTCGGCGCCGTGGTGCCCATGCCGGCTGTGCGCAACTTCGCCCTGTACGCCGCAGGCAGTATGGCCATCGCGGCCGTGCTGCAGTGCACCGTCTTTGTCGCCGCCATGGCTCTTGATGCCGACCGCACCGAGGCAGGACGTGTGGACTGCGCGCCGTGCCTGCGTCTGCCGGGTTCTCGCAACAGCGCAGCGGACTATGCCTCTCTCGGCGGCGCTGCAGTCGGCGCATTCTCGAGCGAGGGCAGCATTGGCCGCTTCATCCGTCGCCACTACGCGCCCGCGCTCATCAAGCCGGCGGCCAAGCGCGGCGTGCTGATCGCCTTCGCCGGCCTGGCCGTGCTGGGCGTGATTGGCTCGCGGCACCTCGAGATGGGTCTGGACCAGCGGCTGGCCCTGCCGCCCTCCTCGTACCTGCGCACCTACTTTAACGCCCTCGACACCTACCTCGACGTCGGACCGCCCGTGTACTTCGTGGCGCGGCACGTTGATGCTGCGCAACGCGTTGGCCAGCAGGCGCTATGCGGTCGCTTCACGACGTGCAAGCCGCTGTCGCTCGCCAACACCCTCGAGGGCGAGCGCGGCCGGCCGGAGGTCAGCTTCCTCGCCGAGCCGGCCAGCAGCTGGCTCGACGACTTCTTCGGCTGGACAAACCCGGTGCTCGAGAGCTGCTGCCGCGTGCGTCGTCGTGACCCGACGCAGTTCTGCACGCCGCGCGAGAGTGACATGGCGTGCAAGCCGTGCTTCGAGGATCGCGAGCCGCCGTGGAACATCACGCTCTCCGGCATGCCCGAGGGCGCCGAGTTCGAGCGCTACCTGCGGCAGTGGCTCAAGAGCCCTACGGACGCGGACTGCCCGCTCGGTGGCCAGGCGGCGTACTCGTCAGCCCTCAGCCTTGCGCCCGAGTCGCCGGAGACGGCGCTGCAGGCGCTGCTGGCCGGTGAGGAGGAGCCGCACGGCATGGTGATCGCCTCGCACTTCCGCACGTACCACACGCCGCTGCGCTCGCAGGCCGACTTCATCGATGCCCTACGCGCTGCCGAGCGTATCACTGCCGACATCAACACGCGCAACGCCGACAGCGGCGTGGAAGTGTTCGCGTACAGGTGAGGCCAGCTTGCCGCGTCTCCTTGCCCAGTCAGCTGATGCCTTGCCCGTAGCGTCTTCTACGTCTTCTTCGACCAGTACCTGTACCTGCCGCTGCTTGCGCTGCAGGTGCTGGGCGGCGCCGCGCTCGCCATCTTTGGCATCACGACGCTGATGCTCGGCAGCTGGCGCACGGGCGCCGTCGTCACGGGCTGCGTCGCGTCGGCGCTGCTGGGCGTAGCGGGCGCGATGGGCGCCTGGGGCATCGGCCTCAATGCGCTGACGCTCGTCAACCTCTCCGTCTGTGCGGCCATCTGCGTCGAGTTCTGCAGCCACTGCGCTCGCGCGTTCTCGAGGGCGCCCGGCGCACTGCCGCGCTCGCACCCCATGGCGCAGCGCGAGCGCGACGAGCGGGCCTGGGCGGCGCTGGTGGATGTCGGCAGCTCGGTGAGTGCAGCGGGTCTGCATCAGCCCGCAGATGCTCACCTGCCCTTCCTCAGGTCCTGCGCGGCATCACCGGCACAAAGCTTGTCGGCATCAGCGTGCTGGCGTTCACCAAGTCGGAGCTGCTGCGGCTGTACTACGCCAAGATGTGGGCGGCGCTCATCGTGCTCGGCGCCGCACACGGCCTCATTCTGCTGCCTGTGGCGCTCTCTCTCTGGGGCGGTTCTGGCTAGTGAGTCTCAAGCAATGTCGCGCATGGGGCCGCACAGCTGACCTTCTCGCGTCTCGCAGCGCGGACGGCGAGTCCGAAGCGGAGATTGCCCGCCGCCTGGCACGCGCACGCGAGAACGAGTACCTGCCCTTCGCGGCAGCCGGCGAGGACGACGACGACGAGGGCAGCCTAGACGCCGGGTCGGATGTACGCAGCGACGAGGGCCGCCTTGCATAGCGACGGGCCCGCTCCAATGACACGCGTGGACTCGGAGAGTGCGCGCGCTGAGACACGCAGAGCCGGACGGCGCAGCATGACAGCGATGGCATTGCCCTCGCTCCTTCCCCTCATAAGACGTAGCCTCATGCCCGCCCTTCTGCGGCCGCGCGAGCCTTCATCTTGAGCAGCTCGCCGTCCAGCTGGGTGACAGAGTCAGCGTGTGCTGCATGAGCGCGGCCTGGCAGCCAAACTCACCACCTTGCACACGCGCTGCCAGCTCCGCGCCTTGCCCACGGCTCCCTGCGGCAGCGGCTTGCCGCCCATCGCCTTGGCGTCGGGCGTCTCGCCGTCGGCCAGCGCCGAGAGCACGCTCCGCGGGATGTCGGGCACGTTGGTGGACGCTGATGTGTATGGCGGGGACTAGAAGCAGAGCATCAGCGATGGTGCGGCTGCTGCCTTGGGCGACGGCGATGCGCACCACAGCGACCTCGTCGAAGACGATGATGTGAGCGTCGTGCCAGCGACACGGCAGCCTAGACGGAGTAGAGAGAAGGTGCGGTCAGCCATACATTCGGCGGCAGCGCTGCACTTCACGCCAAGAGTAGCGCAGCCATGACGGGCACGGAGCAGACCAGATCGCACGCAATAGGTGCTGAGGACCCTTGACGCAGCGATCAACGTACATCAGACTGCCTGTAGGTCGCACGTCTGTCCACCTCGCAGCATCATGAGAGCTCTGTCGCCCGCCTGGAGAGCGCGGCCGTCGCAGCGGCCCTGTGCTCGGAGCCCTCGCCCTGCCAACTCCGGCTGGCGGCCGTGTGGAGGACGCCGAGTGCTGGCCCAGCCCGGGCTGATGACCTCGCTTCACAGCTATCTCCCACCACATGCTCGCCGCGGACGTCTCTGCTCCATCGCCACTGCTGCTCTGCGACTCACGTCTTGTCGAGCGCCTCGAACACGGCCTGCGCATGCTCGCTCACGTCCTTGCCGATCTTGCGCGCGCGCTTCTCGGCCTCGACGACGGCGGCGCGCTCGCGCCCCTCGACGGCGGCGACGCTGAGCGGCGCCAGCGGGCTGAGCGGCATGGGTGCGCCCGGCGGTGCTGCGGCCAGTGCGATGTGGCGGATGGCGCGCGTCTTGAGCAGGCGGAAGCCCGTGGCGCCGGCAGCGGGAGCGCCCCGCCGCACGGGCAGACAAGCGGCGCCGGCGGGCGCTGCGAGCGTGTTCGACGGCGCCTCGAGCACGAGGAGCTGCAGCGGCGCATCGTAGGCCCACAGCTGCCCGGCCGCGCTGCTGCCGTCGTGCAGCGTCAGCTGCAGCGAGAGGCCGAGCAGCGGCGTCAGGTCCGCCGACGGGCCCGCAGCAGCAGCAGCAGCTGCGGCGGCCGCCGGCGAGGGCGCGGCGCCTCCAGCAGCGGTGCCTGCCGCAGCGGCGGCGGCGGCAGAGGCCGAGGGCTTCTTCGGCGGCATGGCTGCGGGGTGCGCAGCGGCAGGGTGGAGAAGGAGAGAAGGAGCGAGAGGAGCCAGAGTGCCCGCCAGGCCAGGCCAGGCCAGGCGGCAGGGCGGCGAGGCGCGCCGGCGCGCGGCGCTCTGGCTGCGCTGCCCGAGTGCCGCGTGCGCACGGCTCCGCCTGCCGGCGTCGGCGCGCCTCTACTCTTACTCTTACTGCTTGCTGCCTGCTGCCGCCTGGCCTCGACTGAACCCGCTGCTGCTTCTCTTCGCTCCTCTTCACCTTCAAGCGCAAGATGCATCAGCACCAGGCACAAGCTCTGCCTCCTGTGCAGCAGCCAGATTGCCCATAGCGCGGCGCGGCGTGCGTGCCTCGGTCTTCATAAGCACACAAGCCACCTCCTCGCCGCCCCCTCCAGCAGCAGCCCCTGCGACACGCCAGAGAGAAGGGGCCCGCGCGCGCCGCCGGCCGTGCGGTGCACGCCGTGATGAGATGATGGAGTCAGCGTGCATGCACCCCACACCCGCTCTCCGGACCTGACCGAAGCCAGATGCAACCGTGTCATGCTCTTCTGACGCTTGCGCAGCTGGTGTATGCGCGCGCAGCCGGCCGTTGTCCGCGCCGGCGAACGAGACACGTGCGCCGCGGCCATGCCCCTTTCCTCAGCACCACCACGCCGCCGCGAGCAGCACCGCTGCCCCTCAGGTCCGCACCAGCGGCATGACGACGTTCCACCAGGAGACGCCGGCACACGGTGTCATCGCAGCCCGAGCCGAAGCGCCACCAGAGAAGCCCAGCGAGCGACTGCGAAGCACCTCGAGTGCGCCGTCAGGAGGCTCGCCGCTGACAGGAGACGTGCTTCTCGGCGCTTCGGCGAAGTGAAACTGCCTTCGCCGGATGCTTTCGAGGCGTAGGCAGCCCAGCACTAGCAGGAGCAGCAGGACCCTCGCCGAGGAGAGAGCACTGCGGCTGCGAGGAGGCACTTCTCGGCCGAGATCTCCTCCGCCTCTACACCCTGCCGAGGCACAGAAGCCCTCTACGCGCAGAAGCATCCATAGCAAGCCTCCGAAGCTCCGCACAGGAGACGCTTTCGATCTCGATCTCGATGGGTCTCCTCGATTGAGGGCCAGAAGCGAGCGATGCCGCATCGGTGTACCAGCAAGCGCGCAGTCTCTTTGCAGACCAGGAGCTGGGCTCTGAATGCGCCGTCGGGGGCCGCTCCATGGAATGAAAGCGAGTGTGCAAATTGGCGCCATCTCGGTGACGGACCGGCGGCGACGAGTGTACCTTGCGTGCCTCGCCACCGCCGACGCAGCAGCCACACCGCCGCCGCGGCCAAGTCGAATCTCGCTGCGAGCTAAGGAGGACCGTCATCAAGCTCGATAGGGATGCAGCAGCAAGCAAGATCCCAGGCTCCTCTGGCTCCGGTATCACATGCGCGGCGGTGCCGGACGCTCCTGAACCCTCTTCACCGAAGGCAGAAGAGCACAGCATCGCCGTCGCGATGACCAACGGAAGCTCCTCGAAGCTGGTACGGAGCCCCTCGCGCTGCTCTATCGCCTGCCTGCCTCGCTCCTCTGACCTTATCTGGCCTTGTGAGGCCCTTTGCCAGTGCTCCTTGGGATCGGAGAGCACCGGTCCGAGCCCGAACAAGGTTGCCGTCGGCGCTGCTGCCGCACAGCCCCTGCACGGCGCCTCGAGTCTCCGGTGCGATCGAGCATCGGCCGACCCGCCCTACCACCGCCTCATCGCGGCGACCGGTCCGAAGGGCCGCCTCGAGCCGTGCCGCGCCACTCGATTGAAGCAGCATCGAAGCTGCAGAGAGACTGCATCCGCTCTCGAGCGGCACCGACGCTGCAGCGCTCGCCGTCGCCTCGAAAGGCATAAGAAGGGGCCAGGTCGCCTCACTTCTTCCGCTCTCCTCATCCAGCTCAACTGCTCTTCGTCCTACACACCCAACGCACAACTCACCCGCCCAACGCTCTCTTCTCAACTCTTCAACATGCGCTTCTCCATTCTCCTCTCCGCTGTTCTCGCCGCCCTCGCCGTCTCCGCACTGCCCATCGGCAACCAGGCCGACGCGCTCATCGTGCGCGACATCGCCGCTCGCGCCTTCGAGACCAACGGCCGCCGCGACTCCGCGGTCATCGCCACCAACAACCGCCGCGACTCCGCGGTCATCGCCACTCACAACCGCCGCGCTCCTGCGCCGCAGATCACCAAGGGCCGTCGCGACGACGATGTCGAGGTGCTGCCGCGCAGTAACGGCGTAGCCAACTCTCGCCGCGCCGTCGAGACCAACCACCGCCGCGAGCCGCAGGTCTCGCTCCGCGCCATCGCAACCAACGCACGCCGCGACGGCGAGGGCAACGCTCCTCGGGCAGTTGAGACCAACCACCGCCGGGCACCCGAGCCCAGCAACGGCGTGGCCAACTCCCGCCGGGCACCCGAGCCCAGCAACGGCGTGGCCAACTCCCGCCGGGCACCTGAGCCCAGCAACGGCGTGGCCAACTCTCGTCGGGCACCTGAGCCCAGCAACGGCGTGGCCAACTCTCGTCGGGCACCCGAGCCCAGCAACGGCGTGGCCAACTCTCGCCGAGCACCCGAGCCCAGCAACGGCGTGGCCAACTCTCGCCGCGCCGTCGAGACGAACCACCGCCGTGCGCCCGAGCCGCAGGTCACGCACCGCGCCGTCGACGCCGACGTCTTGCCTCGCAGCAACGGGGTGGCTAACTCTCGCCGCGCCGTCGAGACGAACGAGCGTCGTGCACCGGCTCCGCAGGCCACGCACCGTCGCTGAATCAGGACATGTGAGGTTTGACGACTCACTCGTCTCCTCGTCGCTCGTACGACCTTGTCTCTTCGACACTCTTGCGCCTTCCTCTCTTCGCCGCTCGCACGACTTCATTCCTCTGTCACTCGACCTCACACTCTTCCTCTGACTCCGCCCGGTCGCCGGCAGCATAGGAAGCCTCGCTGCCGCCTCCTTCTCACAGACGACCGCACTTATCTTATCGCTTCCGTCTCGTGATCCTTCTCGAGCCCTTCTCCGTCCTCTCCCCACACTAGCGACCAGAAATCCACCCTCTTTCCCTGCACACGCATTCTTGCGCAGTAGACGGTGCACATAGCCCACCTCTTCCAGCAGCAGCAGCGTCGGCCTGGCTATCGGGCGTCGGCGTCGAGATAGCGCCCTTGCTTTCGCTCGCAGCGCACTTACCCCACGGCGCTGCAATGAGAGACGCCTCCTCGCGAGTGTCTCCAGTCCCGCAGTGGAGGGTGCTGCGGCATACTCAGCCACGGACCATGCTGGCTGCTATCTGCCTCGTGCGCGCTGGTGCGCTCACACGGTGCGAGAGCTCGGCACACCAGCAAGGGCTCTTCAGCGAGGGAAGCTGCTGGCGGCGCAGCTTGGCGCATCTCTGCTGTGGTGCAATGCTTGCGCCGGCGCACCTTTGTGCGCCGATCTCTCATATACGCCTCACTCTTGGGCATCAAGGGGCGTCGAGCCGGATCAGCGATCCGGGTCATAGGAGTCCAGGTAAGGAAGAGAGGAGGTCTGCGCTCCCTCTTGTAGAAGGGTAGGGAAGACGCGCGCGGCGCACTCTTTAGCTGCAGGTGCAGGGCCCATTCTGCGGGGCCCCGGGCTCGACGAAAGGGTCATGGGCGTCAGGAGTCATCAGCATGCATCCTGCATGTGCAGGAGAGTGAAGCCATGCGTGGCGAGCTGGCGTCGTGAGAAGGGTGTGCTCACATCAGGTGACTCGCGGTCGCGACGAGGCCCCTGGTCATGCTACCGCATCTACGAGGCGCGCAGGCAGAGGCGGCGGCCAGATGCTCTCGGCGCCGAATTGAGGCGTTTCATTTGCGCCTCTTCGGGCTGAGTTGAGCGATGCGCAGGCGCAGCCTAATGGCCGGCGCCGCCAGCATCCGCCGGCGGCCGCGCGGGCTGCGGCGGTGAAGGAGGGCGCTACGCATCTGTCTCGGTGATGGGCGTCTCTCTTGCTCCCCTTTCTGCATGCTCCGAACGTTGCTTCTCCTTTCAGCGGCAGGCCGGGAGCGACGAGCGGACGCCGGAATCCCGCGGCGCGAAGGGGCGCGTATATAGCGGCGCGACAGGAGTCGTCCGGGCGCCAAAAGAGGCGCACTCAGCTGCGCCGGCGCCGTCCAGGGGTCAGCCGCGCCCCCTGAGCTGCGCCAGTGCCCCGCTATGGCACTTCGCTCGCCGCCGATGCGCTGCAAGCTGCTCCTGGATGCGATACGTTGCGCGCCGGCACTCCGCGGCCTCTATATCCCAACATCTCCGTCACGCACTCGGCTCTGCTGTCCTGCGCGCACCACGGCGGCGGCCCTGCAGCACGTATGGGTCACCGCTGAGGTCGGCGCAAAGGCATCAGAAGCGGCCCTGCTCGCCCTCCATCCCCACTTCTCCACCAAGCTCACCTCTCAGCACCTCGCACAAGCACCCGCTCAAGCACATCTCTCCTCGCCTCTCTCGACGCACCAACAGGCCTCACCCACCTCTTCTCAACACCAACCTCAACATGCGCTGCTCCTCCATCATCGCCGCCACGGTCCTGCTCGCCGGTGCCGCCGTCTCGGCGCAGTACGCGGATGCCGACCACCACGACCTCGCTGCGCGCGAGGCTGCCGCTGCCGAGTGGTACGCTCGCGCCGCCGAGGAGGAGCTGGCCGCGCGCCACGAGGCCGCGTGGGCCGCTCGCGACTACGACGACGAGCTGCTGGCGCGCGCCTACATGGCCGCGCACGACGAGGAGCTGGCCGCGCGTGCGGCGCCCAAGAAGGCTGCCGCCAAGTCCAAGTCCAAGGCCAGCCAGCACACGTTCGGCTGGTCCGGCAAGGGCTACAAGGGCGGCGAGCAGGCCCACCGCGAGTTCGCCACGGCCTGCAACGCCGCCGCCAAGCGTCACGACTCGAACATCTACAGCCTGGTGGTGCGCGACGCGGGCCGCGAGAAGAGCCGCGCCTACTGCTACACGTTCAAGGGCCCCCAGGGCCAGCTGCACGACCACAGCGCCGAGGTGAGTGCTGATCCAGAGCAGCCGGCGCGCGATATGGAGGCATGGGCGAGCGAGCAAGGAGGCGCGCAAGTCGTCTCCGATGTGCCCTGCTCGTCATCGACTGCCTTGCTGACCCTCGCTGCCTCGCCAGATCGCCGGCCAGCTCACGTGGAAGAAGCTCTAAGCGGGCACACAAGAGCGGCACGACGCTGCTCGCGGTTGAGCGCTGCAGCAGCTCCCGTTGTCCATCGTATCCGATCTCGCTTCTTCCCGCTTACCGACACCCGTGCCAACGCGCCGCCTGGAGCTGTGGCCGCTGCGCCGCCTAATATCATGTATAACCCACCGCGCTCGCCTGTGCTTGTGCATGTGTGACCCCTCTAGTGTGCGCCTCTTGCTCTGAGGCCGGACTTGACGGAGGTGTTGTCACGCCCTCGATGTGAGGTGGCCGAGCTGCACAGACGTGTACGGGTTCGCCCCCTGACGGCGGCCAGCGTGCCGCGCGGCGCTGCGCATCGGCGGCTATTCTCGATGCGTCGTAGGAGTCTGCCCCATGGCTCGCCGCAGTAGACCAGGCACAAGGAGCAGACACAAAGCGTGTACTCTTCGGGTGACGCTCGCTGCAGCCTCTCCGTCCGCTCCACCGGGCTACGTGATGAAGCGTGGCAGCTCTCGGCGGGACGTGCTTGCGTGACGACGCACACGCAAAGCCGCGACATGGCAGCGGCACGTCAGACGGTGAGCCGAGCCGTTCTCCGGACGGTGCGACCTCGGAGCAAGCGTGCCAGCATCAATGAGCCTCGCCGCGGATTTTGCGCCCAATCTGTGCCGGTACAGCGGCGCGAGGAGACGGCACGATGCTCCGGCGTCAGCGAGGAGGTCGTCATGCCCACGGCGGGCGGCACCGCGCCCTACGCGTGGGAACGGAAATCTCGCACGGCTGGCGTGCCGCACGCACACGGCGACAGAGCGCAGCAAGACGCGGCACCGCCTGCAGCAAGCGCGGCCGCGACTTCCGGCGCGGCGCCCCACCGGCAGCTGGGCGGTGCGGCGTCTGCGCGCCTCTCACGCTGCCGCTGCCTGCGTGCCTGCCGCGGCGCTGCTGCCTGCTGACGTTGGCAGGGCCACGCTCCGTCGTGCCGGCGCCGCTTCTTCCACCTCGCGCCCCTCGCCGTCGCATCCGAAGCGCGAGGCCCCTGCGCATGGCCCGCACCGCCTACATATAGCCACACCTCGCCGCACTCCTGCACCTCACTCCACCAACATCGAGCGCTCACAACCTCTACACCCGAGCACCGCCAGCTGCTGCACCACTGCCTGCTGCCGCCCAGTCTCACACCTCCACCTCTACGCGCCTCACACTCCGCACGCACCCGCTGCCCCCCGCTGCCGCCATGTCTGCCGCCGCCTCGTCGAGCAGCAGCAGCGGCGAGCCGCCCGTCGTCGAGGAGAGCAAGTCGGGCGGCAAGCGCGCCCACGGCACGCACGACTACCCCGACCACCTCACGCACATCGACCGCCTCACCTGGGACGTCATCGTCGTCGGCGCCGGCCCGGCAGGCCTCATGACGGCGGTGAGTGAGCGTGAGGGCCTATGCGACGCAGTGGGGCGCGGCTGCTGCAGCGCAGAATGTGCAGCGCTGGAGTGGGAGCGCTGCAGTGCAGGCGCTGAAGTGGAGTGCTTGCTGTGCTGCAGCAGGCGCCAGCTGAGCGCCGAGACTGCATCAATGCAGCACTGACACGCAGAACTACAGAGCTCGCTCGCACGCTTCGGCGGCCACAACGTGCTCGTCATCGACGAGCGCTCTGAGCCCACCACGGCCGGCCGCGCAGACGGCATCCAGCCGCGGGTGAGTGGCTCGCCGCATTGCCCTCCTGCCTTCGCTCACATGTCCGCAGACAATCGAGGTGCTCAAGAACATGGAGCCCATCGGCAGTGACTTCTTCGCGCGCTCGGCGCCGTCGTACGAGCGCTCCTTCTGGGGCCCGAAGCCGGGCAACAGCCGCGGCATTGTGCGCCAGCGCCGCGTGCAGTCCTTCCCGACATCGATGGAGATCGAGGACCCGTGCACGCTCGGCCTGCAGCAGGGCCTCATCGAGGGCGGCTTCCTGCGCGACATGGAGAAGCACGGCCAGCGCGTCACGCGGCCCTGGCGCTTCGTCAAGTTCGAGCAGACCGACGACGCCACGTACCCCGTCACCGTCACGCTTGAGAAGATGGGCGGCGTCATCGAGACGAAGAACGCCGCGGGCGCGCCCGAGTACCGCATCGAGCCGACGGGCGAGCTCAAGGTGGTGCGCACCAAGTACCTCGTCGGCTGCGACGGCGGGCGCTCGCCCGTGCGCAAGCACATGGAGGAGCACCACGGCGTTGTGTTCGAGAGCATGGGCCTCGTCGACACGCTCTGGGCCGCGCTCGACTGCATCGTCGAGACGGACTTCCCCGACGTGCGCAAGATTGCTGCCATCCACTCGGCCTCGCACGGCGCCCTCTACATCTTCCCGCGCGAGAACAACGAGAAGGGCGAGCCGATCATCCGCTGCTACACGCAGGTCAACTACCTCGGCGGCTCGAAGAGCAAGGAGTCGGCCTTCACCGCGCGCGACACGATCACGTCGGACATGGTCATGCAGGCGATCAAGGAGATTGCACACCCGTACAACTTCGAGTTCAAGGGCGTCGAGTGGTTTACGTGCTACCCGATCGGGCAGCGCCTCGTCACGCGCTACTCACTGCCGCCGGCAGTCGCCGAGAATGGCCGGCCACGCCAGGGCCACCGCGTGTTCCTCGCCGGCGACGCGTGCCACACTCACTCGCCCAAGGCCGGCCAGGGCATGAACACGGCGATCATCGATGCGCAGGCGCTCTCGTGGCGCATCAACCTCGTCGAGAAGGGCCTGGCGGACCACGACACGCTGCTGTCGACGTACCACGAGGAGCGCTGGGCCACGGGCAAGCAGCTCATCGACTTCGACGAAGAGTACTCGGCGCTCTTCAGCGGCGAGATCCCCAAATCGCAGCCGCAGCTGGCCAAGCTGAGCAAGGAGCAGCTCGAGGAGCACTTCGTCGAGGTGCAGCGCCGCAACGCTGGCTTCACCACGGGCGCCGGCGTCAAGTACAAGGACAACGTGCTCAACTTCCGCGACCCGGCGCCGCTCGGCCTCTCGCAGCCCGTGACGCAGCGCCTGGAGCCGGGCGCTCGCTTGCTGCCAGCGTGGGCTACGCGCTTCAACAGCACCCGCCCTGTGCGCATGATTCACGAGATCCAGTTCACGGCGCCCGGCGGCTTCCGCCTCTACGTGCTCGCGGGCGACCTCGCTGCCAACAAGACGAAGCTCGACGGCCTCGTGGCGCACCTGCAGTCGCCGCGCTCCTTCCTGCAGCGCTTCCGGCCCAACAGCAAGGCGCACCACCTCGCCCACGGCCCATACCACGTGCGGCCTGAGCCGCTGAACTCGGGCCTGGCCAACGGCTTCAGCACCGAGGTGAATCCGTTCTTCCACATGCTGCTCATCGTGCGTCAGTCGCGCTACCGCTTCGAGCTGGAGGATGTGGCGCACCTCGGCCCGCTGCGTGCGCTCGTGTACGCCGACGACGTCGAGGCCGGCGGAGACCGCATCGGCGACGAGGACGGCGACGAGAGCGTCGGCGGCATGCACCGCAAGTACGGCCTTGAGCAGGGCGGCGTCGTCGTCGTGCGGCCTGACGGCTACGTAGGCGCCGTCGTCGGCCTCGAGGACCACGCGGCCATCGAGCGCTACTTCGACGGCTTCCTCCGAGGCGCGCCGGGGCAGGCGGCCCGCATGTAGGTGGAGGGGTGATGTCCTGGTTTCTTAATGTCACGTGTGCTCAGTCCAGTGCGAGCGACCAGTTGCGACGTGCAGGTGATGTCGCCTGCCATCGATCTCGTTGCCATCTCGCTATCCGCTTAATCTGCACGCCCTGAACTTCGCGAGGCCCGCTCCGCCGGACGCGCGGAGCCGTCGCGGCGCATGCCGTTTGACGTGCGCTGCGTGTCTCAGGTGTGCTTTGAGTGCGGCGCAAGGTGCAGCGGGCCATTGCCGCAGCCGTAAGCTTCTCATTTGCGCCGAGTCCGGCTCACGGCTTGGCAACACGCCGAGAGCCGTACAGGCCCACACACAGCCGCCCTAATGCAATAGCGAGTCGGCCGCCACAGTAAGGCGTCATCTTTGGCAGAGGAAGCCAGCTGTATCGCAGACCATGGCGCTGAACGCCTGTGCGCAAAGCCGGCTCGCCCTCCCGCTGCTACTTCAGGGTCCCGATGAGTTGGCTCGTAGGAGCGGTTGCAGGACAGCATCGCGGAGGCGCTTGCCGGTGCGCTTTGCGTCTGTGGAAGGCTCGTCGCATCTGTGCGGGCTCTGTCGCCGCACATGGTTGACTGCTGATCGGCTCACGCCCGTGCTCGACGCACGCCGATCCTTGCATGGTGCAGGTGCCTCCAGCAAAAGCAATTTGGGGCTGTGTGCAGCGGCATGACGGCGCACAGACGGGAGCAGCTGCAGAGGGTCTGTCGTTCTGTTCTGCGGGAAGGACGTGCATAGGGTCATCGTTCGGGCCGCTCAGGTACATCTGCACTCTGCACCCCGTCGGCGTCTGATGGCTTCTGCAGCAGCCACCGTCGAGAGGGATCGACTGCATGGGACGTACGATGACTTGCTTCCAGAATTAGGCATTGCGGTCGAGCACACATGAGCATTCCGCCGACGGCCGTCGCGCTCGTCACGCCGTCGGCATTCTCGTCTGCGCGCTGTGGGATACACCGCACGCGAAGTGGGCCTTCTGCGAGGCGAAGGACCTTCCGAGCCCCTCCTTCTGCGGCCTGACTGGCTCGTCCGTGCGCCTGCCGCTGTTTGTTTGTTCGTTCGGCTCTCGCTCGGCGCGTCGCGCGGCGCTAGCGCAGCGCTGCCTGCAGCCGCGTGCAGCTCGTCCACCACACGCCGTCCGCGGCAAGCGGCTCCGTCGTCCAAGGCCCTTGCCGTCGAGTCCGAGCGTCCTTTCGCACGGCAGACGCACATATCAGGCCAAGACGAGCGGCCAAGCTGAAGGGACGAGCAAGAGAAAGCGCCGCCTGCCGCACGCAGACGGTCGTTCGATGTGTGTGCCAGGCGGGCCACGCACAGCGCCAGGCTAGCCTCGCAGGACGGCTCACTGCAGCGGAAGTTTGGCCTGGTGAGCAGCAGCACGGCCAGAGAGGCGCCTCTGCGGGAGATTCCGGCCCACACCCCACTGAGCGCACTGCGAGGGGCCGCCGATATCTGCATCTGGGGCAGGAGAGGTGATGGCGAGGCGTGGCGCGCAGGACAGCAGCCGCACGGCCGGCCACCATCGGCGCTTGCACCGCAGCACCAGCAGCCACGCGCCTCGGAGGGGCGTCCGACGCTTGCCCTGCACTGCGCTATGAGCGTGCTCGGCTCGGCAGTCGCACCGCCTCCCTCGCAGCAGCACGACGCAAGCATGACCGGCCTCAGCGCGAGCAGAGAGATGAAGGGAGCCGCGGGACCCCACGTGGGTCCGCGCCTGTGCCCGAGGGTGCCGTGCGGCTGCCGGCCACGCCTTGCTCTTGCTCCTGCTTGGCGGAGAATTGGCAGAGGAAGGAAGACGTGCCGTGCGCACCAGCCAAGAGCAACAGTGAAAGGCTCCGACCGCGGCTCGGCGCGACCTCGTGCCTCTGCTGCTGCTACTGCTGCTGCTGCGTGCTGCCGCAGCCACGCCGTGCGTGCCGGCTGAGGATCTCGTCTCGCTACGTCTCACCGTCGGCAGCGGCGAGAGCAAGCAGCAGATACAGCCGCTCCACTCTTACGCTTACTCGGAGGTGCCGCAGCAGCTTGCTCTGCCAGCGAGGCCTCTCCGTGCATGCGCTCCTGCTGTGTGATCCCGGCGGCGGGAGCTGCGATGCGTTCGCTGCGTTTGCATATGCCGCGCTGACCACAAATCCGCAGCGGACACGCAACTCGCAGGCCCACATGGCCCTCATGCGAGCGGTGGATGAGCCGCGTGGTGCAGCGGCAGCGCATCGGGACCGGCGATCCAGCGCAGCGGTGCCCAGCAGCTAGGCGCAGGAGCAGAGGGCAGGGCTCGTCGAGCGTGCGCTGCGCTGCAGCCCGGGCGGAAAGAAGGTTGGCGCGACCTGGCGCCGGGCCATGTGCCCTGGCGCCTTTGCTGGCGCTGCTCCTGCGATGCTGCGTCCATCGTGAATCGAGAGTGCGCCCGTTGCTGCGACCCGGGCGGGCGAGCACGCACACCTGCAGCTCCCAGCACGCACCCAGACTCAGACTCCCGCGCACGACAGAGGCAGCGGCAGCGGGTGAACAAGAACGGCGGAGCGAGAAGGAGGCGGAGCTGCTGCAAGAGCAGCCGCGGCAGCGTCGGGCCGCCCGCTCCTGCGCTTCTTCTTCCCTGCTTCTTCGCAGCAGCAAGCGCTCGCCGTCACCAGGAAAGAGGCGAGGTGCATCTCCATGAGCTCCAGGCTACATCGTGTCGCAGCAGGGCCGCATCGCACACAGCACGCTCTGGCTTGGCCAAAGCAGCGCCAGCGGGGCGCGCGCGTTCTGGGCCTTGCTGATGCTGACGGACACACCCGCCGGGAGCGCCACGCTCGGCGGACGGGCGGGCATGCATCATGCGTCCGCTGGATGATCGGCGCCTCGGAGGCCTGCAGGAGCGCAAGGATGAGCAGGCCGCAGCGGCAGCAACGCGAGTGTGGCCGCCGCAGCGGGCTGGAGCCCTTCTCTTCGCGGCCGCTCCGACGAGTGCGAGGTGCTGGCCGCGTGTCGGCGGCGCGCTGGCCCGCCGGATCAGCAACTGTGCCTCCGCCGCAGCGCTCTCGTCATGCCCCCGCTGAGTTGGCGGTGCACCCGCCGACTCCGCACCCCGTGCCTGCGTCGCTGCGGCAGCTCGCTGCGCCGACGTGGCGGAGTGCGGCGCCATTGCGCTGTGCCCAAGGCACTTGGCGCAGCACGGCGCGACCTCACTGCTGCTCCTCCGGCTGCTGCGTGTGCCGTCCGCACGACCGCACGCCGGCTGCGGCGCCCAGGCGGAGTGTGCCGAGCGCGTCACCAGCCGCCCAGGTCCGGCGAGGTGTGGCTGACACGCGGCGATACGCGGCGAGCACGAGCGACGAGGCAGCGCGCGTGAGGAGCGAGGTGCTCTTGGCTGCCTCTGCCGCTGCGAGCTGTCCTCACTCTCACTCAGGCACGCGGCGGCACCGCAAACAGGGCGCTGCGGTAGGGCCGCCGCAGCGTGATGGCAGGCCGGGAGCGGGTCCAAGCGCTGCCCGGTGCGGTGGAGCGCGCATCGGCTGCATCGCAGCAGCACAGCCTGAGCATGCTGATGAGGTGGAGCATCCCATCCCATGCTGCACCGCACCTTCCCGCTGCTGCATGCTGCTGCGGCGGCCGGCGGCGCCTGGCGCATCTTGGCCGCCACGCCGTCCCGGTGCCGAGGGCGACGCGCCATCACATGCATCATGCGCCTGCACCGCCTGTGCGGCGGCAGCACCTCGGCCCGTGCTGCTCTGCTGAGCTGCGCTGCTGAGTCTGCACCTGCTGCGACGAGCTGCACCGAGCTGCGTCCCTGCGGATGCCTGCAGCGAACGCTGCACGCTGAGTGCGAGTGTGCCGTGCTGAGGCTGGTGCTGGCGCTAACTCCGTTGTCTCGCACGCGTCTCGCAGCCAAGGCACACCTCGCCTCGGCCTGTTGCTGCGCCTCTCACACGGCCGCGGCAATCCATGCGCCGGGCGCATGCGCCGCTGCAGCAGCGCCGGCCCGGCGCCAATGCACAGATGCCGCTCGCAGCACACAGCATGCGGCACACAGCGCAGCAGCAGCAGCAGCGTCATGCAGCGGCGGGCGTGCAACAAAGGAAGGGCCTCGGGAGGCGAGGCGAGGGCGCTGCTGCTGCGTCGGTGCGACGTTCGTGCGCCGCCCAGCACCCGCTGCTCCCCTCCGCCCGTCCGCGGCCGGCGACGCAGCGACGGCCGGCTGCGTCGCTCCTCGCACTCCCACCACCACCGCCACCGCCGCTGTCGCTGCGACGCTGGCCGACGTTCCTCTCACTCCTCTCGCCCGTACGCTCGCCTCTGTGCGCATCCCAGTGCCCGGCCCTAGGCTCTCTCGGCTCCGGTCTCCCTGCTCCTGCTCCGCCTCGCCGCACCGCACCCTCCATCTCACTAAGACTCGCACTTCGCTCTGTCCTCGATCGCGCATCTGCTCTTTCTGCTTCTGCAACACGCCGCATTCGGCCCTCGCTCGCTTGCCGCTGCTTGCTCTGGCGCGCCCCGACCGCGCCGCCGCCCGCTGGCCGCTGCGCCCCGCGCCGCTCCTCCACCACGCTCCTTGCGTCTCGCAGCAGCGACGCTGCATCGCCGACGGGCATCTCTGAGCGCTCCATCCTAGCAGCTGCTGCGCTGATTGCGGGCGCTGTGCTGCTCGAGGAAAGTCTCCAAGCTCGAGCTCGACTCTTACTCAGACTCAGACTGTGACTGCACGAGGCGCGTGCCCGCAAGAAGAAGACCACGCGCTGCCGGCGCCTCTTGCGCACCCCGCGCCGGCCGCCGTCCTTCGCGACGCTCCTCTGCGACGCGCCGGCTCCCGCTGCGTTTGGCAGGCCGTACTGCACAGAAGCTCAGTTTGGCTGCAGGAGCCTCGCCGACTGCTCGGACGCACGCCCGAGTCCAGACTTGGCCTCTAGGCGCTAGTTGGAGACCTTGCAGCGGCCTTCGCCTCTCTTGCGCTCGCATTGGTGGCCCTTGCTGGCAGGATATGTGAGTAGCTCCTGCGTCTTCACCAGTGCAGAGTGCCTGCTGCTCCTCGGGCGCCCCTGTCGTGCCTGAGCCGCACGCATATACGCCGGCCATTCGAGCGCCGGCGTTGAATGCGGCGCAGCCCGGGGCTAGGGTAATTGCTTTTGGCCGTTCGCCGCGGCTGCGCCGGGGCCATGGGTCTTGTCTTGGTGGGAGCCAGCTGCGACCGCACGCAAGGGTAGCGGGACAGCCAAAGACCAGCGATGCACCGCCAAGCGCCAGGTGTGCATCTCTCGCGTTCTGCCGTGCAGTTGTATGGCAGCAGCTAGCCAAGTAGGCGGCACTCGAAGGGCTGCGGCTCGGCCTGCGTTTGCGGACAGCATCGAAGCACGGCGCAAAGTGCTTCTCTGTCATTGTTTCGCAGCCCTCTACCCCTGTCGTGGCGGGAAGAGGCTGCTCTTGCAGCAAAGCCATTGCCATCCACCGGTGTGGGCAGTCTGCTCACACGCGAGGGGCGCTGCCTTAGATGGCGTGCCAGCCTGTCAAGCGCGACTGTGCGGCCTCTGCCTTCTGGCGCATGTGCTGACGATGCCTGCTGCAGATATTACGTACTCTGGACACCGGCTGAGCCGCATTCAGGTCGATCTATCGCTCGGCGTCGCTTCTTGCTTCACACCTTCAACATCCGCACACAGCTTTGCTGCTCTGCTCGACGGCTGCTTGCCCCAGACCGCTTCCCGGCGCGGCTGGTCGGTCCCGGCTTGACGCACGGCTTTGAGCCGGCTGCCGTCGCCGCTGCCCAGCCCAAGCCTCTTCAGACGCCACGATGAGGAGGGTCTACCACGACGCCGCTCAGCCTGGTCTGGATCGACGGCCACACAACGGCGAGCCGGCGTACCCGCAGGACAATCTGCATCAGTGGGCCTATGATGAGTCACTGAACTTCGAACAGTTCTCAGCTGGCGGGCAGGACCGCGGCATGGCGCGTGCGCCTGTTCCAGGGCCCGGTGCGCCTCCGTCCACCGCTCTGCCTGACGACATATCAGAGCTGCTTGCGATGCTTGTAAGTATTTGCAGCTGCCAGCAGCGCATCCGTGCTGACATCCGTTCTCCCAGCCTGCGCTCGATTCCGCAGGCAGCGACCTGCACTCGCCGCTGCACAGCGCTTCGCAAGTCAGCTCCAGCGGAAGCGGACTGCAATTCTCGCCCAACGGCAGCAGTGCAGGTCCGTCCAGCGACCCTGGCGTCTCTTGGCAGCAGCCGTCACGCCATCCGACCTCTCCGCTGGCACCACGGCACTCTTCGTCAGCGTCGAGCAGCGCAGGGATGAGCTCGCTTGCAGGCGCACACAGCCGAGCTGTCCACATGGATGTTCGCACAAGTCTGAACCCTGCATCGGCGGGCTTATCAAGCTCCATGCGCGGACTCGGTGCAGCCTATGACGCAGCCAGCGGACTGTGGTACGTGCCCGGCGCGTCATCGATGCCGGGGATCTCGCCGTCGCTCTCTGCCGAGCTGGCAGCGCTGCAGCTGCAAAGTAACGTGGATGACGGATCCTCGCACTCGTGGTCTGCGGCGTCGGCTCAGCACGGCCATGAGCTCAGACAGCAGCAGCACTTCGCCGGCAGTAGCCATCACCAGATGGCGTCTCATGCGCCGATGCAGCCCTCTGTGGACATGGCCATGGCCGGCCTGAACACGTCTGCCCAGGCACTTGGGCCGCCTTTCGTGCAAGACGACAGCGTCGAGCAGCTCAGCTTCGGCACCAACACCTCCTCGTTCGACTCCTCCGCTCGCATGGACGACTCTCTTTTGTCATTGCGCGGCACCTCGCGGTGGCTGCACGGTCGCGACACGCCGGCCTCTTCACCTGCCGCCAGCGCGTACCTGCCGCTATCTGCCGATCCTGGCGCAGCCCCGCTGTACGAGGACACGTCTCACCAGCAGCCTGGTCAGCCCGTCGGGGAGTTCGGACAGGCGCTCTCGCGAGGCGCAAGCGACGATTGGGCGAACACATGGCCACGCGTGCAGCACGGGCAGCACTTCCAAGCAGCAAGCGCTTCCAGCTCTGTAGGCGCAACCGGTCATTCGGACGTCAGCTCGCGGCCGCCTTCATGGGGCTCGCGCCCGAGGCGCGGCACAGACGGAAGTCAGACCGGGTCGATGCCGACGGCCTCTCGCCGACCACGGTCTGTCAACTTCGGGCGCGCAAACGAGGGCCTGTCGCCCCTGGCGGAGCGGCGCTTGTCCCAATCGTCGATGGGCCGGCGTGTGGGGACCTCACCGACAGCTGTCTTCAACCCACCGCCTCGCCAGGTTGCCGTCGCGCCGTCGTCTGAATCGCTCGACGCGCACCGACGGCATCCGTCGCAGCACAAGCTACAGAGCCCCATCTCGCCGTCCGGCCTGCCTGCGTCTCGACCTCAGCGGCGGCAGCGCAGCGCCACGACGCAGAAGTATGACGAGGTGTCGGACGCGCTCAACACGCTTCGTCAGTTCCTCAGTCAGAACCTCAACCAAAAGGGCTCCCGCGAGCAGGAGCAGAGCAGCGAGCGGCCTGCACATGCCGCCGTCGGACACTCGCGCTCAGCGTCCGCGCTGGGCCCCGTATCGAGCGGCTCCTCGCACCGCCGCCTGCGCCATGTGCACGGCCAGCTGCCTCCGCGCGGCTCGATCTACAGCAGCGACTTTTCGCCTCCAGCGCCAGCCCAAGCTGCGCAGTCGATGTCTTCCAGTCCCCAGCGCAGCCGCGACTCGGCAGGCACGGCGCTGCAGCACGACGTCGTCGAGCGCATCCGGCAACTGCTGGCGCAGACTGAAGACGCGCGCCGGCGCGACGAGGGCAATCCCTGAGTCCGCGCCCCCTCCAGCATTCCTCACCTCTTCTGAGCATCCATTCGATACCTTGTCTCCCACGACGGCCTCTCGCCTGCCTCCAGCCCCGTGTCGCTCACACACAGGCGACTCTCGAGTCCACGACACATCAGCATCTCCCCTCGCACGCAGCATTCACTCGCGCCCGTCGCCCTCAGCAGCACTCTCAGTCTATATCCTCCATCTAAACGATGCATGCGATTGCACACAATCAGTACTCGGAGTACTCGTCGTCGCTGCCCGACGCGTCGGAGCCCTCGTTGCCCTTCTCGCGGTCTGACGTCAGGCGGGAGAGCGCTGCGGGCTGCTGTGAGCACGTAGCGCAGACGTGGCTGAGCGGGCCAGACTCACTCTCGAGGAAGTTGCTCAGGTAGTCGTAGGCGTGCGAGCCAGACGACGAGCGGTTGAGGAGCGAAGAGACCAGGTATAGAAGCTGCGCAGACGGAGGTCAGACGAGGCTCGGCCACAGATGCAGCTGCCGTACTCACTTTTGCGATCATGGACTGGCCGTTGGCAGCCAGGCTCTCGAGCGGAATGCCGTGGAATGCGCCCAGCATGTCGCGCGAGGCGGCTTGCCAGTCGTCGGCGCTGCTGCTCTGCTGCTTGACGCCGCTGAACTGCGCCTGCAAGCTGTCGAGGAACTCGACACGCTCGCTCGAGACGAAGCGGATCATGCACACCGTGATCAGAATGTTGGCGCGCATCGTCGCCCACAGCGACAGCGACTCGGGCGCCTCGGGTTCCTCTGCGGGTGTCGGCCGGAATGCCTCGACCTGGCTGGTGGCCAGACTGAGCTGGGCAGCACTCGGTGCCGGGCCTAGCCTGATGCCATGGTGGGCAGGGCCAGCAGGGAGCTCGCACGGCCAGGCGTCCTCGGGCAGCAAGGCGAGCGGAGCTGGCGCATGGCCCATCCGTGGGCTGCCTTGCCCGGATGACGGCTGCGAGGTGATGTCCGGATTGGGAAGGCCGCGCTCGTCGAAGGTGTTCGTCGGCCACGGCGAGAAGGGCAGGCCGATCGGGACGCTGCTGAGCGCGGCCACACGCGGCTGCTCGGGCGGCGGAAAGTGCGGCAGCTCGTCGCTGCGGCTGCCGTTGCGCTGCATCTGCATCTGCTGCGAGAGCGGAGCAGACGAGCTCTTGAGGACGTCTGGCCACTCTGCCTGCAATGCCTTGACCTTGGCGCTCAGGCGCTGGATGTGTGCGAGGCGCTCCTGCGTTGCTTGCCAGCTCTGCGGCGGCCGTCGCCGATCGGCGCGCAGCGACTCGATGTGCTCGGAGAGCACGAGGTACAGCTTGCTCACAGCGACAAAGCCACTGAGCAATGGCGGGCCGCGCTCAGGATTCGTCTGTGGCAGCAGCGCATGCGCAGTGAGGAGATCCTCCTTGCAGGCCGTGGGCAGCGCAACCCAGCTATCGTCGTCACGCAGGCCGATCGGCTGCGCATCCTGCAGGATCGCGAGCGTCTTGTCGGAGCCGTAGAGCAGGAAGTAGACGCGAGCGCGCAGCTCTCGCTCGATGAGGTCGGGCCCTTCGGTGCCGTCTGTCGGCACCCAGCGGCGCATATCGTTGATGCCCAGTGTGAATGAGACGCGGATCGCCTCGCCGAGCACAGCATTGGCGGCCGGCTGTGAGCCCACGCTGCTAAGGTATATCTGCGCGAGAGGTAAGTCACGGCCAGATGCACAGCTGAGAGCGGCGGACTCACGTGGTCGCAGTACAGCGTGGTAATGTGGAGCAGGCGCGGCGGATCGTACGTGCGCGGCTGCATGCGCCGGCTCGTCAGGTGGCAGATGCGGTGAAGCTTGCGGTAGAAGGACCAGGGCGCCGGGATGACGGAGCGCGGCGCTTGCACCAGGGTATACGCGGTGAGGCTGAGCACGAATGCGAGAAACGTCTCGTCCTCGGCGTCGCGCCGATTGACGAGGTCGAACGAGAACGTCGGGCGATGTACGATCGGCATGATCGGCCAGAGGTTCTGGTAGTACAGCGCGATGACGGTGAGGAACGTCTGCCGCGGCGCCACATCCTCGAGGCAGCGCGGACGCTCGATGGGCGCAGCGAAGACTTTGCCCAGGTGCCGCGCGCGCTTGTGAGGGCGAGGCGACGCTGCGCCCGAGGATGGCCCCTCGTGCGAGCTAACGAAGAAGGCAGACGTCGCTGGCGTGGTGTAGCCGTCGAAGGCCATCGTCGCGTCCGCAGCAGCCGACCAGCTCGGCAGTGCGCCAGGCGCTGCGCCAGACATAAAGTCCCACGACTGTCCCGGCACGATGAGGCCCGGACGCAGCTCTGAGCCGGAGGTCGGAGGCATGCCGAAGCCCGGAGCGTTCGCGCTGCCTCCCGCTGGCAGGCGTGAAGGCCCGGCGATCGCCGAGGCCTCATCGGCGGGCGCGCTGGGTGCGGCACTGCTGGAGGAGCCCTCGCGACGCGCAGTCATGCCCTCCATCGCCACGTCGGCGGGCTCCTGCTTAGCTGCCGCGCTGGGATCGGCACCGGCGGCTCCTGCCTTCTTCGCGGCCGCCGCTGCTGCCGCCTTTTCGGCCTCTCGCTTCATCGTCTTGGCGATGCTGAGGAGGGTCGTCAGCGGCAGGACGGGCACGCACTTGGAGCTTAGACTCACGAGCTCTGCGGGCCGGGCCGCTTGGGGATGTAGTCGAAGCGGCACTGCGCATCGATGGCGCGACACTGCACGCAGCGCTGGTCCTTGGAGTTCTCGAGGCCCTCGATCTGCAGGCGCACACACTTGATCTTGCGCGTGCGGCAGGCGTCACTGGTGAGCGTAGGAAGTCAGCACACGGGCAGCGGAGGGCTGCGCCGAGCGAGGTACTCACCAGCTCTGTGGCCTCTGAAGCGGCGGAGGACACGACATGTGAGCGTGGGGCCCTCGGTGCGCAAGCGAGCTCTGCGCCAGACGCACCTTGCGCTTGATTGGCTGGCCCAGCGCATCGTACACGATGATGTGGCCGCTCGCAGTGACCTCCGGCTTGGGCGGCCCGCTGAAGGTGCGGCTCGGCGCCGCCTCAGCCGCCGCCGCGGGGTGTGCGGGCGCAGCGTCCATGCTGCGCGACACGGGCGCAGCTGCGGCGCCTCGAGGCGAGGCACTGGCGCTCGCTGCGGGCGCTGCGACCTTGATCATGCCCGGGTGCTGCGGGTGCTGCTCGCTGCGCAAGACGCCGTCACGCAGCAGTCGAGCGTGCGCGGCGCGCGGGGCGCAGCGGCACGGACTGCTGCCGCGAGGGGTGCGGCCGCAGGCTCGAGGAGGCGGCGATGTGTGCCGCACAGGATGCGCGGCGGCGAGCGAGGCGGCGCGGGCGGGCGGGCGTGAGAGGGCGTGTGCGGGGGGGATGTGGTGGGGTGAGAGCAGCCGAGCGGCCTGGAGCTGCTGTGCTTGACGCTGCGGCGGCTGCGCAGCTGCAGCGGGTGCGGTGTCGTGCCGTGTGTCACCCAGAGAGAAGGGGTGCAGCCGCGGCACAGGAGAGGCGCAGGCGCCATCACGCTGCTGCTGCCGCTGCCGCTAGTGCTGCCGCCGCACCCCGCCGCGCGCTGCCGTGCCGCTCGCGTGGCTTGCAAAAAGTCAAACGCGCGCCGCGGCGCGCTTTCGCCGAGCGCCGGTGCGGTGCGTTCTTCGCACGGCAGCGCAGCCGCCCCGTCTGGCATCCTGCCTGCCGCACTCCCGCTTCGAGCGGCCCATGAGATCGCACCTGGCAGCAAGCCGCAGCAGCTCATCGACTAGGCGCAGCTGCAGCGACGCCAGAGCGCGAGCGCGGTGCCGGCGAGGCGCCGCAGTAGGGCAGAGGCGCCGCGACAGCCGCACGCGTCCACCGAACTCTGCACGTCGGCGGCCGATCTGCGCCTCTGCAGAAGCGCCCGCGGGCCGATATGGACTCTCTGCGGCCAGAGTGACGATGTCCCGGCCGCCTGGATGCTGCGTGGCCGTGACAGGCGCATCGCCCGACGGTGGCAGCTCCAGGCGGACGCTGCGTGCTGCGCTCTGGCCCTGCGCGAAAGTTGGGGTTCTGGCGCGCGCGGCACGCGGCCGGGGCTGCGCTGCGGCCGGCGAGTTCGCTCGGTGGATCTCTATCCTTCATGCTTGCTCGGTCTCGTCCGTGCAGCATGCTGCCGCTGCGCCCGGATCGAGAGACAGCTGCCGTGCTCAAGCAGCACACCGACGCTTGCGCCAGTCTCGACCCATGACTCGGCACGCCCTCCCGATGAGCTCCCTAGCAGGCGCGCGTGCATCGAGTCAGACGGTGCTTCTGGCAGCCGAGACGCTGCTCGCTGGGGAGACACTGCATGTTGGCGACCATGTGGCCCGCACTGCTGCACCTCCGTAGACCTCCTGAGCGCTGCTGGTGCGGCTCGCCCTGCATGCGTGCGAAGTTGCAAACGCACGCACGGGGAGCTCGGACCGGGCCTCCGAAACACCGGCGCGCCAGGCTCGTCGCGCGCCAGAGGCCGCTCCAGGCCGCGGGCAACGCTTGCGCAGCGCACTTTGGCCGCTGCCTATCCCTTCGATCTCTGTGGCAGATCACCTTTGTGCGGCGGTGGCTGAAGCACGACATCCGTGCCGCTTCGGTAGCCGGCCTGCGGCACCGGTGCCGGCTGCTTTGGAACGCGGTGCGGCGTTGTTGAGCGCACGCAGGCCGAGAGCTCGGCGCTGTCTCGGTGGCGGGCGCGTGGGAGCAGCGCCGCCAGGCACGGCCGCGCCACGTGATGCCCGGACCCTTCTTTCGCTTGCCTTCACCTGCGCTGCCCTGCCCTTCTTCGGAGACTTTCGTCATCGGCGTCGAGCACACAGGCGCACCTGCTCCCACTAGCACAAGCAATAAGAATCACACCCCCGGCTGCTCTCATAGCACCGGCCTGGGGGCCGAGCCGCAGGGCGCTGGCCGCTTGGGCTGCACTTGGGCGCGTCTTCTGCCTCCGCCGTGCCGTCGCAGCGAGCATCGATGCAAGAAGCCATGCGAGGCTCACCCCTACGGCCCGGTCGCATCGCAGCGAGCAGTGCTGTCGAAAAGGGGCTGCACAAGTCGAGTCTGGCGCCGGGCCACGGCGGTGCAGATCGGGAGGAGGGGCCCACGTGGAGCCGGAGTCCGGATCGGCGGCACTCGGCGTCCTGCACGGCCTCTGGACGTGCCCATCGGCGGCGCAGCGCTACATGGAGCTGCCGTCGCCAAGCCTGCCTTTGCGTCTGGCGCTGTCTTGAGAGTGAACAAGCGAACGGAAGGCGACGTTGAGGAGGAGCTGGCTCCAGCCGGCATCCGTACGCGGTGATGCTGCCTGGGCCCTCCTCCTGCGCTGAGGCCCGCCGCAAGGTGACGTCCGTGTGCCAGGCAGCATGGTGCAAAAGAGGCGGCGGCGCGGCGCCGCGCGGCGCGCGCGAAGGCGGCGAGGCTGTGCTCGCTGCCGCGGCTCTGCCTGATGCAGCATCTGCCCTGCAACGCCGCGAGCAGGAGCAACCACCGACTCGACTGCGAGCTTCCGCGTCTCGCCATCTTTCTCTCCACCTCCACCGTCGCTTCCACATCCCGTCGGCTTCCTCGTTCGTCCTACTTCGACCCGCCTCTGTACTGCCAGCGACCGCTCGTCCGCTCGGCGGCGTACTGCGCTGCACCGCGCCTTCACTGCTCGCCGCGCCGCGCCGCACAGCTTCGCCGGTGCCGCCGCGCACGGCGTGATGCGTGCGCCGATGCGGCGTCGCACGCTCGCTGCGGCACTGCTCGCCGTCAGCTGGGCGCTCCTTCTGCCGGCGGCGGTGCGGGCGCAGGGCGGTGATGCGGGCGCCGGCGCCGCCTCCACCTCCTTTGTCACTACCACGGCCTCGCCGATGGTCACGATTGCCGTCGGCGCGCCGTCGCCAAGCCTCAACAACCCGACGTCGCAGGCCGCGCCGGCAGCTGGCGAGGCGGCGCCGACGTCGACGTCTGTCGCAGCGCTGCAGCTCGGCAGCGTCACGGCGCCCTACCTCTCCGCCGCGCCGGCGCAGGCCACGGCGCGCTCGCACAACCGGCGGCCGAGGGCTGGGCCCGCCTTCCGCGGCTGCTCGGGCGGCGGCCTGACGTATGCTCAGCCGCAGAGCCGCATCAACGTGTCGACGGTGTGGTCGCAGTTCGACTCTGACCTCACGGCGAGCTTCCAGGGCCTGCAGGCCCCGAGCGTGGGCACGCTGCGCATCGTGGCGGTGGGCACGGCGGGCGAGGAGATCCACGCCTACAGCGATGCATCTGGCTCGGCCCTGATCAGTGAGTGCGGCGGAGAATGCGGCGTGTAGCCCAAGCTAAGACCGAGCCAGGTGCGATTCAGGTGCAGAGCGAGGTGCTCACCTTTCCCGTCTTTTCGAACTTCACCTACGTCTGCGATCGGCTCTTTCCGACGTCGCCCGACGCGACGAACCCCGGCGTGGCCAACACCTGCCAGTACGGGCCTGGCACCGTCGCCTTTGCTGTCGATGTGCCAATCGACGCGACGTACGAGGGCACGACGGTCTGGACGCAGATCCAGCTCATTGATCCCTCGTCGCCGCCGCTGACGCTGGCGTGCATCGAGGTGCCGCTGACGCCGTATCGCGCCGACCGCTGGTGGTGGCATCTGCTCTTCTGGCTCCCAATTGCGCTCTTCATCGCCTACTTTGCGCTCGTCGCTGCCGCCAGCGTCATCCTCGCGATCACGATGCGCGCGCGCGCCTTTCGCAGTCGCGCGCGCGAGGGCTCGGCGCCGACGCTCATCACCGACAAGATCAGCCCGGCCATCGTGTCGGCACTCAGCGGGCAGGGCGTCTCGCTGAGTCCGAGTCTGCTGCGCTTTGCCACGCCGGGATGCTGGGACATTCTGCACCACACGCAGTTCATCGTCGGCATTGCCATGCTCGCCGTGCGCTGGCCGGACTTTGCGTACCCGTTCCTGCGCCAGGTCGCCTGGTCTGCGCTGCTTGGCAACGTCACGCTCGTCGAGGACTCGCCGGTGTCTGCGTCGCACGCGCAGGCACTGCTGCCCAGCGGCGACATTGGCGCCCAGATGGGCAACGCGTCGTCGCCACTCTTTATGGACGAGCGCATGCCGAACAATCTGCTCGACCTCGGCGCAGTCTACACGGGCATCGAGGCGTACGCGCGCATGATTGGTCTGCGCGAGTCGCAGCTCTTCGGCACCTGCCTGGCCATTTGGCTGCTGATTATCGCGGCCGTGGCTGTTGCATCGCTGCTCGCGTACGGCGTCGACGTTGCCGCCGAGGCGTGGGTGCGGCGCCAGCGCCAGGAAGAGGTCAACCTTGAGCCGACGGAGGTGAAGGGCGGCAAGGGCGGCATGCTGGTGGACGCAGATGGACATCTGCGCGACGGCTCGCGCGGCGCATACGGCTTCCTCGGTGCGCTGCCCGGCATGCGCACCTTCCGCGGCGCATCGCAGCTGCACCGCAAGGCATTGCACGGCAACGTCATTCGCGCGCTCGCGCTCTTCCACTTTCCGATCACGATTCTCAGCGTCTGGCAGTTTGCGCGCGCCGATGGCCACTCCACGACGTCGGTCGCGCTGGCTGCGCTGGCGTATGCGCTCGTCTCGGTCCTCGCGCCGCTCTACCTGCTGTGGCGCATTGCGCGTGCCGACACCTCGAAGCTCTACGACGACGTGTCGACACTGATCGCGCTGGGCCCAGTGTACAACACCTTTTCGCCGGGCTCGCAGCTCTTCTGCGCCGTCACATTTGGCCACAGCTTCGTGCTCGGCACCGTCATCGGTGCAGGCCAGCGCAGCGGCTCCGCGCAGGCCATCATCCTCCTCGTCCTCGAGCTGCTGCTCGCGCTGGCGTACGGCCTGTGGCTGCCGTACGCCGAGGGCGCGATGAACGGGCCCGTCTCGTTTCTGTGCAGCGTTGTGCGCGTCATCAGCGCCGTTTTGCTCGTCCTCCTCACGCCGCTCGTCGGCTTCGGGCGCCAGGCGTGCGGCTGGATCGCGTACGTCATCCTGCTGCTGCAGGGCATCTTCTTCCTTGGCGCCCTACTCGTGCTCGCAGCGAAGCTCGTCGAGGCAGTCGTGCGCATCGCCTGGCGCGTGCCGCACGATACGCGCGCCTCGGGCCGCTCGGCGGGCCTCGCTGGTGCGATTCGCCGCATCCGCCGCCGCAAGGACAAGACGCTGCAGCTCGCCAGCCCAGGCAACAAGCGCCACTCGGGCGCAAGCAGCAATGGCGGCATCATGCGGCCGCAGACACAGCGCTCCTCGTCGGGCACGAGCACCAATGCGATCCTGCGGCCTGCCGCGCCGCCGCGCACCAGCACCAGCAGCACGCAGTCGGGCATGCTGTCGCGCTCGCAGGCGCGCCCGGGAGCCATTCCCCTGACGCACTCGCGGCACGGCAGCTACGCATCGTACCTCGACAGCCAGCTGTACGCCAAGGGCGAGTCGTCCAGCGCGCCTGCGCTCGACCCCAACCCGTACTCGGTGTACTACCGCTCCGCGCCCGACGACGACGACGACATCATGGCGTCAATGCCGCCGCAGTCGCCGTCGTGGCCGGCGGCGACTGCGTTGCCGCGCAACCGTGCGCCGTCGCCGATCCGCGAGGAGAAGTTTGTGCGCGTCCGCGGCGCACGCACGACGGACGCCGACCCGTACGCCGCACATGCAGCCGCTGCTGCTGCGGCCGAGGACTCGTCGGAGGACGACACGTGGAACAGCAGCACGGTGCAGGCGGGCGGACGCTGGAAGGGCGTCGCTCGGATGGCTGCCCTGTTGCGACGTCTGGGCAACGCGCCGCCGGCCAGCAGCGCCGAGGGCACGCTCTCGCCCGTCGACGAGACGCCGAGCGGCGGAGGGTTCCAGGTCGTGCGTGCGCCACGGCCACGTCCTAGCGCGCCCGCATCCGCCGACGCCGACGCCGACTCGACTGCTCTGGCGGCCGCCGCGGCGAAGCGGTCGTCGTCGGGCTCCTTTGGCGGGCGCGGACAGCTCGGCATGCTCGCAGCTGACCTGCAGCGCGCGCCCTCGACACTAGCCCGCGACGATGCCGAGCCGCAGGGCGGCGACGACAACTTCTGGCTGCCGCCGCGCACCGGCGGCGAAGGCATGGTGCGGCCCTCGGAGGACCAGGCGCCGCGCCCGCGGATGCGGGGCAGCTTCATCGAGGTCAGCGAGCCGCGCGTGCCGCAGGAGCCGCCGCAGCTGCCGAGGCCAGACTTTGCGTGACGTGGCAATGTATGATGTGACCGCGAGCGCGTTGGAGAGCCGTCTTCGCTGTAGCGATGGCGTGAAGTGAGCGTCGGGGCGTAGCGTCACTGTGGTCGTACGGAGTAGAAGGCGTGAGTTCGGCAGAGGTGGCCCGTGGCCCTGGATTATGCAGTGCATGGCCTGAGCCAAAGGGCTGCGCGCTCAAGGAAGCATGAGGCTCTGTGCTGCGGCGGATGCGCAGGAGAGTGCCTCAAGGGGCGCACCAGCAGTCTGTGCCAGACCAGGGGAGCAAGCAAGCTGCTGTCCAGCACTGGCAGGAAGGGCTGCCGTCCAGCACTGGCAGCATGGCAACTGGAGACAGGTGCCGTAGAGCAGCATGATCAGGGAGAGGCAGCTGTCTGCCAGACTCCGCCTCTATTGCTGCGCTGCCAGAGCCAGGAGCGCCAGTGAGATCGCCTGTGCAGCTGCTGATGGTTCATGTATCACATGGGCAGCGCCGCTCAATATGAGGTCATGGTAGTATAATGGCCAGTACACGTCGTTGTGGCTTCTTTGAACCTCATCGATTCGACGCTCCGTCGAGATCCGGGTTCGATTCCCGGCCGTGACACTATGCCTCTCTTTTTGCATTTCGTCCTTTTGCGCTCCTCCCGCGTGCGTTTTGGCTCCACCGCCTGCGCAGCGCACCTCACCGACTCTGCACGCACGATGCTCGGCTCTCACCGATGCAGCATGATGTGCCCACTGTTGCACTGTGGACGACGAGAGCTGTGCCGCACACGCGACGGCGCGGCTCGAGGCCTCCGCGCGCGCAATCGCCTTCCTGCCGTGCTGCGATGCCGCGCCGACTGGATCCGCGACAGCTCGCCTAGAGCACGCATGGGCAGCAGCAGTACAGATCGATACGATGCTGCCTTTGTGCAGGCCAGGGCAGACGTAAGAGGTGGCTGGCGGCGCACAGCGCGAGCAGCTCGCTGCGCCGCATGCGGGGGCGCCCTCCGCGCGGTGCTCCCACGCTCTGCGGCGCGGGGATGGCGCATCCGAGCGGGATCAGAGCGCGCGGGAGCGAGGCAGCCGCACGCCGCCTTCTGGCCAGGATGCCGCTGCGGCATCGGAGCATGTGCTGCACCCACCACCATCACACCTCCATTGGCCAGCTAGCGGCCTGCTCATCCTCGTCACGCAGCCGTCTCGTTGCTATCAGCGACGCGCAAGCGAGAGCGCTCTGTGCTTGGCACGCTGTCGCGCCCGCCAGCCGCCAGCCGCGCAACGCCGAGGCACGCCGCGCCGCGAGCCGTGCGCACCGGCTGCTCTGAGCGAGGCCCGACCGCCGTCACGGCACCCGCCGCACAATGACGCCCCCGCCAAATGAGGAGCATCCGTCGCTCGGCCGCTCTGCCTTTGCGCACAGCCGCCACGCCAGCGCCGCGGCGCTGCTCTCGGCCGGCAGCGGCTTGAGTAGTGCGGCGGCATCGGCGGCCGCTCCCCTCGCCGCGCCGCCATCCCACGCGCGCTCCCTCTCGCACCACCACTCGCCGCAGCACGCACCGCTGCACGCCTTCCCACCGCGCACGCCTGCTGCGCCGACGGCCTCGCCTGGCGTCTCTGTGGCCTCACGCGCCGCCGCGTATCCGCAGTCGCCCGCCGCGAGCAGTGCAGGCCCCGCGCTGCCGCAGACGCCGCTCTCTGCTGCCGCTGCGGCCGTGCGCACGCCGCGCAGCGCCGCCCTCGAGCACTCGTCGATCTTCGATGATGGCCAGTACTCGGGCAACCCTCTGACGCCCATCACGCCGCGCACCCACTCGCCCGCCGGCTCGTCGCCCGCGCACTTTGCCGGTGAGGGCCGTCTCTCGCGCCGCTCCAGCGACCTCTGGGCCGGCGTCGGGCGCGAGCGCATGCGCACGCGCAGCGGCGGCACCGTCGACAGCGCGCACGGCGCTCTGCTTGCATCCGTGTCCGACACTGCACCGGAGCGCGAAGACCAGAGCCACGGCGTCTTGCTGCAGGATCGCCGCGCGCCGCACTCCGTCGAGCCGGGCATGCCGCACCTGCCGCGACGGGTCGACAGTCTCTCGCCCACCGACGTGAGTGACGACAGCATGTACGACGAGATCGCGTCGAGCGCCGGGGCGCTGTCGGCGAGTGCGTCGGGCCTCGGCATCAGCGGCCCGGACGGGCGCGAGGAGGAAGCGGCGGCAGACCGCGGCCGCGACCGCCTCTCGGCCGCCATCGCCGACCTGAGTATGGGCTCGACTGGCTCTCGGGCGAGCAGCTCTGAGCCAGTCGAGCCTGGTCAGACACCGCTTGCCAAATACAAGGCGCTGCCGCCCAGCGCTGCACACGAGACGCCCGAGTCGCAGAGCTTCAGGACGGTTGCGCGGGTGTCTGGTGCAGTTCGTGCGCCCTCATCGCCGCCGCGCGACTCGACTGATCGCTTCGAGGCAGCGCTCTCGCAGCCCGCGGTCCCTAGCCGGGTCAGCAGCTTCGGCTCAAGTGTCCCGCCAGAGAGCGTGCAAGCAATGCCCCGCTCCGACTCTGCGTCTCGTGCGCTCCCGCTCTTGTCGGTGGACAGCCGGGTGGTGACCAGTGGGCCGCCCTCACATCTGAGCAGCGAGAGCGACTATGGCGGCGAGGGCGACTGGTCTGAGGTCGAGCTCGACAGCCGGCCGCGCAGCAGACTTCATGCTTCCAGCTCCATCGCGTCGCTGCCGGCCGAATCCGCCGCGGCGGTGCCGCCCGTGGCGCCGCTTGTTCTCGCAAGAGCGGCACGGCCACCTTCGCCGCGAAAGTCGAGCGCCAGAGCTCTGTCCGTCTCGCCGACAAAGGCTACGTTCGGATCGAGCGTGGATGCCGCCGCCTCTCCGATCAAGTCCAGCGCGCCTCGAGCCCCCGCTTCGCCCGTCAAGGCGAGCTTCGCGCTCGGGCGCGCTGCTGCCGTCGACGCGCCTGCTGACGGCGACTTCGCCGGCGACCAGACCGGCGACTCGATCCTGCAGAGCGAGCCAATGTCCGTGTCGCCGTCCAAAGAGGCCGCGCTCGAGGCGCAGCTCGCTGCCGAAGCCGCCGACGCAGATCCCAACCGGCCGCGCACGCTCAAGGAAGCGCGTGCCCTTGCGAAGGAGCGCAAACTGCGCCGCCTTGCATCGGAGAGCCAGCCTGTGCCGGCCTCCGCATCGCCGGAAGAGCGCAAGACGCCCAGTAGCATCCCGTCTGCGCGCAGAAGCCTGGATCGCCCTGTGCGGGACCCCAAACGCCACGGCCCCAGCGCCTCGACGTCTCTGTCCGCCGCCCCTGACCCGACGACAGATGCACACGAGCCACTCTTGCGCCCAAGCTCTCCGAGCGACCGCAGCATGAGCGAATACAGCGTGCAGAGCAATCCGCCCGATGCTGTCGTCGCCCCCGACGTGGAGGCTGCTGGACAATCGACGTCGCCGATTGATGGCTCGAGCGATGCAGACGTCCACCGGCGGCATAGCCGTCAGCTGGCGCAGACTGTGCGCAGTCCCGAGGGCGAGGCTGCAGCCAACACGAGCGTACAGACGACGCCCTCTGCTGCTGCGTCGTACTTCCCGAACGCGCAAACAAATGCGCGTCGATTCGGCCAAGTCTCTCCCTCGGTTGGCGACGAAGCTGCGCCAGTAGCGAGCGATGGCGTTGCCGCACCTGACAGCGTGCTTCGGAGCCGCATCACGATGGAAGACTTGCAGGCTGCCGTCGGCGATGCGCTCGACGATCTCAGCTTCGGCAGCACGATCACCGACGCCAGCACCGCCATGGCGCCGCACGGCCCGAGCGATGGCGAAGACCTTGATGCTGCTGTCACGCCTTCTTTGCCCTCGGTAGACAGTGGCACTGCCAAGGTGCCGCAAGCGCTCGACATGACTCGCGCGGGCTCAGCTGCGCCGTCCTTTGCCAGTGCTGCAGCCAGCGCAAAGTCATTTGACTCTGCAGTCGAGTTCATGACGCCGTCGAGCGCGACGAGCACGTCGCAGGCGCCGCTGCCTGCGTTGCCTCGGCATCCCTTTGACGTCAATCAGGCCGCACCCGCCTCGCCTTCCGCCGACAAGCCCGCGCCGACAAAGTCTCATGCGGCATCCAGATCGATCACCCAGGCGACTCCGCGGCCAACGGGCGCCGCTGCGCCGACACGCGTCGCGCGCCTGCCCGTCTTTGGGCGCACGTCTGCATGGCCGACCACGTTTGACCCGACTCCGATCATCGAGAAGCGCAAGCTCGCGCCGTGGGAGCGTGCGCGGGCGTATGCCGAGTTCGCCAACGATCTTGCAGGGATCTCGACGGGCCTGGAGGTCTGGCTCTCGATCGTGCAGCGGCCCGCTCAGGCGCAAGCGGCCCGCGGCGCGATGGGAGCATCACGGAACGCAGCCAACAAGCTGCGCGGCATCCCCGGCTTGCACGCGCGCGACACGACAGACTCCTCTGTGTACGCCGCAAGCGTGCGCAGCGATGCGACCTTTCCCATGCGAGGTGACGGCGGCCGCGCCAAGGAGTTGACGGCTGTGCGTGAGGCTGGCATCCCAGAGAGTCCGCCATCGATGATCCCGCCCAACATTCCATACCCGGCCTTGCTTCCCGGCCAGCTGCGCGGCGACGAGACTTCAGCCCTCGGTCTGGCTCCTCAGAACGACTCGAGCTGGACCCTGATGGACCGCACGCGCACGCAGTCCAGCTCGGACACGGCCACTGAGGAGTCGTCGGCGCCCAGCTCTTCGCCGACTAATGGCCGCATGCCCGGAGCTGGACCTCCGACCGCGCGAACCGGTGCGTTTTTCAGCGCCCTCAGCCGCAAAGGCAGCCGGAGAACGCCCGGCACTGGCTCGCTCAGCGTCACGAGCACGACGGCCTCCTCGCCCACTGCCAGCACCGCGAGCGGCCCGCGCGGGATGCGCGCCACGCTCGCACGCACAATTTCCAGCCCCATGAGCCCATCGTCCGGGCACGCGCCGCAGCCAGTCGACATCACCCGGTCTCCCAGCAACGCCGCACTTGCCCTGTCCTCGAGCCCCACGCCCGCGCCCGCCATGTCGCTGGCCGATGAGAATGCGCCGCCGCCGCCGCCACCGGCTCGCACCATCTTCGGGCGCGGTCCGCTGGGGCCCCGCGCGCCGAGTTCGAGAAGCAACTCGACGGACGTCGTGTCCCAGTCGTCATCGCGCCCCTCGCTGAACTCGTTCAGCAGCGGACGGTCCGGCCTTGGCGCCGGCGAGGCGCGAGGCACCTACTACGGCCTTTCGGCGACGGGCGGCATCTACGCTGTGCCGCAGGGACAGCGCAGCAGCACGACGCTCGCGGGCACGCCTGCCGGAGTGTCGGACTATCGCGATGGCCAGCCGCGCGCGCCGGGGCCGAACCGCTCGCCGTCTCTCGCATCCGGTCTGCTGGCCTCTCCGGCGCTTTCGAGCGGATCGGGCAGCACGCCACCGCAGGTGTCGCCCGGAGGCACAGGCAACGGCGTCGCCCGCAGCTCCTTCTCATACGGCTCGGTGCGCGAGCGCAGCCCGCTCCTTGGTTCTGGAGGCTTTTCGCCAACAATGCTGGCTCCGCCCGCCGGCGAGGGCGGCGAAGTCGGCAGCCACACGCTCAGCCCGCGCAAAGGCAGCTTTGCGACGATGAGCAGCGTCGGCAGCAACCGCTCTGACAAGGAGGCGCAATTCGAGCAGACGCTCGAGAAGCTCGAGGATGTACTGCCCGATGCCGATCGCGCCACACTCGCCGTGTATCTCCGCAAAGCAGGCGGCAATGACCTTGCTGCGATCGGAGACTATCTCCAGGTGAGCACGTCGAGCTGGCCACGCGACACTGCTGTCTGACACTCATCTCACTCAGGACCAAGCGCGCGGCAAGCTCCGGCGGGCTTGAGCGCAAGAGGGAAATCCCGGCGCCTCTCGTTCCACTGCTCTCTCAGCGCCTTACATCGTATTCCGTCACCTCGATACCGCCTATGCCAGCCTGTGCGGCAGCTTTGGGCAGCCTCCCCTGTGCCGCGTTCGATTCAATGCACCTCGCATCCTTCACATGCCTATCAGCAGACCGATGATGTGCAGATGTGTCCTGCCACGATGCTGCACCGGGACCTCAGTCGCTGCTTGTCACTGTCGTCGGCCTGCGAACGTGGGCACGCCCAGTGTAGAGACACTCCGCGAGGCGGGCTCAGCAAGTGCGGTCCCAGAGAGCTCAGTACTGCGCACAGCGAGCCAAGGCTCGGCAGTGCTGTCTCCTACGACGGCCGCAGCTGTCTGTGCTGTGCCGAGCGTCATTGCTTCTTCACAAGGCGCAGCGTGGCAAGCCGAACGCGGCGCGCTCGGCGCCCATCTGAACCCGCAGGCCAGCCTCCGCATGCTGCAGCTGCCGCTGGGCAGCGCTCGGCCCCAGGCGCCAGCCAGACCCACAGTATCTCCTGCGCCGGCGGCTAGAGTGTCCGGAAGAAGTTAGCGCAGGGGCCACAGGCGTGTGCTGCTGCTGCAAGGTCCGCCTGGCCTGCCCGGACGCAGGAAGCAGGGAGCAGGCCTGCATGCTGGTGGCACTGACCGCGGCGTCGCGAGCACAGCACACACCATCTACTTGGGCTCAGCCGACAGCGACCGTGGCAGGCCTCTCATACGACGCCAGACACTAGCTTGGCGCTGGCGTCGCTGATGATAAGTTGCTCTCAGCGTGTTCCCAGCACTGCAGCCATGAGCGACGTCCACGCTAAGCGGGTGCTCGCACGAGCGGGCAGCAGCGCGGCAGGACGTGGCTCCAGCGGCTCCAGCGGCTTTGCACCCTGCAGCTCGCAGGTCGCTCGCCAGAGCGCAGTCCGAGTACCGCACTGTCGGCAACCTGCACGCCCCGCACTCGGCGTTGTGCTGCGACGGCACCCGAGATCAGACGGGATCGCTGGTGCCAGACTTGCTGCCTGCCCCTGGGGCTGCGGCGTCTTTCCGGACGGGGCCTGCTGCAGCCCGACTTTTGCTCTCAGGCCAATGGCGCGGTCTGCTAGCTTGGTTCTGCAACTGCGCGCTGGAGGCGTCGATGCCGCGCCGGCTGAACGGCTGGCTGTCGAGCCTTCTGCACCTGCACCTGCCAGCGTGCAGATGCAGCATCGGTCGCTGGCCGCATCCGTGGACGGTCGACCGCGTGGAAGCCGTTGCCCGTGCAGCAGCTGGAGCAGCACGCGAGCCCGCAGCCGCATGCCGGGAGCGTGTAGCAACCTGCTCGAGGCCGGCCCCTGGCAGCGCTCAGCGGCAGCGCGCGCCCGACGCTGCGAGCTCTCACGGGAAGATGGTGTGCGCAGGGCAAGAGTGCCGCAAAGCGAGCACGCTCGGCATGCGGCTACTCTGCCAGCCGAGCCAGCGTGCACGCGTGGCGGCTCTCTAACGGCCGATAGACAGCCTGCGCATGCAGCGGGGAGCCCATGGCGAGCAGGACTTGGCGCTGCTGTCACGGCAGCATGAGTCTCCCGCGCACTGATCCATGCGGTGAGCAGCAGAGTGGCCTCTGAGATGTCCTTCCGGAGGCCAGGTCCTGTCAGCGCCGGCGACACTCGTCCCTCTAGCCCCACATTCACATGCGCGGGGGCCGCAAGGCAGCAGACATGGCCAGCGGCCGTCGAGCTGCGCTCGAGGTCTGGCAAGCAGTTCTCTCCTCGAGAGTCGCCGCTCGGACAGAGACGTGCCAGGCCACGCTGTGTACAGCGAGAGCGTGGCGAATGGACTGTGGCTCTCAACCCCGGCGCCAAGCGGAAGGACCCTTGCGCGAGCATGCACAGCGGGATCACGGCTTGACGGATGCGATGCGACGTCGGCGTCGGCATGAACAGTGAAGGATGGAGGAGGAGAGGTGAGATCGCCGCGCGCGCGCCCGGCACCAGGCCCGATGCCGCAAGCTCTGCGCTGCCACGGCGAATCATGCTCGCGGCGGAGCGTGAACCTGTGCTGCTGTGCCTGCAGCGCGAGAGCAGCCGCTCAGAGAGCCTGGAACCTGATGCGCCGGCCAGCAGCGCGTGCGCTTCCTTGATTCATGTGCATGCGCGACAACGTTGAATACACGCAGCTCAGACCTCTGCTGCCGCGTTGGAGCGCCGCGCGAAAGGACGCAGCGCTGCAACTGAACTATGGCGCAGGAGCACCCAGTCGCTGCGGGCTCCAGGGGTGCGCATCAGCAGCAGCCGCGCCAGCAGGAAGGCGTTGCCCACCGGCAGCGAAAGGCGAATGGCGGGGAGCTCTTCCGCCGAGGGGGCCCAGCGGCTTGGACGCGCACCGCAAGCGATCGCCACACGCCATGCGAGGGCACGCTAGCACTAGCGCAGTGCAAGTGGCGTCTGCGACGCTGCCGGCAGGGGCAGACGTCTGAGGGATGCGTGACAGGAGGGGGCAGCCACGCTGCGCCGGTGCAGCGCTTCCCACGCCGCCGAGCAGGCCCCTTGCCGATGCGGACGCCGCCGAGAGCGCACACGCTGCGCTGCCGTCGGGCGCCGGAAAGAAACGCAGCAGCCTGCGTCGCTGGGCATGCGAGCCGTCATGCGAGACCTGCGCAGGTGAGGTCGGCGTCGACGCGGCGCAGCGGCAGCGCCCGCGCCGCGTCGCCTCATGCCACGCCCACGCTCCGCCGGCGGCCCGGCCTCCGATCCAGCTGTGCTGCCTGCTGCGGTCTCGCTCGCAGGTCGCGTCTCGGCGCGCGTGCTCGTCGAGTTGCATCGCAGCGCCCTGCTGCACCACACGGTGGCATCTGCGAGCGGGATCCGGGGCGCCGGCCGCTGCGGGCAGCATGCGAGGCTGAATGGCGGCGATGAGCAGGCGCGCCCAGCCGCTCGCCACGCGGCGCGGCGCGGCGACGCGAGCGGTCGGGCACCGCAAGCGCCGGCGCTGCAGCGGCTGGCAGGCGACGCCGGCACGTCCGAGACTCTGCCTCGCCTGTTCCGCGGCACCTCACTGAGCAGTCTTGCGCCTCACCGCTGCATCTGTGCTGGCGGTGCAGCCTGCTTCCCTGGGGCTGCTGGCCTTCGCAGCAAAGCCGGCTTCCTCCGCGGCGAATCAATGCGCCCTGCAGGCTTCGGAGGATGCGCGGCCGTGCGGCGACGGCGGCAGGGCGGGCGGGTGCAGGGCGGTCGTCGTCCGCAGGCCGCGGTCCTGCGGGTGGCCGCTGCGGCGGGAGTGGGCAAAATTAAGGAAGCGCGGCCGCGGCGGCGGCAAGCGCGAGGTGCATGTCATGCTGCAAGGGCCCTCGGAGCGGAGGTTGGCGCGCGTGCAGCCGCCGCGCAGCACCCGCCTCGCGCCCGGCGGCCGCCCTCGGGTGCCCACCGGCTGGGCCGAGTGCCGCAGCTCATCCGGGCTTGCTGCGTCTGATGCTGCTTGCTGCAGCAGCCTGCAGCACCGAGCAAGCCCGCCGCTCGCCCGCTCGACTTTGCTCGAGCGGCTCGCGCTGCGCTGGCGGCTGGCGCAGCGGCCCTCCCACGCCCGCTGCCGGCAGTCGGGGCGGGTGCGCGTCGCGTGCAATTGAACCAGCGCCCGCTCCGCTGCCTGCTGCTGATGCTGCGTCTGCCGTCTGCTGCTCGCCGGGGTGCGGCCAGAGCGCCCCTCCTCTCTGCTCGGTCGCGTCTGCCGCTCCGTCGTTCCGGCCACCACCTCGCGTCTCGTATAAAGCCCCTCTCCGGCCGGCCCGTCAGTCGCGCTTCCCTCACCTCCGTCGTCTCCCTCCTCCGCCTCCTCCTTCTCGTGGATCCCTCCCGGTCGCGGCCCCGTCTCTCCTCCTCCTCCGTCTCGGCCTCTACACGGACCTCCGCTGCGCACCGCTCCCACCCGGCCCCGCCGCCGCCGCCCTCTGCCGTTCCCCCTCCGCTCCCGCCCCGCCGCTGCCCAGCATGGCCGTCGTCGACTTCAACACGGGCCATGCGATGGACTACTCGCTCGGCTTCATCCTGCTCGGCGTCTTCTTCAACGTCTGGCTGTACGGCTTCAGTGTCGTGCAGACGTACCTCTACTTTATCAACTTTCCCAACGACAAGCGGGCCATGCGCGCCTTCATGTGAGTGTGCCGCGGGTGTGCCACCGGCGCCCCGCGCACGCAGCAGCTGATCCTCTCTCCTCTGCAGCGGCGTGCTCATCCTCGCCGACACGCTGCACACGGCGCTGTGCTGCCACTTCGTGTACGCCTACCTCGTCACGCACTTCGGCGACATCGCATTCGCCTCGCGCGCCACGCACACGTTCAGCGCCGACCCGATCCTCACGTCGATCATCGCGCTCATGGCGCAGAGCTTCTTCGCGTGGCGCATCTGGAAGCTCACGCGCTCGCCGTGGGTGCCGGGCATCATCATGCTCACCGGCGGGCTCAGCATGCTCGCGGCCATCGGCACGACGATCGGCGTCGAGATCGTGCGCGAGTTTGCCAAGTTCCAGAAGTTCCAGGTGGCCGTCATCATCTGGCTGGCGTGCGCCGCCGTCGCCGACGGCATCATCACGACGGGCCTGATCATGACGCTGAACAAGTCGCGCACCGGCTTCACGCAGACGGACGACGTGATCAGCAAGCTCATCCGGCTGACGCTGCAGACGGGCCTGCTCACCGCCTCCGTCGCCGCCATCGACCTCATCCTCTTCTGCGCCAGCACGACGACGGCGCACCTGCTCTTCAACCTGCCGCTCGCTAAGCTCTACGTCAACTCGCTGCTCTCGACGCTCAATGCGCGCGCCGTCTACCAGGACCGCCAGCGCTACACGATGGGCTCGAGCAGCAACGGCGCCAACGGCGTCGGCGCCGGCATGCACAAGGAGGACGGCGGCGGCAACGTGCACTTCACCAGCTCGGCCCGCGGACGCCACAGCCGCTTCAACGCCACGGCCTCGGGCGACTCGGAGCGCGAGCAGGCCGCCTCGCGCACGGCGTCCTTCTTCCGGCAGGGCAAGAGCGCCGCCGGCGGCCGCGAGATCGGCGTCGGCCAGACACTCTCGCGCGGCGGCGGCAACGCGGATCTCGAGGGCGGCATCCAGATCACCACGATCGAGGAGCGCTACGAGGACCCGCCGGCGCTCGCCATGCTGCCGCACATCTCGCACGCGCACGGCGAGAAGATCGACGAGCGCGGCGCCTACACGGGCACCAACACGCCCACCGGCACGCACCCGTACTCGCTCGGCGCCGAGCAGAACAAGAGTCTCGAGACGACGGGCACCGGCCGCCTGCCGTCGGACGACGACGTGTACGACGACGCCAGCCGCAGCTTCGGCGACGACAAGTGAGCCGCTGCGGCGCCAGCCCGCTCGCCTGTTCCCTTTGTGTTTCCTTCCAGCCTCCGGACACCCTCATTCTCGATCGTGCAGGCATCTCGCATCCTCGCATCTCGCATCATCTTGCATCGCATCGCATCCCCGCACGTCACGCCTTCGCTTAGCGCCTCCTCTGGTCCCCTCGTGTCCCCCACACCATCAAGACGCGGGCCCGCGCCGCCCTGTATTCCATCACGACGCCTCGTCTGACAAGCCATGCTTGCATATCGCTTCTATGTCTGTCGCAGTGAGGTGCGCCTGGCGGAGCCTGTCGTGAGCCGGGGAGATGGGACCTGGAGGCGCAGCTGGCGGCGAGGCGAGTGTTCGCGCGTGCGTCGCCTCAACGAGCTTGCCCGCCACTGCCCGACTGTTGCTATTCGCTGGCATGCGCGCATGAGCAGAGGATCGTGCATCGCGGCGCTCCTCGCGCCGGCTTGCAACGGCGGGAAAGGCATGTCAGTGCCCTCGAGAGCGACGCAGGCAGGCGGTGGGGGCGCAAACGGTGGCTGCTCTCACGTCTGTGGACGTACAGCATGACGGCACGGCGGGCGTCGCACGCGTGCAGCCCCCGCCCTTCACGCGCCCGCGCGACGGCCGCAATTTATCGGCAGAGGATCGCTCGGAGCTGGTATGGGCACTTGAGGGCTTGGCAGTGTGCCGCGATGCTGAACCTGCCGCCTGGTGCTGCCGGCGGCGGTGCTACAGAGGACCGGCAGGGTACACGAATCGATCAACGCTGCAGTCGGCCAGAGACGGTGTCGTGCACGTTGCGCACCTCCTCATATGCTGGGCTGCGCACGGACCTTGGCCTGGTCCTGCTCGCAGCTCAACAGCCACTCAGCCATGGATGTCTTTGTGGGAGCTGCGCTTTGGCGCTGCGATAAGAGCCCGCCTGCATCGCCGATGGCGGCGAGCTCCTCGCCCAGGCGCAGCTGCTGTGCGTTGCTCTCTCGTCTGCGGGGCGCGAGGCGGTGCTGCCGGCCGGCCGCGGCTCGACGAGGCGCAGCTTCACAGCCCGCCGCGGCATGAGCAGGCGCCGCCTCCTCCGTGCCTCGACGATCAGAGAGGCAGCACTGCAGCAGCGCAGAGCGCAGCCACGGCCTCGGGTGCTGGCTCTGCACCGACGGCACCGGCATCTGATTGCAGCCGCTCAACTCTGAGTGCTCCTGATTGAGGGGCACTCTGGCGGCACAGCCGTGCCGAGGGCGATGATGTGCCTGTGCCTAGCGCTGAGGCGCACAGCGCGCAGCTGCGCAACACCGTGCTGCGGGGTCAGCCCAGCTGTGCTGGAGGAGGACCGGCGCGGAGGCTGCACCGCTGTTTGATGTGCCGGATGTGCTACAGCGCCTCAGCACGGGGCAAGCAGCAGCGCAGCATGCTGTCGGACCTCCCTGCTGGCCCGTGCCTCCGCGAGGCATAAGAGAGGCACCTCGACGCCCATCGCCGCTCCTGCCCACCACCTCGTCTGCCTCGACCTCGCCCGACATGTCGCGCTCCCTCGACGCAACCGAGAAGCAGCCGCTGCTCGGCGCCGATGCCACGGCCGCCGACACGCCCCGTCAGTGCGGCTCCTCGCCGGCCATGCAGCGCCTCGGCGCCGTGCTCCGCCATGTGGTGCGCACGGCGCTCGTCGTCGTCTCCGTCGTCTGCGTGCTCAGCCTGCTGCCGCCGCACATCGGCCAGCGCGGCGGCCGCAGCACCGGCCCCGACGCCGCACTGCACGGCTGGCATGGACCGCCGCCGCCGCCGCCTCCGCCGACGGCGCCGCTCGACTGCCATGCGCTGCCGGCCTCGGGCACGCTCAACGTCTCTGTCGTCGTCTTCGAGCCGTGGGCGCGCCTCGTGACGCACAACTCGCTGCGCGGCTCGACGCTCGCCCTGCTGCGCGACGACGCCGCTGCTGCCGACGCCGCTGCGCTCGCCGGCGACGCACGCCGCGCACCCAAGGGCCCTCCGCCCCATGGGCCCGTCGACCTCCTCGTCACCGTCACGCGTGCGGCGGCAGCGGCGGCCGAGCACAAGCCCGAGGCACTCAACATCTGCTCGTTCGGCCTCATCAGCGGCCCGGCCATCGGCATCTTCGTCAGTACCGTGAACATGTGCCGAACGCCGCAGCTGCTAACTGACGTTTCCCTCCCACAGCCCGCGCCGACGGAGCCGGCGGACCTGGCTGCAGCGCACAAGACGCCGGGCGACGGCTTTGGGCGCGTCTATCCCGACATCAGCATCGCCATCCACGCGCCCGCCTCGCTGTCGCTGGCGCTTCTGCCCGATGCGCCGCCGCCGCCGCCTCCGCCGCACCACGGTCCTCCTCGCGGACCCCCGCCGCCGGGTCCGCCGCCCCACGGCCCGCCTCACCGCGGTCCCGGCGGCCCGCCGCCGCCGCCGCCTCGCTGGCCGCCTCACCGTGGTCCTGGCGGCCCGCCTCCGCCGCCGCCGAGCGTGGAGAACTGAAGAGTGCTCGAGCGAGTTCTCGGGCGTGATCCACGCCGCGTCGTCCCTGCCACCGTCCCAGCCGTGCAGTGCACATCGTTTCCCTGCCCTCTTCCCCTTGTATCTGAGCACCCATCGCGATGCGATCGTTGATGAAATGAGAGATCGTTGCTAGCGTCGTCGTCGTCACTCCATTGCGCATCTAGTTCGCCGAGCCGCGGCCAATTGCCTTGAGCCCGGCGCCTTCGGCCAGGACGGGCAGCGCCTCCACTGCACCTCCGTCGGCGGCCGGCTGGCCGACCTCACGCACGGGCCGGTCGAGGAAGCCCACGGCCACGAGCCACGCGAGGTAGGTGGACACGAGGGCCTCGCTCACGCCCATGACGGTGCCTGCGGCTGCGCCCTCGTTGACCGCATCAAGCAGGGCCTGCGTGTGCTGGTCGTCGAGCTCTGGCGACTTCGTCGAGGTAGGGAGGTCGTCGAGCACTGCACAGCAGCGCGTCAGCCTCGCCGAGGGTGCCTCCATGGCCCGGGCAGGACTCACCAAAGTGCAAGAGCGGGAACAGCGCGTTCGCCTCGACCGCCTCGGCCGTGCCTTCCTGTGGCGCGCTCTTGAGCACGTGCTCCTCCAGCTGCGAGCGCCACTGCACGTATTCGGTGCGCTTCGTCTCCCAGCCGTGCCGAGACAGGCCCGAGAGGAGCTCGTTGAAGCGGATAAGCGGATGGGCCGTGACGTGGTAGACGCGTGCGGCGGTTCCAGGGACATCGCCCGCTTCCCGCGCTGTCGCGAGCGCGGCGAGCGCCGTGACGCGCGCAACGTGGTCGACGGGCACCATGTTGATGGTGTTGTGCATGTCAGGCACGAGGCCGAGCTGCGTGCTGCCCTTGACGAGGCGCCAGATGAAGTCGTCCGTGTTCGTCACGGCGCTTCGGCTGTCGCCCACGACGTAGCCCGGCCGCACGATGCTGGCGCGCAGGCCGCGCGCTGCGCACGCCATGACCAGGCGCTCCGACACCCACTTGCTCTGGCCGTAGCCCGTGCCGAGGCCACGCCGGCTGCCGGCGAGGTCGTCCGTCTCGGGCACGCCGGCAAACGGCTTGCCAGCGGCGCTGAGCGGGGCAGCCCCACCGCCGCCGCGGAGAATCGAGTCGGACAGGTTGACAAAGTGATCCGTGTCGAGAGCGGAAGTCGACGAGACGAACGTGAGCGTCTTGGGCTTGCCAGTGGCGCACAGCAGAATCGTCGCAACGGTGGAGAGCACATTGGCCGCGCGCAGCTTAGTGTAAGGGTACACCCAGTGCACCAGGGCACCGTTGTGCACAATGGCATCGACGTCGTGCGCCAGCTGGATCCACTGCTGCTGCGTCAGGCCCAGGCGCTCCTGCGCCAGGTCGCCCACAACAACTTGCAGCCGACCGCTGCTGACCCACTCTTCGTCCCACGCGCCGCGGCCTTCGCCTCCCTCGCGAAGCCGGGCGAGGCCCTGCTCGGCATCGCGCGCTCGCACATGGGCGATCACGCGAGCCACAGAGCTCTTGCGTTGGGCCAGCAGATCGCGCAGGACGAATGCGCCGAGGAAGCCCGTGGCGCCGGTGAGGAGAATAGTCCGATGCTGCGGCGTGGCGGACTCGCTGCGGCCAATGTTGGCCAGGGCACCGCTGCCGACGAACGACTCGGGCAGCGTGCGCAGCAGTGGCTCGACGTCGCCAGCATAGTCGTCCTCCGGGGTCACAGCGGCGGCCGGCACGGCCGCCACATCGCCGGCGGCGGGTGCCGCCGGAATGACGCCCAGGTTGAGATCGGCATCCCGCAGCCGGTCCACCTCAGCGGCCAGACCCTCCGCCGTAGGGTGGTCAAAGACAGCGCCGAGCGGCACACCGACGACGAACTGCTTGCGCATGTCAAACACGAGACGCGTCGCCAGAATCGAGTGCCCGCCGAGGTCGAAAAACGACTCGTTGAGAGGGACCGGTCGAGGGCAAGAGGGCAGGAGCGTGGCGAAGAGCGCCTGGATCGCTGCCTCGGTGGGCGAGGGCGCGCGAGCGTCGGCGTCCGCAGACGCCGAAGGCTCGTCGCCGGAGTCGGCAGAGGATCCGTTGGTCGCAGCAGCGTCGGAGCCCTTCTTGCGCGGGTTCGCCGACATGGCAGCAGACGCCAGAGCGGTGTCCGGGAACGGCAGCGCAGGCTTGTCGATCTTTCCGTTGGGGTTCAGCGGCAGGCGCGCAAGCGGCACAAACAGCGTCGGGATCGAGTACGCCGGCAGCTTCTTCTTGAGATGGTCGCGGATGTCCTTGATGAGCTGACGGTGACGGCGCATGCCGCGCACGAGGCCAGCAGCGGATGTCGAGTCCTTGGGCGCTGCATCTGCGCCTTCGTCGGCGCTGCTGACTTCTTCCAGACTGGCGGCGCCAGGTCCCGGCACGAAGTACGACACGAGCACCTTCTCCTCGTCCTTGTCGCGACGCACAAGCGTCACGTTCTCTCGCACATGCGCGTGGCGCGACAGGTGCGTGTCAATCTCGCCCAGCTCGATGCGGAAGCCGCGGATCTTGACTTGGTCGTCTGCGCGGCCGGTGCACTCGACTGTGCCGTCCGGCAGATAGCGGCCGAGGTCGCCAGTGCGGTACATGCGGTCGCGCACGCCGTGCCAGAACTCGCCCGGCGGCGTGCCCCTGAGCGTGTCGTTGTACTGCGCGCCGGGCGCGAGGAAGTTGCTCACGAACTTCTCTGCAGTGACCTCGGGCGGGCCGAGGTAGCCCTCCGCCAGGCCGCCCGACCGCACGTAGATCTCGCCGACCTCGCCGACGGCACACGTGGCCGTGCGCTCGTGTCGGTTCACGACGAGAAGCTGCACGTCGATCATGCCCTGGCCGGCGGGCATGATGTCCTTCTGCGTCGCGAGGAACGTCGGACGCTCGGCCACCGGCGGGATGGCAAAGTACGAGACTGCGCGCTGCGTCTCGGTGGTGCCGTACATGTTGATGATGCGCACGTTGCGCGCAAGTGCCTGCAGCCGCGTGCAGTCGCGCTTGGTGAGCACGTCGCCAACAAAGAACGCGTTGCGCAGCTCCGGGATGGCCGCCACGGCCTGCGCCGAGAGCAGCTGACCCATCGCAGGCGTCAGATGCGTAACTGTGGCACCCGTCGCAGCCATCCACTCGGCCAGACGACCAGGCGTGCCGATGTCGTCTGGCGTGGGCACGTGCAGCTCGGCGCCGAAGAAGAGCGGAGTGAAGATGTCGCGCTGGATCGGATCGTGCGCAATGCCGCTGAGCATCGTGAAGCGCGACTGCGGCCCGAGGCCGAAGCGCTCGCCCATCCAGGGGAAGAAGTGCGTCAGGCTGTGGTGTCTGCCGCGCACACCCTTCGGAATGCCCGTCGAGCCCGAGGTGAAAGACAGGGTGCCGACACTGTCTGGACCGAGGATGACGCCGGTGCTCTGCGACGCAAGCTTCTGCACCTGCTCGAAAACGTCGGCACCGCCGACAGACGTGGCTCCGCCGCGCACGCCGAGCCCGTCGCCCTGCGACACGAGCTCCAGCGCCGGGACCTCCACGCGCAGCTCGAGCTCCTCCTCGATGCATTTGCGCACAGCCGGGTGCAGCGTGCCCGCCTTGCTCAGCACCACGAGGGCGCGGGGCCTTGCGACCTGCAAGTAGATGTTCTGGCGGCTCGGCGGGTACGCTGGGTCGATCACGCTGAAGGTACCGCCTGCCTTGAGCGTGCCGAGCACGGCCACGACGAGATCGGCGCTGCGATGCGCGTACACCGTCACGACGTCTTCCCGCTGCAGACCGTTCGCCAGGAGGTGGTGTGCCAGGACGTTACTGGCGCGGTCGAGCTCGTCATAGCTGATCTCACGGGTCAGGCTGGCTGGAGCCGGAAGGTCGAGGGCGTTCGGCGGTCCAGACAGCGACTCGATGATGGCGCGGCGCTGCGGGTGGGCAGCGGCATTGCGCTCAAAGATGTGCGTGATGGCGCCCTGGAAGCCGCAGAAGTCAAGGTCCTTGCGCGGATCGGGCAGCACGGCGTCTTCGGCGTGCGTGCGCAGAGCAATGCTGCCCACGAGCATCGAGGGGTTGCTTGCCGCTGCAATGATGACGTGCGAGAGGTGTGCGAGCAGCAGGCTGATGCGCGAGGAGGAGAAGAGCAGCGCGTTGTACGAGGCGTGCAGCGCGATGGCCGGCACGACGGGGCTGCGGAAGCTGTGCGCCGAGGGCGTCGGCGGGCCCGACGATCCCCCACGCAGCGTCGCCGTGCTGCCCGACATGGACGAGGAGGCATCGTCGGCGGGCGCTGCGCCCGGCGGCGTGACGAAGAGCGTCAGGTCCGTCGTGAGGCTGGTGCTCTGCAGGAAGTTGCGCTCCCGGCCCGCCAGCTCGTCGAAGAAGCGCACGCGGAAGATGGGTGCGCTCGGCATGCCGGCGGCCGCAGCAGCGCGGTCCTGCTCGAGGCGCGCCACGATGGCGTCGTAGGGCGCATTGTCGGCGGCGGCCTCGGCCTCGACGGCCTGCACGCGGCGCACAATCTGCCAGAAGGGGTCCGCCGCCTCGATGGGAATGCGCAGGATCAGCGGCGTGCCGTCGAGCGGCGACGACGAGCCGATGAGCAGGTCCGTGTCGCCGGTGTAGCGGTGCAGCAGCACGGCAAACGCGGCGAGCAGCAGGTGGAAGGGCGTCGGCGTGGCCGCGTCGCGCGCCGCCGCCGCCTCGTCGTCGTCGTCGTCGTCGTCCGACGAGTCGGACGCGGCCTCGCCGTCGGCGTCGAGCGCATGGTGGAGCGTGAGGCGCACGAGGCCGTTGCGCGCCTTGGACGAGAGCGTGGCCGAGGTGAGGGCCTGCACGACCTGCGACGACGACGGGCGCGGGTAGTCGGTCGGCAGCGCGATGGCCGGCAGCGACTGGAGGCGTGCGTGCCAGCGCTCGAGGCGCGCAGCGGCCGCAGCGTCGCCAGAGACGGCCATGGCGGCGGGTGTAGTGGGGCAAGAGGAGTGGGTGGTGAGAGACAAGAAGATGCTTCGGCGCGGTGCGCGTATCTGCGAAGCTCTCGCTCCGTCGCAGGAAGAACGGCACGGGAGCAGTGTGCCCGCCTCGCCGCCCCGAGTCACGCCGGCCAGGAGTGGAGAGCCGCGGTCCTGACGGCCAGGCGCGAGGCCTTCGCGCTCCTGATGCCCACTCGCTGCTGCTGCCGCCGGCCCGTGCTGCCACTGTCTCCTCTCCATGTGCGACGGCATCATCCCTGTTGCTCTCAACCTTGGCAGAGTCCAGGTCCGGGCCCGGGCAGGAGAGGGAGCGCTGCGGGCGGGCGTGGGGACAGGCGGTCACGTGCGCCGCGCGTCGCGACGCTTGCTTCTGGCGTCGTGCACGACCACGGCATGGCCCCGACGCAGCACTCTTACTCCGCTCTCGCTCCCTCATCCTCGCCTCTTGCGCGCGTGCGTCCGTGCAGCCACCATCGCTGCCGGCCTGCACCAGCCCTCGCCCCCACCATGGCGTACCCCGCCGCGGCGATGCCCGGGCGCAGCGCCTTCCCCCACTCGCCCGACCCCTTTGCGCCCGACGTGGCGTGGCTCGACGGCCTCGCCCAGCATCCCATCTTCCATGCCGGCGACACGCCGCCCGCGCCGGCGGCCGGGCGCTCGTCTGTGCGCGCCCGCTCGACGCTCGCCCTGCGCGGCACGGACCTCGTCGCGGCCGTCGGCTCCGAGCTGCGCATTGCCAGCCTGGCCGAGGCCAAGCACGCTGCGGCCACGGGCGCCTCGCCCGCCGAGCGTCCGCACCGCGTGCTGGCGCATGCGCTGCCGCCGTTCCCCATTGCCAGCATTGCTGTGAACCCGGCGAACCGCCTGCTGGCCGTCGTCGGCTCGCACCAGGTGGCCGTGCTCGTGCTGCCGCGCTCGGCGGGCTCCAAGGCGCAGGCCGACGCCGCACACTCCCGGGGCGCCGCTCGCAGCGTCACTTGCCATGCCGCACGTGTCGGCGCCTACTACCACGACGAGCACATCGGCCCGCACGCCCGCGTCGCAAAGGTGCTCTGGCATCCGTGGGGCAAGGACGGCACCTCGCTGCTTATCCTCACCGCTGACGGCACTCTGCGGTGAGTTCCCTGCACTGCTGGCGCAGCCGCTCGCACCTTCCTCACACTATGCAGCGAGTACAACGTGTCTGGCGATCTCGACGAGCCGGCGCAGACGCTGGCACTCACCCCGCCGCCGCCGCCCGCGGTCGGGCGCAGCGACAGCCGCGCGGCCGGGCCTTCCCGTTTTGGCGTCGGCTCAGGCGCGGCGCCGGGCAGAGAGTGGGACCCTGCCGTGGGCCTGGCACTCGGCCTCTCGGCTTCGGGCGCCGGCAACAGCGGCGACTGGAGCGCGCTGACCATCTACGGCCTGACGCGGGCTGGAGATGTCTACGGCATCACCCCCTTCCTGCCGGCACAAGCGTGAGTCAGACGCGCACCTGCACCACTGCGCTTCGCTCCTTGCCAGCATCCAGCTGACGACTCAACTCAGTCAGGTGCCGGCTCAGTATCTCTCCGCCCTGAGCACATACACGGCCGAAACTTCCGCAGCTGCGAGCAGCACCTCGCGCACGAGCTCGCTGCGCTACCTGTCATCTCTGCTGCAGCAGCGCGAGTCCACAGCCGCAAACGCGCGTGACGCCACGCCGGCATACCTGCGAGGTGTCACGCCTGCTAGTGGCATGTCGCTGGACGCTGGCCTGCTTGCGCAGGAGCCCGGCGACGACGATGATGGCGACGCTGAAGACGGCGAGATTCGCGTGCTCATTAGCACGCCATCTGGGCAGATGCCAGCACGGCAGGGGCCGTTCCTGCTCGCGCCGGCCCCGCACGAGCTCTCCGAAGTTCGCGAGGCGAAGGCCAGTGACATGACTGTGCTTCGGGTGCCGGCCAGTCCCGTCGAGGACGGCGACACAGCATTCGCGGTCCTCGCCATCGTGTCGGACGACGGCAGGGTGGACCTGGGAGTGCTCCCGTCGATCTTTCCACGATGGGGCGGGGGCGCGCGCACAAAGGCGCGCAAGATGGGTCGCTACGGCTTGGTGCGTGCTGGCATGCTTGTCTGCATGGCCGTGCTGACTGAATTTTCTGTTAGACGGACGACGAGGATGACGAGTCGTTCGACGAGGACGAGGAGGGCGAGCTGCCTGCGGTCCTGATCTACGAGACGATCGACCTGGGCCTGCTCGCAGATCTGACGTCGTCGGGCCTCGGCGATGCTTCTTCGGATCCCGAGAGACTTGAACGGCTTCTTGGTGCGCATGCACCCGCCTTCGTGCCTGATCTTCTTTACAGCGACACGGTCTACGTGCACCACTCTCTTGGAGCGCACGCGTTGTGCATTGGCACGTGGGCGCGCGACCTGCTGGACGCGATGAACACTGCCGCCGATGCCACGCCCGGCAGAGGCCTCGGTGCGGACGGCGAGCCGCAGGTAGAGGATCGCCAAGGCGCAGTGGCGCGGGTTCTTCACCGCGCAGAGCCTACGCAGGTGGTCTGGGCGGTCAAGACGCCAGGCTTCGACGCTCGCGAGCAGCGCCACACGCCCATCTGCGGGCTGTGCATCATCAGCGACGTGTATCTGTCCTACGCGCTCCTGGCTGTTGCAGCGCCCTGCACGCCGGTGGCCTTGGAGCTCAACATGCGGGTGCCCGAGGAGCTCGAAGCAGTGGCGCAGGATCACGCCGAACATGCGACACGCGGCCTCGGCGACGCAGGTCCAGCGCAAGGATACGTTTCGCTGCTCGGCGACGGGCCGCCCTTCGCCGTGCCGTCGCTGTTCCGCAGCGGCTCGACACTGCCAAACGCCCCGCGCGTCATCGCGCGCGGCGGCGAGGTCGAGATCACTCCGGACACCCTGCGCGAGCTCGGCACGACTGCAGAGCGGTTGCGGGACCAGATGCGGTCCGTAGTCAGCGCCGGCAACGTCGTGCAAGGGCGACTGGATCTGCAGCTGCGCGAGATGTCGCGGCAGCTCGAGCGCCTCGCCGACGTGCGCCGGCGATGCCGCGGCAGCCGCGCGGACGGCGGAGAGTCGCTCGAGGCCCGTCTCGCGCGGGTGCATGCACGGCAGCACGCGCTCGTCGCACGCACAGATCGCGTCCTTCAGCGTCTGATGGACGCGCATCAGCCCAGCCTCAGCATGTACGAGCGCAAGTGGTTCGACGAGCTGGCGGGCCTGGCGGAGGAGATCGGCCTCAAGGGGGAGGCCGACGAGCAGCCTACCGGCCTGTCGGCTCAGGCGGACAAGGTGAGTGAGCCTCTGCCATACTCGTGCGGCCCACGGCCTGACGCGCCGCGCTCAGCTCGACTACCAGCTCTCGCACCTGCGGCCCTCGCTCATGGCGCTGCAGGCGAAGGGGCATCCTTCGAGCGGCGAAGGCCCGCCAGGCGCACTCGGCAGCTCGCAGCTCCAGGCCATGGAGCGCATGCTTGCGCAAGAGTGAGTCCCTACTCCCGGCTGCTCGCCAGCGACAGTCATGCTGACCTCGACGCATCGCAGAGCCGCGCTGCTGCTCGAGGCTCGCACGAAGGCGCGTGCGCTGTCCGCTCACGTTGCGCAGGCTGCCGGGCACTGAGACAGCGCGACTACACTCCCGCCCGTTCGCGGCCATTGTGATGAACGTGCTGCCCCCTTCCTTCTGTGGCATCCGCCCATCGGCGGCAGCGACGCGGCAACGGCAGTGCGGCGCTCTGGCTGCGTGTGAACCGCAGCGTCGTGCCGGGCAGCACGCTGCATCGCGGCACTGCGGCATCATCGTGTCGGAGGGCTCGTCCTGCCTCCTGCAGCGGAACAGGACTCAGCTCTGCAATGTGCCGCGACGCAAAGGGTTGGCACGCATCCTCTGCGTGCGTCATGCAGACAGCCTGTAGTTGCGCGAAAACGCGGTGGCCAAGCACGATCGGCCGAAATTGATGTATGCTGCAGCATGCGCCGCTGCGCTTTTTAAACGCGCGAAGCTGCGAGCATGCGGCCGTTTTCGTTGCCTGCTCGCGATTTGTCCCGCCCAGGCGCTCAGCACGCGCAATGCCTACCAGTAGCGCAGTCATCCACCCCAGGAAGCGGTACGCAGCGGCATGCCTGCCTGCCTACGCCAGCGAGCAGACGGGCAGCGCCTGAGCACACGCCCGAGATGAACGTCTCTCACTCCGCATGCGCAGGTGCTGCTCGACACTGGAGCTGACGCACGGTCGGAACAGATGACATTGCCCTACTGCCACGTCCGACGCTGCGTTGCTTGATCGGCAGACGCTACACGCATGCGCAGCGACGGCTGGCGGGTGAAGCGCGAGTGGTTCTGGCTGCTGACGCGGCCCTGGGCCTCTGGACGCGAATCGGGAAGCGCCGCCTCGAGGTGCTGGCCTGCTCTCGCCAGATGCGCTGTAGGCGGCTGACCAGCAGCCCAGACAAGCGATTTGTCGCCGGCAGAGCCGGTCGATGACACGCTCAGCTGCGGCGAACGCGTCTTGCGCAGCGCCGCGCCGGCGTTGCTCATGCCGGCCGCCGCGGCCTGCGCGTGCCAGAACGGTGCGACGTTCTGAGGCGTGGCCTTGGCGGGATCCTGGGGCTGCCGTCGATGCGTCAGCGAAAGAGCGAAGCCCAGCAATGGCTAGGTGCATCTGAAGCCAAGACGCACACGCGTCGAGTAGAACGGCGCCTGAGACGCGGAGAGCGCGCTGACCTGCGGTGCCGCCGCGGCGGCGAGCTCTGCAGCCGCGGAGTACGGCTTGCCTCCGAGTCCAGGCCGGGTACGGACGTCCTGCCGAAGCTGTGCCTCGTGCTGCGTCTGTGGCGCAACGACACGGACGTCAGTGGGAGGCTGGAGCAGCCTCCGGCTCCGCCCGCGATGCCCACCTTGAGTCGAGCGTACTCCTTGTTCGCCGTGCGGAGAGAGTCGCCGAGCTCCTGTCGCTTGCGCCGCTCCACCTTGGCATCTGTGTCTTGCCATCAGCGACACTGACGCTGACGTGAGGCGAAGGCGAAGCGTGCTGACCGGCCTCTGCGCCTGATGGCGACGTCTGTGTGAGCAGCGACCAGAGTGCGAAAGCCGGCCAGCTCACGCGCTAGACGGTCGTTGAGATGCGCCACCTCCGTGTTTGCTGCGGTCCGGGGTGGTCAGGGCCGGTCGTCAGGCGTCTGGTCTGCGACGGAAACCTTCCAGAATGATGCTGAGGTGCGCAGGAAGGGTCAGCGGGGCGCAGCGGCTCAATGAAGGCGGAGGCCTGACTTGTGGACGCGCTTCTCCAGCACCGCGTTGCGCTGTGCAAGCTAGGTCAGCTCAGAGGCGACGTGCGGAGGTGGGCCGGGGCATCACCTCTTGGACATTGCGCAGGAGCAATGCCTGGAACGCGGCCTGTGGACGGGCGGTGTGAGCAAGGGTAAGCTCACCCGACGGTCTACGGACCTCCTGTGTCGTTTGGTACTGGTAGAAGCTGCGTGCGGGGGTCAGCCGCCGTGCCCAGCGAGCAACGTGTGCCGGTTGGTACCTCATCGCGCGAGTGCAGATCTCCCTGGCAGGTGGGCGGGTTCAGTGGCGACCGTGGCCTGGCGCAGGACGGCTCACATGATGATCGGCGGCGCCAGGCCAGCGAGCACGCTCTGCAGCGCTGGTGTCAGCACGCCGCCATCCGGCGCGCAGCACGACGGACCGAGCGGTAGTCGGCACTCGGTGCGAGGCTCGAGACGACGACGTCGTCGGGCTCGGCGAGGCTCGCGCCGCACGCGGGGCAGACGCGCGCCGCCGTGAAGAGGTCGGTGGCGCACTGCACGCAGAAGATATGGCAGCACGTCGTGACGACGGCCTTGCCTGGCACGGGGCCGGATAGATGAACAGGAGCGTAGCAAGGGCCGGGAACGGGCTGCGCGCACCCTCAAGGTCGAGGCGGCGCCGGCAGCGCAGCACGTTGCAGTGGAAGCCTTCCTCCATGGCGGGGCGTGTGTGGCTGCTCTCACGGCTAGAGAGATAGGAGTTGCGTCGGCGGGAACAGTATGCTGTGGTGGATTAGGGACGGTCGTGGTGGTGGGACGAGAGAGGGCGAGTGAGGCAGCAGCAGCAGAACAGGCGGAGGCTGCGCAGGCGGCGGGGCGCATCGGGCAATGCCCAACACGGCAGGCCCGATCAGGACGCGCAGCAGCTCGCGCGAGCAAGCAGCGACAGCCGCATCAACATGCGATGGCTCTGCCGCGCGGGTGGGCGCATGTCTGTGCGATTGCTGGCGCAGGCAGAGCTTGCGGCTGCGGCCGGTGCTGATGTTGCCTCTGTGCCTCTCTGCTGCTGCTTCTGCTGCTGCTGAGGGCAAGAGCCCTGAGAGCTGGCTTGACTAGACTTCGGCCGCCGTGCGGGCTGCTGCGGCCTCTGTGCTGGTGGCCCGTGCAGCGACGGTCCGCCGCGTGCTGCCGTGAGCGGCGGCGCGCGCGGCGCGCGCGGCGCCACGGCGAACTTGAAGGTGCACGACTGCCGGCCGCTCGTCACTCACGACCACCACCATCTCCTGTTCCCCGGCTCTTTCGGCCGCATCGCCGCTGGCCTTGTCGCAGCTTCCGCGCGGCGCCGACTTGCGCCGCGCTGCACAATCAGAATGGCTGCCTCGCCAGCGATCGCGTACTACCTGGCGCCCCATGCCGGCGCGCCGTCTGCTCGCAGCGGGAGCCCCAGCACCGCAGCGCAGCCGCGGACGATTCACCTGCGCCTTTCACACGACGTCGTCGCGCAGCTTACGAGCGAGCAGGCACCGTCGCTGTTCTTAAATCTAGACCCGTCTGTGTCCGTGAGTGGCTGTGCGGCCAGTGTGGCCCCGACGGCGGGACGGCGCCCGGCCCAGCATGCGTGCGGCGCGAGCCACACGCTTGCTCGGGTGCATGCCGGCCCAAGCACGGTCGCGCCAGCTCACGCGCATATGCCCACCCCACTCAGTCGTTGATCATTGATGGCGTCTCGCATGCTCTGACACGCGCAGAGGAGACTTCGCCGCACGACCTCTATCTGGAACCGCGTGCTGAAGCCTCACCGGACGACGCCACGCCTCGATTGCTTCGGCATGTGGGCTCGATTGGCTGCAAGCTGTCGCTGCGACAGTCGCTGGCGTCGTCGGGTACCGCCGCGTCTCGTCTCAAGGAGCGGCGCGGCGAGGAGGAAGCGAAGCGCGACGCAAATCGCGCCGTTCTCCTCGACGGCAGCTCGCTGCTGCGCACCCGGCAGAGCGCCAGCACCGCCTCGCTGCGAGCGAAGCGGCCGGAAGCCGGCCCTGCGGCGAAGCTGCGCAGCAATCTCGGCCTGGCGGGAGCGAGCCGCAGCGATAGTGCTCGGCCTGGGCACAGTGCGGCGGCCAGTCGTGCATCGACGCCCGGCGGCGGCAGCAGCCTGCCTGGGAGCCCGAATGTGCCCACTTCGCGAATGGCGGGCACGGGCAGCCGCCCAACGCATCCTAGTGCCATCACTCCGCTCTCGACGCCGCGCATCAGTGACTTGGACAAGCAGGGCGAGGGCAGTCCGCCGAGCTTGCGAGTGAGACTCATTCAGCTCCTTGCGCCAGGGCCGCTGCCACGACGGAGAATAGTCGCGCAGCTCAGAGCTCCCGAGGCACAGATCCTCAAGCTACTCAGCAACCATGCACATGCACCAGCACATCTTCAGAGCGCCGGCAGTGCCAGCCTCTCGTCGTCGCGCAAGTTCCAGGGCCCAGTCAATCGGCGTGCCGGCGGCAAAGCTGCTGCTTCACCAGCGTCCGGCGCGACCGGCATCGGGCCCGGCACCATGTTCGCCCTGTCAGACACTGCTTACCTCGATGCACGTCTCGACTGGCCCGACTACGATGCCAGGACTCGCGTGCAGGTCAGCGATGCAGCCGAGGCGGCATTTGACCGCATGCATCTGCCGACCGACGCCCTGCCGCGGCGCCATCTGTATCCTGATGGCCGCCCGACAGCAGAGACGAGAGCGCAGTGGGAGCGAGAGCGTCTCGCTCGTGAGGCCGTCGAGAAGATGGACGATGGTCACGATCTGAGCGATGCAGCAGAGGACGAAGCGGAGGAGGGCGCACTGGAAGACGACGACGCGTCAAGCAGCGTGGCGGACGTGAGCGAGTATCGAGGCTCGACTGACGCGTCGAGCTCTCACCGCATGGGACCGAGCGGTCAGGACACCGCTGACGTGCAGGCGCTCGGCGACCTCCGACGAGCCGGCCGCACGGCACTTTCGCCGCAGACGCTCAGCCCGCTCAAGGGACTCGGTCTCTCCGGTGCTCCGGCGTCTCCGTCCGCATCACATCATGCTCTTGAGCCCGGCGTCGAATCGGCAGACGACGGCTCAGACGATGTTTCCGCCAGGACGAGAAGTGCGCGGAGTGCCGGCGCGTCGACCAAGAAGCGAAAGAGCGGGTCTGCGCTCGACAGGCTGAAGAAGGCGGTCAAGAGCAAAGGTGCCACACCTGTTCAGCGCACTCGCGAGCTCGAGCGAGCCAAAGCCCGGAAGGACAAGGAGGAGACTTTCAAGGCCGCTGGCTCATCCGCATTGCCGGCGAAGCGCATCGAGAAGAGTGCGGCCTCCAGCTCGACGAGCGCAGCGACGCGATCCTCATCAAGCTCAGACAGATTGTCTAGCGAGCAAGGTCAGCTCGCCGAACAGCTGGCTGTGCGCACATCGATGCGGCAAGCTGGAGACACGACTGCCGCATCCAGGCCAGGCGCGAAGCAGAGCCTGTCTGCCAGGGCATACACGGATTCGGAGGACGAGGTGTCTGCAAGTGGCGGGCGCGCATCGAGCTCAAGCAAGCAGCTGCGGCCCTCGGCCGGGCGGTTGTCTCGGAGCGCAGAGCGGGCATCAGGCTCAACGAGTCCGACCGCCTCGGCGCACCTCGCTACCGGTGGCGACCAGCGTCGCAGCGGCCTGCCGGAGCAGCCGCGCTCGTCGATGGCCGGGCCTACGCGCCACGGTGTCGGCCTCGGTGCCTCCCAGTCGACAGAGCCGTGGCTGGACGTGCGCAACTCAGCAGACTGGACCCGGCTGCGCGAGCGCTTCTCCAGGGTGTACGCCGAGTACAAGGCCGGCTGGGAGCATATACAGGGCGAGCGGCGCGCTCTGCAAGCGGAGCTGGCAGCCGCAAAGGGCGACGGGCCTCTGACTACGAGCCGCGATGGCATCGCGCCGCACCACATGCCGCCGGCCGTGGGTCCGCAGCTTGTGCCGCTTCAGCAGGAGCGAGGTGCATCGGCCGGCTACGCCTGGCGTCATTCCTTGGCGTCGACGCCGCAGAAAGGCCCGCTGTCGTTCGAGGAAGTGACGATTGCTTTGCAGCGGCAGGTGAGTGCAGCGACGCGGTAGCGACGCGCAATGTGCGCGCTTAGCTCACGCCACACGACCGTCCTCTTCCGTCTGCGCCTCGACAGACCGAGCTGCAAGGACAACTGCAACGCATGAAGACGGCGCTGCAGGAGAGCAAAGAGCGCATACAAGATGGAGAGCGGCCACTGCAAGTCCGCTGACGCGCAGCGACGCTCTGTCACGCCATGGGGGTCTCTCTCGCGGGCACCCAGCTGATGCGGCAAGAATGGCATTGGCGTGGTCAGACGGTCAGACAGCCTAGCCTCTGGCAGGGAGTGATTCGTCAAACAGGGCGAGCAGGCTCTTGGCCCTGTCGGCGACGTCTCGCTCGGGATCGTCGGCGAGGGGTCGCAGATGCACGTCGTACTCGAACGCGCGCAGGCGCGCGAGCGCGTCGGCTGCGATGTCGCCTGCCGGCAGAGCTGCGTCAGTGCGCTGCGGTCTCCGAGTGCGGCCCTATGAGCCTGCTGCGCGCGCGGCGCTCCGAACTCACTCGTGCTGGTGCGAGAGGTGCGGATCGTGAGGTTCAGCGCGGCCCAGACACTTGCAAGCCGGATCTCGGCGGTCTTGTGCGTGAGGAAGTACAGCAGCGCCTCGATCAGGTTCGGACGGTCGATGATGCTGCGCCGATGCGACTCGGAGCCTGTTGCAAGGTTGACGAGCACGTAGGCGGCCTGCTCGGTGATGGCCGAGCCGCGCTTCTGCCACACAACGGCCTCCAGCAGGTCGAGCAAGCGCTGGGTGCCGAAGCCGCGCAACGTGAGATCGATGTCGGCCTCGCGAGAGGAGGCCACGTTGCGCATGATGCTCAGCGCCTGCTCTTGCGCCGCCTCGTCCGTGCCCGCCGTGTCGAGCGCCAGCTCGGCGACGTAGTCCCAGCCGAGCGTGTCGAGCAGCGCCCGCTTTGTCTCGGTCTCGCTGCTCCAGAGGATGTTCTTGAGCGCCCACAGAGCGTTGAGGCGCATTCCCCCCGAGGCGGCGCTCTGTGCGAGCTCAATGAGCTTCGCGACGCCGCCGCCGTCTACGAGGAGCTGCTTCATCGGCGCAAACTTGAGGACCAAGTTGCAGATGGTCGCGGTCGCCTCCTGCTTGACCTCGGCATCCTCCGCGTCGTCCTTGAGGATGCGGATGAGCTGGTCCGCCACGCCAACATCGACCAGAGACGTTCGCAGAATGGAGATGGACCGCGACAGGGCTCGCACAAGGCGGCACGCGGCCACTCGGATGCCGAGGTCTGAGGCCGTCAGGCTGGGCACGATCAGCGGCAGCAGCGCCGGCGACGTGGCATCGACAATGGCGCGGCGGATTTCATCGCGTTGGAACGCGAGAGCCGCGAGGGCGGTCAGAGTCGCCTGCAGAGGGTCAGCATGTGGCATCGCGCGCGGCAGCAGATGTGGATAGACTCACCTCTCGGAGCCGAATCACTCCGTCATCGCTGGGCCTGCCCTCGGCGCCGCTGTCGTGCGATGCGACTGCTGTTCTGGTCTTGTGCAGCAGAGCGCCGAGTCGGCGCACGGCATCGTACTGCTCGGCAGCGAGCATCTGCAGCTCTGCGTCGTCGGCGACGAGACGCGCGAGCGTGAAGGTGGCGGCAATCTGCACCTCGCCAACCTCGTCGGTGAGCTCGATTATGACAGAAAGAACACACTCGTGCGTCTTGGCGGAGAAAGGGTGGACCTTGAGAAAGTTGACCAGGCTGAGGCGAAGGAGGGTGTGAGCGAGCCCTGCGGTTGTGATGGTGCAGCTCTACTGACCAGCTCATCGCCGCCAGACGGACAGGGGCAGACGGCTCCTTGGCGAGATTCAGCAGCATTGCCGTGGGCAGGTGGCCGGACGGCGCTTAGCGGGCGATGAGTTCAGCCCAGCTGCCCGCGAGCGCGTGCGGCGCGTGACTCACTGGGACAAGTAACGAGTCTCTGAGTGGTGCCGATGTCCTCGCACACCAGCTCCGCCAGCGCCCAAAGTGCAGCTTCTTGCGTCTATGATCCGCAGTGTCAGACGAGTGGGCACGCAACTGCAAGGCGTTTCGCAAGGGCGCACGCATTTGATGCGTTGGCACAACACGGCTCGCCGAGACTCACCTTCTCAAAGCCGCACTCTGCGCCCTCGAGCAGCACACGCAGCACACCGGCCCGCGCTCTGCTCTCGTCGTCACTGCGCAACCGTGTGCTGCGTCCGCGCTCGTGATCACGCTCCCGCTCGGCACTTTTGCCGCGCTGCACTACCCGGGCCTGGGGCGCCGCGGCGCTGCTCGGTGTTGGCTGCATGCCGACGTCGCCGTCCGCGTCCACATGCTCGTGCGCGTGCTGCGAGGTGCCGGATGAAGTACCGGCGGCGGAACGCGCCCTCATCTCGGACTCCTCCGCCAGGCTCGCCGAGCCTCTCGCAGCGGCCGGCCGGAAGCGCAGCACGCGCGCCTTGCGCAGGGCAATCTCGCTTGCGGCGTCGGCGTCCTGCTGTGCCGCAGCAGCAGCACCCGAGGCACTTTGCGACGGAATCCCGATGCAATTGCCAAGGATGGCAAAGACGAGATCCGCAAGCCGCAGCGGCGGTGGCAGTGAGGTCGCGGGCATGGCCGGCGCCGAGCACACGGGTGAGGAGGAGCGCGGCGTGCTGGGCCCAGCCGTGGCGCTGCCTGGCCGCACGAAGATGCGCGAGGCATTCGAGGCGGGCATGGCGCGCGTCGGCAGCGGCGGCGCCGCGAGCAGCGGGGCGAGCCAGAGTGGCAGGCTCGCATCGGCGAAGAGCAGCTGCACGGCCGTGCGTGCGAGCGGGAAGAGCGAGTCGGCAGGCGCTGGCGGCAGCGCCGGCGTGCGCGCCGAGAGCGCCAGCGGCGTCGCGTGTGCGCGCGGCCCGGGCAGCAGCAGCGTGCGCAGGGCGCCCGAGAGCGCCTTGAGGGCCCGCAGCAGCGCCTCGAGGGCGTGTGCGGCCGCCTGCGAGAAGGGCGGCGCCAGCGCGGCGAGGGCATGCAGCAGCGCCGCCGGCAGCGCCGCACGCAGCAGCGCCAGCAGCGCCGGGCGCGGACACGCGTGCGCCAGCGACGAGAGGATCGTGGCTGCGAGCGCGACGAGGCTCAGCGACTCCTCCGTCGGCGCGAGCGAGAGGACGGCGATGATGCTGCACGGGAGCGGTGCGTGAGCATGCGCGAGGGCGGCAGCGGCACAGCCTGACTCCAAAGCGGCAGCTCTTGTGCGGCGTACTGCGCGGCCCGGCCGCGCTCCCTGGTCTCGCGACTCCACTCACGCGGGCACCTCGCCGCGCGCGACGAGCTCGGCCTTGCGCGTGCGGCTGCCGATGAGGCGGTTCTGCAGCCGGCGCAGCGACGCAGCCGTGTACTGCGTGCCCGCAGCGGCCGCGTCCAGCGCCGGCGGCGGTGCGGCGGGCGACTGGCGCAGCTCTGGCGGGGCGGCGGCCATGGTGCGGGGAGGGGATGGGCGTGGGAAGGACGAAGCTTGGCGGAGGGCTCCCTCGGCCGCGCGCGCGGCGGCGTGAGGCAGCAGCAGGGCGCGGCGCGCGATGCAGCCCAGACGCGCGGGCCGCCACGGCGCCGCGCGGCGCCGCCCAACGCCAGATGAGCGCCGCGCTGACGCTCCGTCGGACGCCCAAGGTCATCTCAGCCGAGCATGACATGTCGAAACGCAGCGATCCGGAAAGGTCCAGAAGCCGATGCTGGAGTTCGCTGTCTTCCGCGGCTCATTCGCCTCACGCGGTTCAGCGCGGCGCCTTGCTGCTCCATGTCGACGACACAAGAGCGGAGTCGACGCCACCACCGCAGCGCGTCGTCGTTGCAAACCCGGGTGGGGTCTGCCACCGCTTGGACAACAGCCTCGTGCAGGGACAATTTGCCTCCAGTGCCAACACGAATTATGACAGGTTCAAAATGCCCTCTTCTGCGAGCAGAGACCCTTGGGCGCCAATGCCGAGGCGCCGCAGCGTCGCGCGCCGCTGCTGAAGCCAGAGGCCAACAGACTCAAAAGACACATCCGCGCAACCCTCTGCCGCCTCGGTGCTTGGGCCTGAGTGTCCGCAGTTGCGATGGCACGTCGACGAGACCGAGGCTTGCCATACATTCAGCAGCAGGGGTCATGGGACTGTGCAGCGCTGCTGGTGAAGTGATGCCCCTGAGAGCAGACGCGCAAGCAGAGAAGCTAGGCTGCAGAGAGCCGGCAGCAGCGATCAACAGAATCGTCCAAAGCATGCGCCCGTTGCGTCAGACCGATGCAGAGGGCTGCGGGACCCCTCCGAGCTGACGGCCAGCGGCACAGTCTCCCTGCCGCGCAGGGCGGCGAGCCCTTGTGACGGCTCGTACCGTGGGCGCATCGACGCTCCGCCTTGTCCACGCCCAGCGGCCTACAGTACACGTGCGACGGCGAGAGGCGATCAGGTGCAGAGCGCAGTGGCTGCAGGCCGGCGGTCCATGGCGGTGGCATGCGCGCTGCAGCCGCGGCACGGTGCGGCGTCTGACGGGCACAACAAGCCGCAAGGAAGCACAGCGTGAGGTGCGAGCCTTGCTGCGTCTCGCGCTGCTCTGCGGCGATGATCTGCGCCGTGCCGCGGCCGGCACTGATTTGGCACTCCGCCGCCGCCGCCACAGCCGCGCGGTACCGTGCCCGCAGCAGCGGCACGCCGCATCACGCGCATCGCAGCCGCAGCGGCCGCCGCCGCAGCATCCAGCGCAGCGCATCTCCCTTCCTCTTCATGCTTCTTTTGATCCTGCGGCAAATCCTGCGCCGGCGCTGCCTGAGACGCATCTCGGCCATCCGTGCACGCCCACCCCGCCACGCACGCGCTCGGCGCCGTGCGTGGCCACGGCAGCCGCGCACGCCCAGACCCTGTCGCGGACTGCGGAGGCCAGAGGCCACGTGCGGCACGTCCCCGCATCCCCGTGGCCAGCGCCACAGCGGCCGCCGGGCAGAGCATCTCGCATGCTGCACGCCGTCTGCCCGCAGGCAGGCGCAGCAGGTCGCTCGGGCTCCGCAAGCTTTCAAGCCGAAGGAAGCCGCCGGGCGCCAGGCTGCAGCAGCCGCAGGGCGCTGCTGCGGCAGCGGCGAGGCAAACACGGAGCTGCAGAGATGCAGCGCTGACGCAGGCGGCAGATGATGCACCTGGCGTGCTCCCGTGCCGACGTGCCGTGCGCCCCATGCGCGCCGTGCCGCTCGTCTGGCGCGCCGGCGCCGGCGGCCCCTGAGCACGGCGCCGCCGGCGCTCGACGCTGCGCTCAGCTCATCGTCGGCGAGTGCAGCGCCGCAGCGCCGCCGCACGCCAGACCTGCACGCCTCTGCGCCTGCACACCGACCGCCGGCAGGCGTCTCCCCGCACCCGTTTTGGGCGGTGTGGCGTGGCATCGGGGAGCACGCAAGTGCGGCGTGCCTCGTTCCAGAACGCGGCGTCGGGCGCAGGTCCGCCCGGGCGTGCACCCGGCCCCGCTCAGCCGTCAGCACCCTGCGCCGAGAGCTCGCTGGGGCCCCGCCATCGCTGGTGGGCGCTGTCAGCAGGGAGCGCAGCAGTGCCTGCCGAGCGCCGGCACACTGCAGGATCGCCGTCAGGCCGCTGGTTCCTGAGCATTGCTCGCCGTGCCTGCCACGCTCAGCTGGTCCTTAAAGAGGGACATGCAGCCGCACTGGGCTGTCGGGCGCATCGCCGTGTTTCCCCCTCTCCCTCGTCCTGGCGCTCCGATGGCCCGGCCATACCTGCTGCCCAGCCCCTTTGGCGCCGCTCCCTCTCCTCCCGCAGGCGTGCGCACTCTGCCCGACATCTTCGCCCACCGCGCCCGTTTGCAGCCCGGCGCGACGTGCTTCTCGTTCCAGGCAGACGGAGACGTCACTCGTGCAGCGGCGCAGCTGACATATGGAGAGGCGCTCGAGATCGTTCTTGAGACGAGCTCGCATCTGCGCGAACGACTCGGCGCAGCGGCGCAAGCTCCGGTCGTGGCGGTGTGGCTCGAGAAGTCGCTTGAGCTTCCGCTGGCGGTCCTAACCGCCACATTCGCTGGTGCGACCTGGCTGCCGTTCGACCACGATGCCCCTGCTGCCCGTGTCACCGTGTGCATGCAGGATGCCGGCGTCTCCGTCCTCATCTGCGACGAAGAGCACGAGGCCCGGGCGCGAGCCGCTGCCTCGGCCGCCGCCGGCAGCCCGATCGAGGTCCACACTTTTGCGCAACTGCGAGCCAGCGCTGCTCGCACTCCCGCGCGGACACCCGCTCCCCGGCCGTCGGAGGATGCCACCGCCTATATCATCTGTATGTGCAGCTCGGAAGCCCCGCGCCTCGCCAGCTCACACGGCAGCGCAGACACCAGCGGCACCACCGGCACGCCCAAGGGCATTGCTATTCCCCACTCGGCGGCGCTGCGCTTCCTCCTCAGCGAGAATGCCGGTGAGTGATCACGGAAGCCAGCAAACGGCCCCGTGCTGAAGCGAGCATCACGCGCAGTGCTGGGCATTCGGGCCGACGACGTGGTCTGGGCCGGCTTCTCGCCCGCGTTTGACATGTGGGTCGAGTCGGTGTGGATCGCGCTCGCCGCCGGTGCCCACGTCGTTCTGGGCAGCCGGTCGCAGTGCCTCGACGTGACGTCGCTTGGAGGAGCCGACGGCGTGTGGGCGCAGCGCGGCGTCACGGTGGTGCACGCGGTGCCCTCGCTCATGGGCATCCTCACGATGGACGAGTCGAGCGCGTCCGGCTCGGAGCTGCCGCGCTGCCTCCGCCTGGTGAATCTCGGAGGCGAGGCCTGTCCGCCGGCCCTCGTCGCGCGCCTCTGGCGGCCCGATTTGCGCCTCTGGAACACGTACGGGCCCACGGAGACGACGGTGTCTTGCACGATCGCCGAGCTGCGGCCACACGAGCCGGTGACCATCGGTGCGACGCTGCCGGGCTATACCGGTCTGCTCCTGCCCATCGACGACGGCGAGGGAACTAGTGCGAGGCGCGCGTTGGAGCCGCTTCGCCCGGCGCCTGGCACGGAAGGCGAACTCGTCATTGGCGGCCCGTGTGTCGGTTCCGGATACGTCGGCCGCCCGGCGCTGACGGCCGAGAAGTTCATCGTCATCGACGGGCAGCGGTGCTACCGGACAGGCGACCGCTGCCGTCTGGACGGCCAGGGGCAGCTCGCCTTCCTCGGTCGCATCGACACGCAAGTCAAGCACCGTGGCTTCCGCATCGAGCTCGGCGAGATTGAGGGGCAGCTGTGCAGTCAAGCGGGCGTGCAGGCTGCGGCAGTCATTCTGGCTGGTCCAGAGGGCTCGCAGCGCCTCGAGGGCTACGTTGTGCGGCAGCAGGGATCGAGCGGGACCGCCGGCTTGCGAGAGGGGCTCAAGGCCTCCCTGCCGTCGTACATGATCCCCGAGGCCTTCTTTGAGCTCTCGAAGGAGGAGATGCCGCGCCTGCCGAGCGGCAAGATCAACGCAAAGGGACTCCACGACATCTCGGCCAAAAGGCGTGCCCAGGAAGAGGCTGCGCAGGCGCAGATCTCGGCAGCCAAGTCCGTCGCAAGCCAGGAGTCCGGCAATTTAACGCTCGACCGCATTCTCGACGGCCTGGCGAGTGTGTTCCCTCACTGCAAGCAGGTGCTCGCGCAGGACGACATCTTCGACGATCTTGGCGGCCACAGTCTCGTCTGCGCGGTGCTCGTGTCGCGCCTGCGGTGCCATCCCGGTCTGAAGCAGCTCGGCCTGGCGGACATCTACGAGTGCCGCACCGCGGAGGCAATCGCAGCGCGCTTCTCGGATGTCGATGCGGCCTCCGAGTTCGACGAGAAGACGACGCTGAGCGCTGCTGCCCCGCCGCGCGACAGGCCCGTCTCGGCGCTCCGGCATGCCCTGTGCGGCACGGCGCAGCTGCCTGTCATCCTTTTCCTCTTCTTCATCGTCTCGCTCGAGATCCTCATGCCCTATCTCCTCTTCGACTTTCTGCTCTCGTACGGCGTTGCGTCCGCCATCTTTGGCGCCTACGGCGTGTTCGTCGTGCTTCCGCCTGCGGTGGCGCTCTGCGGCGTGCTGGGCAAGTGGGCGTTCCTCGGCCACGCGCGCGAGGGCTCGCATCGGCTGTGGGGCTTCCAGTACTTTCGCTGGTGGGCAGCGGACCGCTTCACGGACCTTGTCCCGGTCAAGGTGAGTGGTACGACGGTTTTCATGCTCGCGCCGGCGCTGACCAAGCCCTGCAGGCAATCGCCGAGTCACCGCTGTATCCCACGATGCTACGCCTGCTCGGCGCCAAGATCGGAGCGCACTGCCACCTGGGGCACATGCAGATCGGTGCAGCGGCAGACCTGGTCAGCATCGGAGACGACGCCGTTGTTGGGTCCGACGTCGTTCTGAGCGTGTCCGTCGTCGACGAGACCGGCCGACTGGTCATGCGGCCCGTTCACATCGGCAACGGCGCATCGATTGGCTCGAACTCGCTCCTCGAAGGCGGCAGCCGCGTCGAGGACGACGGCGAGCTCGCGCCCATGTCGATGCTGCCCAGTGGCGCGACGGTGCCGTCCGGAGAGCGATGGTGCGGCAGCCCTGCGCGTTTCGAGCGCCTCGTTGCCGACGTCGGCCACGGCAGGGCGAGCCGGCCGTCGTTCTGGCGCCGCGCATGCCTGACAGTCGCCTACACGCTGCTGGCGGCACTCGCGCTGCCGGCACTCTACCTGGCTCCGCAGATTCCGGGTCTGATGCTCTACGACTACGTGCAGCCGCGCAACACAACACACTGGGCCTGGGTAGCGATCGCAGGTGAGTCAAGCAGGCGCGGTGGCAGACATGCGGAGCTACTGACACTCGGCGCCTTGCCCAGGCATTCCTGTGGCATGCGGCTACATCGTGCTCGTCTTTGTCGAGCTCGTCGCTGTCCGCTGGCTGGTGCGCGGCCGCCAGCTCGTGCCCGGCACGTACCCGACCGCCTCGCTCTTCTACGTGCGGAAGTGGTTCACCGACCGCGTGATGGATGCGTCGCTCGACATTCTGCACCCCGTCTACGCCACGCTGTACGCAGTTCCCTTCCTGCGTGCGGTGGGAGTCCAGATCGGCCATGGCGCCGAGGTCTCGACGGCGCGCGGCATCAACGAGCTCAGCGTCATCGGCGACGAGGCGTTCATTGCCGATGCGGTACTCATGGGCGACTCGGAGATCCGCGGCAACAAGCTGACGCTCAAGGTCACGACCATGGAGCCGCGCTCGTTTGCGGGCAATGCCTCGCTGCTGCCTGCCGGCACGACACTTGGCACGGGCTCGCTCGTCGGCGTGCTGTCCCTTCCGCCCGCGGGCCAGCCGCTGGAGGCAGGCACGTCCTGCTTCGGCTCTCCGGCCGTGCTCATGCCGCGGCGGCAAGAGCTGTCGCAGACCTACGACGACAAGACGCTCTTCTCGCCGACGCCGTGGCTGCGCGCGCAGCGCCTCTTCATCGAGGGCCTGCGCATCGTCCTGCCGCGCATCGTCATCGTGTATGGCCTCGGCTTCGGCGTGTTCCTCTTCGAGGACCTGTGGAACCGCATCGGCTGGGCCGCCGTCGCCACGCTGCCCATCTTCTACTTCTTCCTCTTTGCGCTGCCCGCCGTCGGCCTGACGATTCTTGCCAAGTGGATCCTCGTCGGCGCGTACCGTCCGGACGCCTGGCCGCTGTGGAGCCTCAACGTGTGGCTCAGCGAGGCCGTCACCTCTACCTTTGAGACGCTGGCGGAGCGTGAGTAGCTCCTTCATTCCGTCGCTGCTGCTCCCCTGCTGACGCCGCGTGCGCCTCAGCATTGTGCCTGTCGCACCTCGTCGGCACGCCCTTCCTGCCGACCATCTTCTGGCTGCTCGGCACGAACATGGGCAAGCGCGTCTTCCTCGGCGCCGCCGACATTACCGAGTACGACCTCGTGTCGATCGGCGACTATGCCGCCGTCAACGCGCACGCGGGGCCGCAGTCGCACCTGTTCCAGGACCGCGTCATGGCGATGGACCACGTGCGCATCGGCGCCGGCGCGACGATGAAGCCGTACTCGATTGCGCTGCCGGGCTCGGTCGTCATGGCGGGCGCCACGCTCGGCTCGCTCTCGCTGCTGATGAAGGGCGAGACGGCCGACGGCGGCGTCGTGTGGGAGGGCATCCCGGTGCGGCCGCGCGTGCCCGTGCGGCCGGTGAAGAGCGCTGCGGTCTGAACATTTAGGATCTGTGTCACCTTGTCCGAGGCTGCTCTAATCTAGTACTGTGCCGACGCCTGGCGTGTGGTGTGGAGGAGAGTCGGAGTGAGGAGCGTGCCGCGCAGGCGGTGTCAGCGTGCTGCTGCCAGCGCGGCGCGCCGCGCGCACCGCTCCTCTGTCCCACGCCCAGCCTCGGTGCGGCGGGCCAGCTGAGGCGCGCTGCGCCGCTGCCGCGGTGCCTTCCAGCTTTCAGCGTCGGGCACCCTTGTCGTCCTGCCACACTCACCGCCGCGCCGCCTGCAGCTCGCCCGTCACTCCAGCGCCTCGTACAGCGCTGCTCCGAGCCCGTCACTCGTGCGCCGCGCCGACTGGCGCATCGCTCGTGCCCGCGAGGCCGCCGCCCGGCTTCGTCAGCAGCTGCAGCCTGCGTGCGCAGAGCTGCGCCCTCGCCGTCGATCAGCAGTCTCGGCGCCGCTCGCTTGGCACCACTTCTCGGCCCGCGATGCCTGCCGCCTCGGCCATTGTGCGCTACGGCGCCGTGTCGCACTCGCTGCGGCGCCCGCTGGCGCTGGGAGCGCCGTCGCCGCTGCCGCTGCCGCTGCTGCTGCGTGCATCGCGCCGTGGTCTGGCGTCACGCTCGCCGCTCGATGCCGAGCACGAGGCGGCGACGGTGCGTGGTCATCGCGCTGCCCGACTGCGTGCCGAGGCCGCCGGCGCGGGGCGCCAGGGTACGCCGCCGCCCAGCCTGGGCCTCGGTGATGCTCCGCTCGATGGACCGCAAGCCAGCGCCGGGAGCGCGGGGCATAGTAGTGGAGGCCACGGCGACGGCGGCCGTGGGGGCCCTCGGTCCTCGGGCCTGTTCGGTGAGCCTTCTCTTGGCGGCGGTAAGGCGAGGGTCGCTTGCTCAATATGGCTCTACAACAGCTCGCATGGCGCACTCCTGGCGCAGCACACCGATTGCATGGAAGCCGCTGCCGATCATTCTCGGTGCTGCCGTGCTGGTGGGCGTGCAGGCGCGGCGCAACTACGTGGCCGATCGCGATGGGCGCTCGCGCAACGGCAAGCGCGGCAAGGTGGTCGACGAGAATGGCCGCGTGGTCAGCATGAGCGGGCCGTGGACGGTGCGTTGCTTGTGCCGCGCCAGGAGACAATGTGTGCACCCGCTGATACCGGCGCCGTGCAGGTCTACGTGCTCGGCGCGCTGCCGCTCAACGCCATCTCGCGCGCCTGGGGCTGGGCAAACAATCTGACGCTGCCGGTCTGGTTCCGCCCGTACGGCTTCCGCTTCTACAGCTGGATCTTTGGCTGCAACCTCGACGAGATGAAGGACCCGGACCTGACGCACTACCGCAGCCTCGGCGAGTTCTTCTACCGCGAGCTGCGGGACGGCGCTCGAGTGATCGAAGACAGCCCGCTGGTGCGTTGTCTCTCTCATGGGCGCGGACCTTGCGCTGACATCTGCTGCAGGTGTCTCCCGCCGACGGCACTGTGCTGCACTTTGGCTCTATTCAGGGCCGGCGCGTCGAGCAGGTCAAGGGCATCACGTACTCGCTCGACGCGCTGCTCGGCGTCTCGTCTGATGCGCAGAGCACCGAGAAGGTCTCCTTGGGCTCGGGCTCGAGCGCCGACACGCAAGCCGGCGCCGCCTCGCGCTCGCACCAGATCCAGGACGAGCGCGACTTTGCCAACGTCAACGGCATCGAGTACTCGGTGGACAGGCTCCTCGGCTCGGAGGGCCGCAAGAAGCGCGGCTGGCGCATCGCCCGCGGCACCTGGTGGAAGTCGTGGTTCGTGCACGTGCCCGGCGAGGGCAAGGCCAAGACGGGCGTGCCGCCGGCGAACAAGGGCGTCGCCGGCGATTTCAGCCGCCCGCTCAACGACGACGACGAGGAGGAAGAGGTCGGCATCCCCACGGCCGACACGCCCGAGGTGCTGGGCAAGTACGCCAATGTGGCGTACGAGATGGGCGGCGGCGCGCTGCCGCCGATTCTGCAGCGCCACAGCCCCGGCCACGACGGCGTCGCCGAGGGCAACAAGCTCTTCTTCTGCGTCGTGTACCTGGCGCCCGGCGACTACCACCACTTTCACTCGCCGTGCTCGTGGGTCGTCGAGCGGCGGCGGCACTTTAGGGGTGAGTGCGGCGTCTGTGGAGCGTGCGCGCGAGCTGACCTCCCGCAGGCGAGCTGTACTCCGTCTCGCCGTACGTGGCCAGCCGCCTCTCGAACCTCTTTGTGCTCAACGAGCGTGTCGCGCTGCTCGGCCGCTGGCGGCATGGCTTCTTTGGCATGGTGCCGGTCGGGTGAGTGCTGCGTGCGAGCGGTGGGGTGCCGCGCTGGTGCTGACTGCTCGCAGTGCCACCAACGTCGGCTCCATCTGCGTCTCGTTCGACAAGGCACTGCGCACCAACGTGCGCGACCAGCGCGTGCTGGCCGGCACGTACTCGGAGGCGTCGTACAGCTCCGCGTCGCGCCTGCTGGGCGGGCAGCCGCTGCTCGCCGGCGAGGAGATGGGCGGCTTCCGCCTCGGCTCGACGGTCGTGCTGATCTTCGAGGCGCCCGAGGAGTTTGACTTTACCATCGAGGCCGGACAGAAGATCAAGCTGGGCACGGCGCTCGGCGACTTTACCCCTCGCTGAGCCGCGAGAAATACATGCCAGAGACCACAAGAGGCCATGTGCTCGACGGCGCTGACACGTGCACACTCGGCGCATGTTGTGCGTGACGCGGGTATCATTGAGAGATGCGGGTCCGTGACGCGACGCTATGGCGGCGCGCCGGCCGTCCGGGGTCCAAGCTCGGCGAGCAGCGCCTCCACGACGGCGCGCATCTGCGTCTCGGTCTCGGCGTCTGGCTCGAGCCCGGCAATCGACTGGCGGCGAATCAGCGCGGTGCGCACGTCAGGCTCGCACCACTCACCTCTTCAAGCACCGTCAGCATCTCGCGCGCGGCGCCTTGCCGCCCGTCGGCCTGCGCCAGTGTGTGTTTGAGCGCGCCGGCCGCTGCTCGGTTCTCGGCCTCGAGCTGTGGCGCGTCAGATGCGGGCAGTGCAGCGCGCGCGCCAGTGCTCACCTCGGCGAGCTCCGCCTCGAGCGACGCGACATTTTCGCGCTGCGCTGCGACCGAGCGTGCCGAGACGGCCGTCTCGATGTCGAGGTCCGGCCTGTGCCGCGTCAGCGCGTGCCCAGCAGAGCGTATCGTTGCTGCTCACCGCCACACGTCCTTTGCCTCCTCTGCGCCCGGCACCACCCCGTTCTGCAGCCGCTCATCCGCCTCTTCGACGAGCTGCTGCAGCTCCAGCAGCCGTGGTTCCAGCTGGTACTCGGCGGCGACGAGCGCAGAGGACTCCTGCGCAGCGTGAGCGTATGCACCGCACTGCCGCAGACACGGCACGCACCAGGATGCGTGCCTTGAGCTCGCCGATGAAGCCCGCGCGAGCCGCCTCGAGCAGCTTGGCGTCCATGTGCGGCAGCGTCGAGCGCACGGCCGCCTCGCTGCAGCGGGTCAGCGCCACGCCGGCAATGCTGCTGCGGCGCACTCACGTCGCCTTGTGGTCGATGAGCTGCAGGAATTTGGTCAATGCCGCCTCGAAGCGCTCGAAGCGCGGGTTCTGCCCGGCGCGCGCTGCGTCGGCGCCGGCGTCGCCAGGTGCGGAGGGCGCGGACGGGCCAGACCGCGCTGGTGTGCGCTGCAGCGCCTCGACGGACGCATCGGCGTCGGCTTGCGAGAGCACGCGCGCCTCGACGACGGCTGCCGGCAACGCCTCGTGTACGTCCGGCGCGTCAGAGGACATGGGATGCGGTGGGCGGGATGATGGTGGTCGCGAGGCGAGCGCGGCGAGGCCGTGCGCCGTTGGCTGCACCGCCTCGTTGACGCGTCGCGCGCCGCAGCACGTGACTACAAGAGCGAGCCGCGCTGCAGCCCCCCCCCCCCCACTCTGACTTGGACGTGCTGGCCCATGGCTGGATGCCACACAGCTGCAACTCTTCAGTCTCCTGACAATCAGCTGGTCTGAAGGTAGGACTAACAGTGACATGTCTCTTTGGGCTGCATACACCTCAGCAGTCAGCCCTGTTCAGCAAAGGTCATGGCTGGGCCCCAGTGCCAGATCTCAGCAGAGGTCAAAGCATTGAGATTTAAAGGAGTCACAACTTGTACTGGCCATTGCGCTACTCTTGCTAGATTGCTGGCCATGCAAACACCAGCCTTTTCAAGTGCTGCCAGCACCATGCCCATGCTGCTTGGTGCCAGCACCAAGTATAAGGCTGCACCTGTTGCTGTGGCCAAGTTGACGGCGCGCACAGAAGCCCTGTCAGCGCTAAGACTACAATTGCGCCCACAGACATGCATGCTGGCGCAGCATTGCCCTTGCAGTTTGCTCAAATCTGGGCAGCTGCGCTAGAGTGCATTGGAGACAAGCCATTCTCACCCACTGCTCCTGCAACAGAGTCATGGGAGGCTGCCTCTTCAGCTGCCCACAAGATGCTGTTGCGCACAGTGGATGCACTTTTGCTCCTTGATGCCATTGCTGAGTACCATGCATTGCATTCAGACAAACAAGCGTAAAGTTGTGTTTTGCCTCCAGCTGCCATTGCCTAGCTCTCAGCCCAGGATATCTCCTTGCCATCCATTGCTGTCAGCAATAGGAGCCTGCACCAACATCTGCTGCAAAGTCTGTCTCTTCACTCTATCAGCTGTGCAAGAAGCTTGCCCGTCTCTGAGCTCCATGTCTTCTTGGAGGTGGTTGAACATTGCATGCTCTGGGATGACTTGCTCATCTTGCTCTAGCAGGCTTGGGTTCTCTTGATGCCACCAGGCAGAGGGCTTGTCCCACTGGGTTGGGGCCCAAAAGCCAGGGCTCCAGGGCATTGATCAGAACCACCAGCACCTTGCAAGCCAGCTTGGAGGCTGCCTTGGAGTCTCTATTCTTGAAACAGCGCAGGGAGTTTGCCTTGTGCTTGAGAGAGGCAAATTGGCTGCTGCACATTGCTTCTGCGCCTCCTGGCTGGCAGAGCCTTGCCTGATGCCCAGGTTGAGGGTTAGGGTTAGGGTTAGGGTTAGGGTTAGGGTTAGGGTTAGGGTTAGGGTTAGGGTTAGGGTTAGGGTTAGGGTTAGGGTTAGGGTTAGGGT